CATTCAGAATCATTGTTAAGACCAAAGAGGTCAAGTATGTGAAATCACTTTGTTCCTTGTAAAGAAGTTAGTACTTTAGAATTGGCAGAAGCATTCTCATGGAGGGTGCCTCTTCAGGGTCTGGTAAATCCTGATACTTTGTGGGGCGGCTGGGGGTGGGTGGGGGGGACAGCTCTTTGCTAGTTTACATTTAAAGCGGAAAAGCCTCTTGGACCATTTCCTCCCTTGGGTTGGTATCTAATTTGGCTGTGCAAGGTGGCAAAGCAAATAGGAGAAGGGGATATCTCGTCTATGCAAGGCAGGAAGAGCACTAGATTTACTTTAATGACCCCCAGACCCCCCCCCAACCCTTCTTACATCCTTGAAAAAAAAGAAACTTCCAATTGACCATTCTACACCCATTCCTTAAAAGCCAGGCCTTAAAAGTATTCCTTCACAAATTATTAATTTACATGTTAAAGCACGTTAAAGCTAATGCTTCTTAGTTTTCTTACTGTATGGGATTCACAAAAAGCATTTTGACCCAAACATTTAAGTTATATCACTTAACCAAGATTCTCGTAGGTTATTTCTACTTAGCTCAATCAGGTTGGATATCCAGTAGCAAATAGCTGAACTACTTAGATTTTACAATTTTTAATCAGAAATATCCTTGATATGGATATCCAGACCTCAGACATACACATAATTTTTTCTCTCTAATGTAAGTGATATATTTGATATATTTTTAATATAATTTAGAACTATCAAGGAACTTTAACCTTTGGTCATTCATCAATTCTTTTAACAGATATTTTCGGCCTCTTTTCAGGACAGATGCTTTTCTATGGGCTGAGGATTCAGAAATGAATAAAACTGAGTTAACCCAGCTCTCCTAGGATTTGTAATATAGTAGAATTACATGTCATTTCTGCCCAAAGACATTGCTCTCCCCTAACCTGACTTTTGATCTTCAGGTTCTACTCAGGTCTGCCAAAATTAGTGTAAGTTCAACTATCTATAAACTAATTGTTATAAAATATTTTAATGTAAGCAGAATAGATTGAAAAACCCATTTATTCATGTAAGTTCACTTTGACAGTTTGACAGTTTGATTCTGTCCAAATTGACAAAATAAACAAAATTCCAAACTTTCACAGGCATTTTGACCTTATTCTCAGACTTGCAAAACAGTAACAATTATTAGATTTGCATTTAACATTTATTAAGCACTAACAAGGTGGCATGTTCTTAACATGGATTATTTTTCTTAAGCCTCATGATAACTATTAACATGAGCGAAGATTATCTCCAATTTCCAGGTGGCAAATGTGGTGGGAATTAGAACCAAGAGTCTAGCCCTTGACACACTAGTAAAATAAATATTTCCTCACTCTCATATATGTTTTATTTTCTCTTTTTAAGATTTTATTTATTTATGAGAGAGAGAGAGCATGTGTGCAAGGGGAGGAGGCAGAGGGAGAGGGACAAGCAGACTCTGCGGTGAGCACTGAGCCTGATGCGGGACTCGAACCCAGGACCCTGAGACCATGACCGAAACTGAAACCAAGAGTCAGATGCTCAACTGACTGAGCCACCCAGGTGCCCCTTATATATGTTTTAATTTAACATTTTTTGAGTACCTACTATGTGTACATTACAGTGCTAAATTCCAGAGAAGGGAGTAAAAATGTTTAAGATACATTCCTACCCTCAAAAGCAATTTAAAATTGAATAGAAAACACAGACATATGCAGAAATAATATAAGGTATTAAATTAAGTTGGCAGAGGTAGTGGTGGAAGGAGTTCTGGATATGGACCAGGAAAGAATGTTCCACATGAGAATATCACTATTGTGGTAAAGTGGGTGCTTGGGTACTCTTCCTCCCTTCCCAGTAACAGGATTAACAGTGTATAGTGTACCACTCAGAGTCTTGGACAAAAAAACAGAGCCCATCTTGAATCTCTCCCAGCAAGACGGCTAATAGAGGAGCGTCCTTCCTCTGCAGATATCCTGGGTCAGCCTTCAGTTCCCTCCCCTACATCCCTCTTTTGCCCTCAGGTTCCTCCTATTGTGGCACCATTTACTCAGACCACCTACACTGAGCTTCTCTCCCACCACCCACAGGAACAGGCTCTTTCCTTTGGAACCTGAGGACTGCCCCCACTTAACCTCTTTAGTCTGTTTAGGCTGCTCTAGCAGAATATCATGGTCTGCACCCTTACTAGCAAAGGACATTTATTTCTCACAGTCCTGGTCACTGCAAAGTCCAAGATGAAGGTGCAGCATATCTGGTGTCTGGTGAGACCCACTTCCTGGTTCGTAGACCACCATCTTTTTGCTGTGTCCTTACATGGTAGAAGAGATGAAGTAGCTCTCTAGGGTCTCTCTTATAAAGGGGCTAGTCCCATTCACCAGGGCTCTACCTTCATCAACTAATCACTTCCCAAAGGCCTTACCTCCAAATATCATCACATTAGGGGTTAGGTTTCAACATATGAATTTGGGGAGGACACGAACATTCAGTCTTTTTTTTTAATGGCTCTTTCCCTTATTATAAATAGATAAGATGTGCTAATTTTTAAAATTCAAACCATTCAAAAGGATAGGAAGAAAAATACAGACTATGTTGTTTCCCATCCTCCAGCTACCTGGGACTAACAGGCCCCTGGGCACCTGTCCCTTGAGCTTATTCTCTTATACACAAGGACACCCACACCCACACACAACCTCACACATACACCCACACACCACACACATCTACATACCACATTCACTTCAGACAACACGTGGGAGACTCAGCATCCTGTACCACCCAGAGATGGAGGCTTCAATAAATGACATCTAAGTCCTAAGCAAGGGGACACTTAGAAAAAGATTAATCCCCTATCCAAGGGCAGTACCTCACTCAGAGCAAAGCATTCACAGTATGGACACCAAAACTTGTGGTAACAGAAGAAGAGTACTCAGTTGAGAACTTTTCCTCAGTGGACACCAGCATTATGAGGACACAGAAGGCATTTTATGCCCAGACCTCCCTCAGTGGACACCTGTCTCATTGATGGCATTGCTGGGAGCAAGAGAGGCAGGGGAGGCAAGCATAGTTTCCCAGGAAATAGGCATATTATTGAAGCAAGTCAGATCCAGAGAGGAGGAAAATACTGGACACTGTGAGTAAAACTACAGAACATGAAACACTCCCTGAGGACTCCCAGAATTGTTGGAAAGAAATCTTCCACGAGTGTTAGGTCCCTCCAAATGCACAGGACAGATTTTGGGAAAAAAAAAAAAATGACTGTTTTGTAGCTGTTATTCTGACTCTTAGGATTCCGATGTGGGAGACACAGCAATACAAATAAAGTACTCCTCACAGGGCAGATAAGACTTGGAATCTGAGCTTGCCAAGACCCTGACATCAGCGGGCCGCAGAGAAGATACCTCCCCGCTGCCCACTGTAGCCGACACCAGAGAGCGTAAAGACAGCCAGCCCCAAAGAGTCAGAAACAAGAGCTGCAATCAAACAATCTGGGGGATACAGACATTTTCCTTAAGGCAAGTCACAAGATACTCTGTAACAGAATACAGCTGCTTAAATAAACCATCCTCATTGCAAAATCTCCACTGGCAGAGTTCTAGTGTCTGAACCATGCAGGTTTTAAAATAAATCCATGCCAAAAAAAAAAAAAAAAAAGAATATTTTTTTCGGTCTTGTTTTTTAAAACAACAACAACAAAGGATAGGAATGCAAATTGTATTACATACTGGCTGATGACCAAGAGTGACCCCAGCTAGGGAAAATGAGTGCAATGAGAAGACAGGGGAGAGACCAGAACTTCTCAGGATATAGAATCACAAAATGAGGCATCATCCCTACTCTACAAAATAGGACTTTACCAGGAGATAAAACATAATTTGCTGAAACATGTTTGTAAATGTTCACATTTTTTATAATCAGATTGACATTTGTTTTAAAATCATATCTATTTTCTATTATTGCTTCTGGTAGATTTTTACATTTAGTTCTATAAAACAATAGCTTGCTTCCTTTTTTTAAATAATTCAGTTCAAGGTTTCTATCTTAATGTTTGCTGAAAGGTTCAAGATAGTCGCATTCAATGTTGCTTCTAAATAAAAAACAAAACTGACTTTCAGTTTGAAAAAAATCTTAGAATGAACCAGAGGTTCAAAGTAATAGGGCATATCTGGGCAGGAAAAAAAAAAAAATCCCTTTAACTAGAGAAATTCGGCATGAGTAAAAAATTAACGGGCATCTCCTTTGGTCATCTGTTCTTTGATGTCCTCAAGAGATGTCAGACTCACCTTGGTATGACTTGACCTCACAGAGCCTCTTCTGACATGGACTGATGCCCTTTGGTTTCAAATAAATGCTGTTTTCTGGAGACTTTTACTCCTTTTCTGGCCATCATCCCAGAAGTATTGATCAGCTTAGTGCCACTGCCCTATTCTGCCTCAGAATGGCGCCAGAGTGATCTCTTAAAACCCAAATTTCATCAATGCCTCTACTGCTTAAACCTCTGTGGTCATTCCCTATCATCTCCCCATAAAAGTGCTCAATGTCCTTAAAAAGGCTGAAAGGATCTTTGTAATCTAGATGCTGCCCAGCTTCCAGCTTCCAATGAACAAATTGGGAACCAGTCAGATAAAAGAGCTCACATAAGGTCCCCACTAAGTGCTGATGGATCCATTTCCAAAAGGACCCCTGTCACATGGAACTGGGCTGGGTTTTGTGATTTGAATTCCCCCCCCCCAGAATTTCTGCATTATCCCCAGTGAAAACTTAAAAGTTAGCATTTTCAGTTTTATTTAGAAAAATAGGAATCATACACTATTTCTAGTACATTGCAGTAGTATTTCCTTATCTATGGGGGATACGATCTAAGCACCCCCCCGTCTTACAATATACTGTAATAAAAGTTACATGAGTGTGGTTTCTCTCTCCCTCTCTCTCTCACACACACCCTCTCTCTCTCTCAAAATATCTTATTGTACTGTACTCACCCTTCTCCTTGTGACAACGTGAGATGATAAAATGCCTCCATGATAAGATGAAGTGAAGAAAATGATGTAGGCACTGTGACTAAGTGTTAGGCTACTGTTGAGCTTCTGACGATTCGTTAGAAGGATCATCAGCGTCGGACCCGTGCTTGATGCCACCGGTAACGAAACTGCGGAAAGCAAAACTGCAGATGGGGGGGGGCCGCTACAATTATTTGAAAACTTTGATCAGAGTTGAAGCTAGCCCCCTGATGATGGTGCTCAGAAAGCTATTCCAACTCATTTGAAAATGTTTTAAACTACTTTCTCTGTTTTGCTTCTTTCATCTGATATACTTTAATATCGTCTTGTTTGCTTAATCACAACATAGCGGGTCTCTTTTTGTTTTCTAGGAGGCAGCATTTCCTAGATCATGATTATCATGCTGACTCTGGTATTTCACTACCTTTAAGGGGGCCCACACCCTGGAAGAGTCTAGGTTGTGCTTTTCACCTTCTGAGGTCATCAGACCTCAGCAGTAAAAGAACCCTCTGGGAGCCCTCCTCCTTTCTGCCTCTTTCTCCTATCATTCTAGGAGTTTCCTCTCCAAACCGTGGCTTCTAGCTCTGATCATTCCTACAAAGATGTGAAAAGACCCAAAGCCCAACCATCTCTAGACTGTGCTCAGTGAAATATGCGGTCCAGAGCTAACCATAGGATAATACTGGATTCACTGGCTCTTTGCCTTTAATGTGCTGTAAACTTGTGCTGCAGGTGGGCGGTTGTCCCACTGGTAATCACAGTTGCCAACTGTGTGACCTGGTGTCTCTTGCTGTGACCAGGACCTGGAAACCCTCAGCAAATGATTTAGCCCTGGCATGAAGGCAATTTAGCTCTGCAGCCCTCACCCCGGAGTACCTGATCCTGCACTGGGGACCTTCTTAGGAATGTGGATCTAAAATTCTTTCAGGCTCAGCTCACTGATAGGGGCTATTTGTTTCCATTTTCACCTGCGTGTGGATATATATTATTTTAATTTTTAGTCAAAAGAAATTTATTTTGAAATAATTTTAATAGAACTATTTGATAATGGCATCAAAATAGTAAAACCAATGTATCATTCAATAAAATATATTTCAAAATATTGTATACTTAAATTATTTTAGCACCCCCTTTCAGTCTCAAGTGTCCCAGTTCGTGATGGTTACCAGAAGGGTGGTGGGTGGGGGGATGGGTTAAACAGGTGATGGGTATTAAGGAGTGCACTTGTTTTTGATGAGCACCAGGTGATGTATGGAAGTGTTGAATCACTATATTGTACACGTGAAACTAATATTATACTGTATGTTAACTCAAACTTAAATGAAAACTTTTTAAAAATTGAATTAAAAAAAAAAAAGGTGTCCCAATTTGGACATGGCTGCCCTACTTGATGGTGTATAATGAGAAGTGCAGAGGCCCAAATCCATATCAAGAACAGTGTCCATCTTTCTCCCTATTGATCACCAGGGCATTGCATAGTGAACCGATAGTCCTTAATGGCACCACATTCGAACAACACTCAGCCACAGCAAACAACCTGCAGGGAGCCCAGGTTGAAGGTAATGCTTTCTTGGCTGCTCTTGGGTCCCAGGGCTGTGGTTGGGGCCCAGGATGCCCCAAATACCTCCAACTAGCTGTGTGTTTGGCTGGGAGCTGTCTGAGGTCTTAGATGGGGCCAGAAAATGCATGGCGAGCTTTCAGGTCCTGGCCAAGGAAGAGAGACCAGGTCATACAGAGAGCCGGGATTGCCAGTGGGGCAAGGGACCCTGCCACAGGACAGAGCAGCTAAGGGATAGGCCAAGGACTTTGCAGGAAATTCCAAGCGCTCCTCATCAATGTCAGAAGATATCCTACATTCCTAGAACAGACAGATACCATCTTGGGGGGGGGGAGGGAGAGGAGGGAGAGAAAGCATAAAGAAATGAGCTATTTAAATTACGTCAAACAGGATTTAAACTAGTTTAGACCTTTAGTTACCTTCTACCTTCTAGACCAGACTACCTATTTTCCTGGGCACATCTGGGTGCAATGCATGCAAATTTGCAATCCTACTCTGCAAGCAGGCTTTTGCAAATCTATATAACTTCTGAAGCTGCTGCTTCCAAATGAAATTAATCAGCTAGCTCTTCTGGGAGCTTTAGATCAGAGAATTTCTTCCAGTTGTTGCTGAAGAAAGTTAAGATTTCTCAGGGTCTGTGAGTAGTAAGATAGAGGGTAGAAGAGAGAGGGAAGGACTCCCAGGAGATTAAATATGGGAGAAAAGCATTAAAGGAGAGGTAAGAGAAACTGCATCTATGTTTCCTTAGTGTTAGTCCTGTTGAATATTAACAAAGGCTTTCATTTCAATTACAACATGTTACAAATGGGAAACTGGGCATTAAGGAAACAATTGGAAATGTTTCCAAATGCTGAACAATAAGAGCTTTCAGAAGCAGAGTCTATGCGCCCAGATACCTTTAGGGATTACTCCATGGGCTGTGTTGGTTTTGTACTGGAACACAAAAGATACCTTGCACCCAAGAGTCTTGAGGAGTTTAGAAACTTCAGATCCTACATATCACCGTCTCAAGTGTAAAATTATCATGCCCTCTGCCTGATCTCTCCCTGGCACTCTAGCTCTGATGACACTGTAGGAAATACGAGAGACACGTGGTAATCTGTTTGGGGAATAAGGGAAAGGTGTTGGAAAAACAGAGAACGTATTCCCTGGGAAACTATTTGAGTTCCCCTAAGCAGAAAAATGTACAAACTCACTCCTAATTCACTCTGAAGCGGTATGTTTCAATTCCCTTGTAAAATACAGAGACACAAAATCGGAATGTGCGTCCCAGCAAGAGCTCTCTTTTGAGAGCTTAGGCCAAAGAGAGCAAAATTTACCCAGCCACCGTCTGCCATAAATCATAGTCTACAAAACACATAGTTCCTGCCTGCCCATTTTTTCCCCCAAAGATACAGTATTACTGTGTTTTCTCCACAAAACTAAAATACTATGAAAATTTTAAAAGAAAACAGAACCAGGGCGCCTGGGTGGCTCAGTCGGTTGAGCGACTGCCTTCGGCTCAGGTCATGATCCTGGAGTCCCGGGATCGAGTCCCGCATCGGGCTCCCTGCTCGGCAGGGAGTCTGCTTCTCCCTCTGACCCTCCTCCCTCTCACGCTCTCTGTCTCTCATTCTCTCTCTCTCAAATAAATAAATAAAATCTAAAAAAAAAAAAAAAAAAAGAAAAGAAAACAGAACCAAAAAACATTCTTTTCACCAATGTGCCCTTTGGTTCCACACCTCATTTAATTAATCTCTATCCTCACCATCCTCACTCTCATATAAGCTGGAAATCTCAACATTGTCCTTTGCTCCTACCTCTCCTGGACCCTCACCACCTGATTCTTCTCCCTGACAGTCATTCTTCTGCTCCTACCTCTCTTGGACCCTCACCACCTGACTCTTCTCCCTGACAATCTTTCTTCTGTTCCTATTGTCACTTTCCGAGAGGCTGTCTGCCTCTCTTGAGCTGCCCCTCTCTTCACAACTTAGCCTATCTCCAGGTCAATCTTCCTGCTCTCATCCTTTCTGTAAACCACCCCGGGATAACCTTCCTCACACACAGCTCAGTTAAGTCTCTCCTCAGCTCCAATTCTTGACATCTTCCTGAGCTTGAACAACAAACACCACGGAAGCATTTAATGGCCTCCAAGACCTGCCCCCAATTCCCTGTGCTATTTGTTTCTTGCCCTATTTTCAATCATCTTCTGCCACAATGACATCAAATTATAGGTGTTTATTCAAATACCTTCCTACTTCCTAATGTTTGCACTGCGTTCTTCTTTCTAGAATGTTCTTTGCCCCACCTCTCTTCAGCCCCAAACAAGACTTCTTGAAATCTTAACCATATGGCAAAACTCAGCTCCAAGAAGCCTCCTACATGATACTTTCCTGATTTTTGTGATTAAAATTAATGTACCCCTTTATCACACTTTCATATGTCTGGACCTTCCCATCAAATCTTACCACTTTCTACCCTATACTGCAGATAATTGGGTTTACTTGTCTTTCCCATTAGATCGTAGGCTGCTTGAGTGCAGAAACATGTCCCAGCTATGTTGGTGGAGTGGAATCTATTAGGCCTTGTGCTGGATAAAGCCAACTTCACCATCATCATCAAGTAAATAAAATGACCTGTTCTTTATCAACAGGCTAATGTCTACTTCAGAGATGTACAAATTACATTTTTTAAAGGTGTCATATCTTTAGTGAAGTTATTGGTATATCTGTAATTAATAATGTGCTTAAATGCCCTAACTTTTAAAATTATATATATCTGCACGGGCAATAAAGATTTAAAGTTAAATCAGAATTACCAGGTGTTATCCTTTAGTATAGGAAATTGCAGGAAGAAGCTATTGTGTCCTAGCAAGACAAGGTGCTTGAAGTCAAAAGATTTAAGTTCAAATCTCGCCCTCTCCACTTATGAACTGCCTGGTCTTAGGCAAAGCCCTAAACTTGAACCTCAGTTTTCTAATCTGTAAAATAGGGAAGAAAATGCCTGCCTACCTCTTCTAGATAAAGAGTTAAATAATGGTTGCCACAGTACTTTCGGAACTGCAAGTTTCTTTACAAAGAATATATATTAACATTATCCTGAGTAAAAGACTTACCCAAAGAACATACTTCAAATAGCAGTCTTCATGCTTTGGACAAAACTAATGAAGTAGAATATTACTACTATTTTAAGAGGCTAGCTGGTAACACTTACAAAGATGGTGGTCTTGTCTAGATGACTTGCATTCTGCATTCTTACTCCACACTGGTTGGTAGCTCTTAACATAGGAATTTATGCAGAGCCAATGGCATTTTGTAAAGTCACATAGGCTCTCCCAAGAATACCTAATATGTGACTTAATTCTGCCTCTACAAATCTAGTTTGCTATCTTTTCAAAACACAGGAGGACACATAAGCCTCTTGCTTAAAAATTCTACAGTATTATAATAGTCACGCCACCATACTGAAGGAAAGAAACTAGAAATAGACAATTGTAGTAAATACCACTAAGAAACACTTCAGTTTGGGTAGTGTGGGTAGTGTAGGGCTATGTGAGCTAACAAGCTTCCAGATACCTGACAGTTTAACCCTTTGGGTGCCAAAGATTTCAAATACTTTTTAACAGTTTAAATGGTTTCCCAGCTTCCTCATCTTGGTGATCAGACTAATGAGGCTTCTTGTTGGTTTTCCAATCCACCATACTTTCTTATTTTTTTTAAATTTTATTTATTTATTTGAGAGAGAGAGAGACAGAGGGAGTACAAGTAGGGGGAGGGACAGAGAGAGAGAGAGAGGGAGAAACAGACTGTCTGCTGAGCACAGAGCCAGACATGGGGCTCAATCTCAGGACCCTGAGATCACGACCTGAGCCAAAGTCAGACACTTAACCAACTGAGCCACCCTGGTGACCCTCCACCACACTTTCAAAAGCCTTCCCCTCTTTGCCACTACCTGGAATGAAATGGTCCACCTTCCCCAACTGCTGAACTTCCATTCCTACTGATCATCTCAAGTCTTCAGTGAAATCATTTCTGATACCCTCAGGAAAAGTTATTCTCTCCCTCCTCTGTGTTTAAGTAAGCTGCTCCTATCACTACTTTAGTACTTATCTTGGGATGTTAAAAGTCTTTCTGTACACATCTGTCTCCAAATTTCACGATGGTAGGGTTTGAAGGTCTTTTTTTAATCTCTTTGCACATAACGGTGTCAGAGATGAGTATATTGTGTGTACACAGTAAATATTTAGAAAAGTTTATTAAATGAATGAATGTGTTATCAATAATGAAAATCGATTATTATACCATTATATTTAAGTGATGTCATGGAGATTTATGTCCTACTTGCTTCTCTGTCAGTTTATACAGAATGGTATGTATTCTATGAAGTGTCTTTTTTTTTTAACTCCTCCTCTGTGAATATTCTTTTTTTCCCCATGGGTTAGGTTCTTTCTCATTGGGTATGATCATTGTCCCTGTTCCCACTTTTAATTTCTACTGTTTCTATTCTCTGCCACTTCCTTCCTCCTCCCCAATTTGATTAATAGGTCTCATGTCCTCTCTCTCTTGTTCTTATGAATCTTTGAAATGTCTTGGCTTAATGTATTTCTTGACATGGCATAATTCTTTATTTGGTTTTCATACCTATCATGCGCCAAGGGAAACACATCTTTATACTAGGCAGGATTCTGACATGTCCAATCATAATCAAAATATCCTAGAAGTCTCCCTCCCTTTTCTATCTGCATTGCATCCACCTTTGTTCTGGTCCCACCTTCTCACACCTGAGTTATAGCTGCAACAGCCTCCTAGCATCTCAGTCCACATCCAGCACTCCTTATTCTAATCATAACACATATCACTACCAGGTTATTCTTCCTAAAACACTGGTTTCATTTTATTAATCCCAGGCACCAGGGCCTTTAACTTCCCTTTGATAACACCCAGCATTCAAGATTCTCACAATCTGGCATATCCTGTCTTTCTCATTTTATTCTTCATTTCTCCACCCCAAACATTTAGTAGGTTACTGTGGTAATTGGTTAAAAACACATTTGCCCCAACAACCACACATATTCATCCCTTTGTGCCCCCTCTTTTGTCTCTGGGCTGACCCTGGGATGCTTTTTACCATGACTGTGGTGGAAGTGAGGCTGCAGGACTTTCAAGAGGAAGTCTCAAGAAATCTTGCACTAACTTAGGCCTCCTTCCTCAGAAAGTCTGCTTCTTTGCCTAGAACCACTCTAAGTCTATCCTAGCCCAAACCACAGCCTTCTTCTTAGGTCCCATGAACACTCAGGGGTGGGGGGGAAGATCCTTTTAATTTTGTCTTTCCAAATGTAATGCCAGAGCTCTGGGAGAATGCAACCCAACCCACCATCTAATTTCCTGGACTGCGATAAGTGGTACACAAATCAGAGAGAAAATCACTTCGCCAAGCCTCCATATCCTCAGCTACTTACATGAATCTTTGTGAGCCTCCTTTCAGATTGTTGATCCATAAAATTACCTCTTCCAAATTGACCTTCTCCAGCTTCACATCCTAAGTAGTTCAATTCTCATTCCCCACTTCAGACTTCTGCTCTGGGCAAGATGGAATAACAGAGACCAATTTTCCCTCCTGTCTGAAACAACCAAAAAATGGACAAAATATATGAAACAAAGGTGTTGAAGACACTCAATATCAGGCAACTAAAAATAGTAATCTCAGAAATCTAAAACAAATGAAGGGATCCCCAAATTGCCCAGCTTATTGCATTGAGAACATTTCCAGCACACACAGGAGGAACTCAGGCATAGTCCAGTGAACAACCTGAGTTAAGGACACAGAGCTGAGAATTCAGGGACACCAAGGAAGTTATAGTTAGAGGGACAAAGTAAAAGAAAGGAGAGAACAGTGCAAAAAAGAACCTTCAGAGATTTGCAGAGGGCCTCCCTTAAGTATTCACATATAGTGATCAGCATATGCATGTAAGAGAACTAAAATAAAGTCAGATGTTTACTTTATACCAAACACAAAAATCAATTTCAAGTAAATGAAGCAAAATAAATTCAAGAAGCAAAACTTCAGAACTTCTAAAAGAAAATAAAGAGCATCTCTATCATGTAAAGGTAGGTAGTTTTTCTTACATAAGGCACCAAAAAAGCACTAACCATAAATAAAAAGATTAATAAATATGTGTATACTAAAATTAAAATTTCTGGAGCACAAAAGGCAATATATTAAAGTGACACTGACACAAGCCAGACACAGAGAAAAGATATTTACAATCCACAAAACCAGTAAGAAACTTTTGCTCAGAATATATAATAAAATCCTACATACCCATGTTTTTTAAGACAACAACCTAGTAACAACAGCAAAAAAATAAATAAGACTAATAAATAAAGCAGGTAAATGATATAAAAGACAATTTTTTATAAAAGGAGCAATAAATGAGATATATAAAAAATTTCCCAGGAAAATAAAACCACAATAAAATACCATTTCACACCTAGCTCACAAATGTGCAGCCATTCATTCATTCATCACAGACTTGTTGGAACCCTATTAGGTGCAATGCTCTATTAGGCACATAGAAATATTAAAAGTTGAATAAGTGACAATTATTTCATTTACTTTCTCTACCAGGATGAGACCCCAAAGAGGGCAGGCACTGCTTCTTATTCTTCATTGTATCTTCAGCATTTAGTACAGTCCCAGTCATTAGGCAGAAAAGTATTCAATGGCAGAAAGCTGATGCAAATCCTACTCTGAGGATCTCACAGTGTGGGGAAAGCAAGAGAAGAAAGCAGCAAATCCTAATACCTCACAGGGATACCTGAGAGTGTCCACAAAGGAGCTAGATTTTGGAGGATGTGAAGTTCTCCAGCACTTTGGTCAAAATCTACAAGGAGTCAAGATTTGAAACAAGTCTTGGGAAAACGTTTTGCCTGGCATAGAATTTCTTTTTAAGTCAACACAGAATAAGCAGCATATTATCACAAACACAGACACACACACACATCTCAAATACCTAATTCCCTGATAGTAAATAACATCATCTTCAAAATTCCAGAATAGGGAGGAAGATGAGGAGGATGAGGAGGAAGAATCTAAGCTCTCTGTATCCACACAATTTACCATGATGTTAGTGCAGCTTTACTACTGGCCATTTTCACCAACATAACTTTATTATTTCACTGCCTTCCTTGATGTTACTTTATTACTTCAGAAAACTTGCCCAGGAAGAAAAAAAGTTGCAAATCACTTTGTCAGTTCCAGGAACTTCCTGAAAATCCCACTTAAGTGAACATCAAAATGCTCAACTTTTCCATCCAACGACTGTTTGCTCTCTAAGACCCTTCAAAACTCTTGACTCCACCAATCCTGAACTATCACGTCATGATCTTTACTCAATCCCAGTGAACATCCTCCTCCCAAATCCCCATACTGCTGTCTACCAGCTCCTCCAACCTCCACTACCCTCCAAACTTGAAAGACCTGCCTTAAACCAGACTTCCATTCATTATTAGAACTCTGGAGAGGTTCTTCCCTCCCCATCACCACCCCCAACTTTACCATACTATAAATAAATTCAGCTTTGTCTTATCAACATGTTGTTTGGTGATATTTTCAAAGACCTAACATTCTATAATCCTTCTCCTCCTCTTTGTCCTTATCATCATCACCATCATCATCATCATCATCATCATCATCACTAACATGGACTGAGCCCTAACTACATGCCAGGCACTTGCTAATTAGTTTAGAGACCTAATAATCACATCCCTTTCACAAATAGAGTATTTTTAAGCAAGTAAGTAAATTATAAGAGGTATATTCAAATGAGATGTCAAAATTCTTCCAAAAAAGAGGTTCATATTTTTCACTGTCCTTCTTCACAGAAATTATGGGAACCATAGAGGTCCAAGTCTCAAAGATATTCTGGAGATTTCCTTGGTAAGCACCACTGGAAGCCATCTCTGAGTGTAGTAGTATTGGCCTTCATGGCTCAGCTAAGTTGAATTCTATTAAAAGAATTCCAGCAAGGGAAATAAATGTGCCTCTCCTCTCAATAGTTAAGGGAGGTGACCTTCTCTCAGAAAATATTAGCTGATGAAATGAATAACGAAGGTGCTAGAAACATGAACGATATAAAGGTAGGGAGACTTTAAGGAGGAGAAATGTCTTTGTTTTGCCTTTCACCTCCAAACGAAGAATAACAGATGTTCCCTCAGCAAGCTGTGAGAGGGAAATGGGGTGACTGAGCTTTGCAACTAAAATAGTATCAACTGTATATTGTAATTTCACTTTTGAAACACCACACTTTTGCCTTTGTGGCACTGCCAGTAAAAATTCATTTTCAAGCAGCACAGCTGAACAGCCTGGGCCTTTGCCTTAATTCACTTTTCCTGCTAAGAGCCAAGAAGAGAGATAGCCTTGCATAAGGAGGATGGACAGCAGAGCACTCCATCGAAAGAGGCCACATGCTAAATTAATCATGTTCCAGCCAGAATTTGCAATTCTTTGAGAGATGCTTGAGACGGTATGAAAAATTTAGAGGTAACAGGGAAAAAGGGAGAGTTTGTGAAGGAGAACACTTCAGAGGGCACTTTAAATGTGCAGGATGCATTACAGTTTCTTACATGTGAACAAGATAGCTCGCCTTACCCAGAATGCAATAAATAAGGACTGCATTCTCATAGGAGTGCCCTGAGAAGGGAGCACTCATGCTGGAACATAGAAATTTCTGACTTGATGGCCATATTAAGGGATTAGAGGGATTAGTATATTCATGAAAATCATCCATTTTAAAATTTAGCATAAATTTGTCAAAGCTAGCATGCAAGGATAGTGTCAGTCCAAGATAACAAGTCCTGTTTAAGATCCGAGCATGATTGCTCCAGTGAGATGTGAATTACAGGTGGCAAGTTGCTCCTAACGAAGCTCACCTCTTCCAGTCACTTAAGGAAGCAACTTGTGGCCATGAGCAGCCCTCAAAACTCACTCTGAAATGAGAAAGAGGAACTGAGTCTTACCTAGCTTTAAGCTTTTCTTTAGTTCCTCCAATGCACCACTCAACTCAGCCTTCACACAGCTGTGTCCCATCTTCCTGGGACACTCCATTCCCTACCATCCCAAGCTCTCATGCTTCCGAGCTCAAGGTACATTTTATTACTTCAGGTAGACCTTGGCTAACTCTTGCACATGCAACACTAAGTTGGTATCCTGAATTGTATGCTCCCATAGCACCTGGTACCTCTAGTTATATGGCGGCCCCACAACTTACCCTGTTTGTGAAACATCCACCATTACTTATTGTCTTCCACACCAGATTGAAAAGATCAGTGGGGCTGGTGCATTGTCGTTTTGCCAGTGGATAACAAGTGTTTATCAAATGAATGAATAAAGGCAAAAATCATGTTTGATTCTTTCTTCTATCTGCCATAACATCTAGCAGGGTAACTGAGACATAATAATTAGCATTCAATAAAATGCTTATGGATTAAATGCAGGAATAAGAACCCTGAGAATGTCAGCTGAATTCAGCCTCCCCCAAATCAACTGGGAAAATCCTTCCTACAATGGTTGTTGCCTGATCTCTCAGTGGGTCTCTTGCCTTGTTACTTTGCTTAGATAAAAGCTAGAAAGAACAGCACTACAGAAAAAAAAAAAAAAAGTAATATGCAATGAAAACTAAACTGCCACACTCAGAAGTGATATTCTCTTTTTCTTTCAGCTCCTACTGCTGAACATTTTCCTCCAATCCCCCAAGAGGGAAAGATCACTGGAAGCACACCCACTTAAAAAAAAAAAAAAAAGTCACCCTGATATGTTTTTTTTAACAAGATGTGTGCTATTTAAAGTCTCACCCATGAATATGTAGCTAATATTGACTAATGGGAAATGTGAAAGGAAGAAAGCCAAGGTTTTTTAAAGCACGTCTATTGAAATTAGGGTCATATGTAAGAAATTTAAAAATTTTTTTTCTGAGCCACATCCAAAACTCCAGAGGGCATATTAAATAATGGAAGTGTAAACTACTGGGATTTGGTGCTGGTTAGTATGTTGGCACAATACATGGCTCCCTGTGTGGTTTAAAAAATTAAGGAATTTTTCCCTCTTCCTTTATCTAGTAGCCTCCAAAATTAAAACAGTTTTCTTTTCTGTGTGGAATAATACAAGCTAACCAAATTATACTCTAATATTTTCATTCAATGACTTGGAAAGTCATGAAAATGTTTGTTTGGGGAGTTGCTGATACAGAAAAAGAAAGAAAGGACCATGTCAGAAGGATTTAAAAAAAGAAGATAAAACAAAGAATTCCAAGGATTGTCACAATCTGATCTGCATAAATAAAAGATAATAGCTTTGGTGAGCTGGCCAACCTTTGTGTGGAGTGATCGGTCTGTGGAGAATCATGTCTGAGAGGCTGCAGGTCATTATGGCAGGATAAAGCCTATTTCTCATTTATATTAAAGAATCTTGCCTGTTAAGGGCTTGATTTGGATCTCAGACATAAATGCGCCCAGGGCTGCTCACCTAGTTAAGTCAATTGCTACATATGCATTCTCTCCCTAATATACACACAGAGTTTATCATTCACAACTCAACCATTACGCCTAATGTTCTTTTCTTGATTTAGAAAGAATAACAGTTAGATAGATCAGAAGGACTCAAATTGAGGGGATTGGATCATAAAATTTACACCTAATATAGAATTTTCTTTCTAATTTTGTACAGAGATGTGAATTTTCTCCCTGTTATACAGAACTTGCTACATCAAGAGAAGACAATAAAACTGTTTCTGTTTTTGTGTTACATGTTTGATTTACATTATTATCTGGTTCCAGGCAAGATGGATTGTTCCAGACAGTATCTGGAGATCTAGGCAATGGAAACCTTTACGTGTGAAAAAAAGAAGAAAGAAAAGTCCAGACAATACAGTAAACAAAGCCTGACTACAAGAATGGATAAATATGTATTAAGAAACCAAGGAAAGCCATGGCTTGTGGGGAACTATGGGTATAGTTGAAAGACTTCCTTGGGCTGGGCCTCATAAGGTGACTGTAGCTTTAATGGGGTCCCCACCTTATAGGTCTGTGGGTTTAGAAATTCACTGTATAACTTCAGCCAGGCACAATCACAATCAGACCCTACTGAATTGATTTGCATCAATATTAATTTTAAAAAAAAGATTATTTGTACACAGACTTCCAATTAAAAAGCCAATGGATTAATTTATGAGGCAATAAGAATACGAAGTAATAGGAAGGTTCTGGTCAGAAGATTGGAGCTCTGGTCTTAGATCTATGCAATTTCCACCTCTGAGACCCTTCGTGAGACATGGCCTCTCTGGATCTCAAATTTCCTAATCATAACTGAGAGGTATTAAGAGTTAATTCAAATCCATGAGAAAACAGTTCAATAGACAAATGAGCAAAAGACAGGAATAGAAGGGCAGTATAGTATGGTGCTGTGGTTCTCAAACAAAACTTGGACCACCTAGGAGTCCCCAGATGTATCAATACTGGGGACACTTGTACCACAGCATACATGTCAGGATGAGTTGAAAATAAATGAACAAAGGGCTCATTCTGCAGAGTATTGCTGAACCTGTGACCTGCAGACCCAGGAAAGATCATAAACTAACTTTATTGGAAGGTATTGCCTAAAACAATGGTTTTCAATAGGAATGGTAGTGCCCCCCAAGAGATTTGGAAACAGGGGAGGGGGTTGGTCATCACAATGATTGGAGCCCAACTGGCATTTAGTTAGCAGAAGGCAGAGATGCTATGTATCTTGGAACAAGACAGCTCTGCACAAAGAACTGTTTGCACAGAATTTTGTACAACATCACATTAATGAAGGTATTTTTATAATTATCTAATTTTGGTGTACATATAGGTAGTATTATTTGCCCATTTTTAATATGTGCTGACTTTCCAGGATGGTAACTGCAAAGTAAATCAAGGAACAATTATAGTTTATTATGATCATATTTTTATCAATGAAGTTCACAGCTTTGAACAATCTTACCATTCTTGATATTTGAGTTAACAGTAAGACAGTCTGCATTCATGGCTGTGGGATTCATGGTGATTGTACATACAGACACAAATGTCTTTTTAGAAAAAATTACTTTCTTTTCACTCTCCTTCATAATAAAGTTAGGTCATTGTTTTAATACTTACAGTCAAGAGGTATTACAAAATGTTTGTTATATAAACGGGGAACACTGCATATGACACTGTTGAAAACACTGATTTACAGCAAAGATCATCTGTATGGTAAAAAATAAAAAATTCAGGGGGGTTTTCAACAGACCTAAATGGGATGAATTGCCCTTTCTGGAACAAGCAAAATTTTGTTCCATTTCTGGGGACAAAAACTTGAAGGGAGAAAGTAGGAGGAGAGGTATGACTGAACCCGAAAGACTGAGTGAATACGTAGCCATCCCAGAATGATGGAAGGTTAAGCTAAAGGCAGGGGCCCCTGGGCCTATTTCCCACTTGGAATCCTGGGAAGATGCCACTTTGCACTATACCCCTACCCAGAACATGGTAATTGCCGCAGAATAAAAATGGCAGTGGAACACATATAGGAAGCAGGTCAGAAATGGTGGCCCTGAGATTCCAGTGGCTCCATGTGGTGGGTGTGGAAGGAATCCTGTCATTCACAGGTGCCCTCAGTGAGGGAGTCAGACTGCAGCCAAGAATAGCAAGAAGGTTAGCCACAGGTTGCCCTCCTGTGGGTACAATAACCCTAAAGAAGGGTCTTTGCGGTGGGGGCAAAGCCAGGGCTGAAGGAGACTGTGGCTGAGATCAGCAGACCACAGCGTCTACAGATTTGGAAAATGAACCCTGACTATGCCAAGCGGATACATCAAAGCAGCAGAGTCATCAGGACCAAGCAAGCAGGGGATGAGGAAACATCCAAAACATCCAAACCCAAGACCCTTTCCCTTCCAAAAACTCCTATCCTCACTGGACCTGACACTAACCAGCTAAGTAAAAAATAAAGAAGTGGCAATTTTTTGGACACATCTCTATTTTCCATGGACTGCATTTTTATCTTTCTCTTAAGTATGTGCCTCTCCTTTCTATGTGCATCAGAAGTTGTTCATCCTGAACTTGGACTGTGGGAACCAGAACTGAATGTAAGTCCAGCCCACAGCATTACATTTATCATGAATCTAAGACTATTAAAATAAAAACAAGAATAAGAATGCCATCTACTGGCATGGAAAGCAGCAAGGGCTCTAGCAAATCTGCATTTAGGGAATAGAGAAGGAAAACAGTTTTTTTTTTTTTTTATTTTGTTATGAAATGGTGATCACCAGAGACTGGAGAGTCACATGTAAATAGTATTAAGGGGACTGATCACAAATAAATAAATTCTTTCTTAACTAGTAAATCACTTACCTTCATCTCTCAATTTTGTATTTGCTACTACAGGCTCCATCTTGGACACAAAAGAGGTATATATAATGACACAAAAGTTTTGTTTTTTGATTTAGCAAACTGTTTCAAAACAACCTAGTCTTGTTCTTTTTTCGACATTTTAAAATATGTATTTATAAATTAGTTTGCCTATGTAGACAGAATGATAGAGCATGTGACTCTCTTGGCTGTTCCCATTTTCTATATACTGGAGTTGTAGTGGATTTTTTTTTTTTTTTGCAGTTTTATAGAGGGCAAGCAAGAGACTGATGAATTGTATTTGTTAATATTGATCACCATTTATATGATAACTTGTATGAATTTTCCTGTTAGCTAGTGATAATTCAAATTTTTAAACTTTTCCCATAACGAATCATTTAATTCTAACGATTTGTTACTTTAAAAACCCATTAAAAATACAGTATTTTATTAGGTTCTTGATAATGACTTGGTAAAATGTCCACAGAGTCAAGGTTCATTTCACTGCCTACAAATATTCAATTGTTCCAGCACCATTTGTGTAAAAGATCATCCTTTCTCCCGTTAAATTGAATGAACGCATGGCACACATGTTGAAAACCAATTGACCATACATGTGTGGATTTATTTCTGGATTCTATATGCTGTTCCATTAATCTGTTTGTTACACCAATTCCATATTCTCTTGATTACCATAGCTTTATAGTAAGTCCTGATATCAAGTAGGGTAAGTCATCCAAATTTGTTCTTTTTTAGGTTGTTTTGGCTACTTTAGGTCCTTTCCATATAAATTTTAAATCAGCTTGTCAATTTTTACAAAAAAGGGCTGCTGAGATTCTCATTGGGATTGGGTTGAATTTATAGATCAATTTGAGGAGAACTGACAACAATATTGAGCCTACTGCTCCATGAATATATCTTTGCATTTATTTAGGTCTTTTTAAAATTTTGCTCAGCAATGATTTGTAGTATAAAATTTAATTCAAAATGAATCAAATACCTAAATGTAATGGTTAAAATTATAAAAATTTTAGAAAAAAAGAGAAAAATTCTTGGTGACCCTACATTTAGCAAAGATTTCTTTAATAGGACACAAAAAATCACAAACTATAAGATAAGCTGGATGTCATCACAATTAAAATTTTGTTCTTCTAAAGACATTACTACAAAAATGAAGAGTAAGCCTCAGACCGGGGGAAACCATTTGCAAAGCACATATATGAAAAAAAAGTGTCTAGAATGTTTGAAGAACTCTCACAGTTCAATTAGAAAAGAACTTACTTTTTTAAATGGGTAAAAGATTTGAACAGGTATATGATCAAAGGAGATACAGAGATGACAAATAAGCACATCAAAAGATGCCTAATATTAGTCATTAGGGAAATGCAAATTAAAACTACAATGAGATCTCTGTACATTGCTGGTAGACTGGCTAAAATTAAAAAGACTTTCTATACCAAATGTTGGTGAGGATGTGGAGCTGCTAGAATTTTCATATACCGATGGAAGGAATAATAAATTGTGCAATCACTTTGGAAAACAGTTTGACAAATTTAAATAAAAAATACACCTACCATATAAGTCAGTGAGTCCATTCCTAGGCATTAAGTTAAGAGAAATAAAAACAGGGGTGCCAGGGTGGTGCAATGGTTGAGCATCTGACTCTTGGTTTTGGCTCAGGTTGTGATCTCAGGGTCCTAAGATTGAGCCCTGCATGGGACTCTGCACTCAGCAGAGTCTGCTGAGATTCCCTCTCCCTTTCCCTCTGGCCCTCCTGCTCATGCTCTCCATCTCTTTCTCTCTCTCAAATAAATAAGTAAATCTTTAAAAAAAAGAGAGAGAGAGAGAAATAAAAGCATATGTCTCTACAAAGCCTGGTAAAGAAATATTCACAGCAGCTTCATCTGTATTAGCCAAAACTGGAAACAACCCAAATGTCCATGAACCAATGAATGGATAAATAAATTGTGTTATATCCATACAGGGGATTACTACTGAGCAATAAAAATAAATTCACTCAGAAATAAAAAAAGAATACACTACTGCTATATACATGCAACAACATAGATTAACTCAAAATAATTAAGCTGAATGTAAGAAGCCAAACAAAAAGTGCATATCATCTTATTCTATTTTTGTAACATTCTATAAAATGCAAACTAAACTTTAGTGACCCAAAGCAGAACAGTAGTTCCCCAGGACTGGAAGGAGGTTGGGGAAGGAAGTAAGGGAGAGATTTCAAAGAGGCACAAAGAAACTTTTAGGAATATAGATATGTTCATTGATCTTGACTGTGGTGATGGTTTTACTGGTGTATACATATGTCAAAACTCATCAAAGTTTACATTTTAAATATATGCAGTTTACTTTATGTCAGTTATACTTCAATAAAGCTTTAAAATAATGTCACTCAGTTGTGGCAAAGCTGAGTAAATATTAATTTGGGGGCACCCAAAATTAGGGTGGCTCAGTCGGTTAAGCGACTGCCTTCAGCTCAGGTCATGATCCCAGGGTCCTGGGATCGAGTCCTGCATCGGGCTCTTTGCTCAGCAGGGAGCCTGCTTCTCCCTCTGCCTGCCACTTCCCCTGCTTGTTCTCTCTCTCTCTGACAAATAAATAAATAAAAATCTTTAAAAAATATATAAAATGATTTAAAAATAAAATATTAATTTTTTATTCTTTACCTTAACAAATATACTTTTGTTTTGGTGTTTCTGGTGTTTTAATCATCAGTGACATTATCGGCACAGTATTAATATAATAGACCTTGTACTCTGGTATTTGTGCACAGGGTAGATGTATAGAGTAATGTAATTGCATCTACAAGCTGGACTCACCCCCCACTCCGAAAATTTATCACTGGGCTATACCTATATTTTCTATAAACCAAGTAGGAGTTCACAGATTATCTCCACAATTGAGCTTGACCATTCAATTATTAAACCCATCTATGCTGATAGATGTGAAAATGTAACGTTCAGCATCTCCCATGCTTCTGAATGATCAAGCTGATTGTGCACATTAAAATACAACCAACCACAAAACTGCAGCTCAACCTCAAAAGATGGCCAATTAAGTTAGTGTAAAAATAAAGCCACTTCCCCTTTATCTAGAGTTAGCCATGTTAACAAAGAAAAGCTTTCAAATCTTCCTCTAGTTTGCTTCCTTTACAGTGGCAACTGGACTTGCTTCACTTTACTGAGAATGAAGTTAGTGACAGTAAGTAGGCCTTTTTCCTTTAGTCATGTGGACATGAGAGGTAAAAAGAGAAGTCTCCTTTCTTGGGGCTTAAGAGTTTAGAAGTGGCCTCGAATAACATTGTAAGTAACACTGTAACTAGTTAAATACCTAATAAGACAGAAGAGCTTATTTGGTCCATTTCCCTCTATCCCAACAAGAATGTTTTAAACAGTTCCAAAAGATTGTAATCATTTACAAGAGTCTTCAAATCCTCAGAAGAGATACCCTTAATCTCTTTCAGAAACTTCTTTTCAGCCAAGGCGCCCATGGCTAAAGTTTCAACTAACTCTGAAGGACACTCTCTAAGAATCAATGAGCTCACTTTCCAGAGTTGCTGCACCAGTCTGCATTCCTGCCAACAGAGGAAGAGGGTTCCCCTTTCTCTACATCCTTGCCAACATCTGTTGCTTCCTGTGTTAATTTTAGCCATTCTGTTTATAGCAGCTTTATCAACAATAGCCAAATTATGGAAAGAGCCCAAATGTCCATCAACTAACTGATCAATGGATAAAGAATATGTGGTGTGTGTATATATACATTTGGGGTGTGTGTGTGTATATTTGGAAAATATATATATATACACACACATATATATATGTATATACATAAAATGGAATATTGCTCAGCCATAAAGAAGAATGAAATCTTGCCATTTGCAATGACATGGATGGAGCTAGAGAGTATTATGCTAAAAGAAGTCAGTCAGTCAGAGAAAGACAGTACCATGTGATTTCACTCATATGTACAATTTAAGAAACAAAACAGATGAACATGGGGGAAAAAAGAGAGAAAGGCAAACCAGAAAATAGACTCAGCCATAGAGAAAAAACTGAGGGTTGCTGGAGGGAGGTGGGCGGGGGGATGGGTTAAATGGGTGATGGGTATTAAGGAGGGCACTTGTGATGAGCACTGAGTGTTGTATGTTAAGTGATGAGTCACTAAATTCTATACCTGAAACTAATATTGCACTGTATGTTAACTAACTGGAATTTAAGTAAAAACTTGAAGAAAAAAAGAATCAATGAGCTCATTATTTTCAGTCTTTTCTCACATTTTTCTCTTGTATCAGAGTCCACTGTAAGAATTTTCCAAGTCCTGCCCATGAACACTGTCCCAGCTCTTCACAGTCTGGCTGCATGAGTGACTCTTCACCAGAAGTCCCAATTGGATGAGCATGATTTTAAGGGGGTTCCAAAAGGTCCACCTCCCTGCTTACCTAGGGCCCAATGTTCAATAAACTTCTATTAAATCAATGTATAACTAAATACACCTCAGACATAAACAAACTGGACTGAAAACCTTGCATTTAGAATCCAAAATGGTGGGGCTCCTGGTGGCTCAGTTGGTTAAATGGCTGCCTTCGGCTCAGGCCATGATCCTAGGGTCCCAGGATGGAGCCCCATGCCGGGCTCCCTGCTCAGCAAGGGAGTCTGCTTCTCTCCTTCTCCCTGCTCACGCTCTCTCTTTCTCTCACTTCCTCTCTTTCAAATAAATAACTAAAATCTTTAAAAAAAAAAAAGAATCCAAAGTGGTTTAGACCAAACAGGTGAAAATATTGTCACCTACATCAGAGCAGATCTACTTCATGGGGTTACTGTAAGCATTAAATGAGATTTCTGTGGGTATGCACCTCTAATAGGCAGCATCTAGAAGCAAAGAACCTTAGAGAATACCATGACAATAAAACAGAATCACAGAAAATTGAGGCAGCTTGTGCAAGCCATCTGGCTCGTGGGGAAAAGAAGCAGGGTTAGAACTCATGGGGCCTCCTAGGCCAGTGCTCCACACTTGAGAACGTCACCACAGAACTCTAGAAATTCCATGGGACTTTCTAATAAATCAAAGACCTTCAGGGTAGTGAGCGACAACATGGACACATTTCAGTGGGGGATGAAGTGTGAGGAAAATAAAGCAAGAAAGAACAAACCTGCAATGTCAAAGACTTTTGTGCTAAATGTTTTCTTGCTTGTTTTCGCAATTCCCCAACATTCCTGATGTGTGCATTTTTAGCTTCATAAGGTAACTGAGGTTCGGAAAAATTAAGTGATGGGTGAAGGCAGAGAATTGCGGTCTTCTGACTCCAAGTTCAGGGCTATTTCTACTCCATAGCCATACCACGCTTGGGATGGCAGCAGGCAGTGAGCAACAGCAGTGGGTCAGGCTGGGAGAGGCCATAGAGGGTGACTGGGCCTGGGAAGGAAGGTCCTTGGGAAAGGATAGCACAAAGACAACTTCACCTGTATCACAGTGGGAAAGGCCCTTCTGGAACGAAAGCACGGAATGCAGCAACTTGGCAGTTGTTCTGTACAGGTCACCACATCTGTCCAGTCGCTCAGGCCAGAGAACTTGGTGTCATCCTTGATTCCTCTCTTTCTCACCCCCTGCAGCCAATCTGCTACTAAATTCTCATGTCTCTCCCTCCCAGTATATATCCAGACTCAAAACCCTATTCTCACCCCCAGAAGTACCCCTCCTCTCCAAGCCACTACCTCTCCCCTGCCTCATTGTCCTGACCTCCAACTGGGCTCCCTGCTCTGCCTTCAGCTTCTCCTCAGACCATCACTCAGAATGAATCTTTCTCCCCCAACATTTTATTATGAACATTTTCAAACAAAGCAAAGAAAAATTTTTTACAGTGAATCCATATATCCACAACCTTGGTTCTATCATGATTATACTTGCTTTGTCATGTTGTCTATCCCTCTTGATTCTTTTAAAATCTAACTCAGCTTATGTTGCTTCTCCCCCACAAGAACCTCCAATAGCTTCCTGTTTCCTTCAAAGGAAAAGCCAAACCCTTGTCATGACCAACAAGGGCCCAAATGAGCTGGACCATCCCACTTTCTCTGCCTTCATATCCTACTGCTTCTTGCCTGCTCCCCTCCGACACACACCCCCAGCTCTTTCCTCCCCAGCCAGAATTAGTTTAAGACACACCAGTTTCTGCACTGGCCGATCCCGGCCTGGAATTCTCTTCCTACGGATTTCTATGTGACTCATTCCCTCACTGCTTTCATGGCTCTCTTCACATGCCATATTCTGGTAAGGCCTTCACTACCTGCTCTATTTAAAGTCGCGAACCACCCCTTCCTTTACCTTCCTTCTTTCCCTACTTTTTATTTCCTCAGTAGCCCTTATTACCACAGCACTCCACATTTCAGTTATTAGTCTTGTCTGTCTCTCCCCATTATAATTTATTATTGTATGCGACATACAGAACACCGCATTAGGCATTTGATGTATGTTGACCTCATTTGATTTGCACAGTGCCTCTCTGAAAGAGAGATTCTTATCCTCAAGGAACCTGAATAACTTGCCCAAGAGTGCCCATGTATGCTGGAGCAAGAATTACAAGCCAGGTCTGTCAATATCTGAGGTCCATTCTTTTTCACCATATGATATGGACCGTTTCGGTGAGACAGGCGGGGGCCCCAGGCAGGCACCCTAGCCAGAGGCCACGGTCACATCCATTCCTCATTTTGCATTTAAATGGCTGCTTTTTCAAGATGTACCTACTGAAATTCTAACCCTGCGAGAGTAGAAATCTCACATCAGGAGTAATCAATACTTCTTTGGGGGTAGATTAGATGACAAATAAAAAGAGAACCTGTGCCACGAACACGGTATTCAAGGCAGGGGCCTGGAGGGTCTACAATAGAAACACCAAGGATTACAGAAATGCCCAGGGCACCGGGGACACAAATACACGCATCACAACCTTCTCATTTTTCCCAGAAACAAACTAGAACTAATTCAAGGAAAACGATGCATACATCCCTGCTTCATTCCTCAATTACAGAATTTATCTCATGACATAGTAATATATCTATGGATACACTGCTGCTTCTTCTGGGAGCCTCTTGAATCCTGGGAATGCAATTTATTCATCTTTGAACCCCCAATGCTTAGCACAGTTTTTGGCACATAATGGAATCTTAATAGATTTTTGTCAAATTAGTTAATCAAGTGAGTGAGTGACTGAGTGAATGAATGAATGAATGAATAATGATAAAAGACCTAGGAGCAAATGACAAAGGAAACTCTACTAAGTAGCAATGCAAACTTTTTAAAGAACTTTTATCTTTTCTCCTGGCTTCAAACACAAAAAGCACCACCTTGATTAACACAATTGCAATTTGAAAGTGATTATTACATATCACAATAACTAATGTTCCAATTTAGAGCCATGGGTGATTGGTTCAATACTGAAACAAGTGCATGAAATCCAGTAGCTTATTGGTTAAATACTGGTTTAATCTAAATCTGAACCTTAGTCCACACACAAGTTCCCCTTCCCCTTGCAACTCCTTTCTAGTTCTCTCTACTGTATAACAGTATTTGTATCTGTATCTGCATACTATAGTATACCATAAATTCTTAAAATCAGAGACCATGGCTTATTCCTACAACTAAAAGAGCAATGCTTTGAAGACAGTGGGCATTCACACAATATTATTAAAAACTAATAGTTAGGGGCGCCTGGGTGGCTCAGTCGTTAAGCATCTGCCTTCGGCTCAGGTCATGATCCCAGGGTCCTGGGATGGGGCCCCACATCGGGCTCCTTGCTCAGCGAGGAGCCCACTTCTCCCTCTCCCACTCCCCCTGCTTGTGTTCCTTCTCTTGCTTTGTCTCTGTCAAATAAATAAAATCTTTAAAAACAAAAATAAAACTAATAGTTAGATTTACTGTCTTTCCACCCTCTCCCAACTAAAGTGAGTGAGAATAGGCTTTACTACAAGTCAATTGTGATTACTAGTTCAAGCACATATCAGGACAGACAGGCTACCAGTCGCATGGCTTCAGAAAGATCACATCAGACATACCACAAGACAATCTAATGGGCCATGTACAAGAAAACAATTATCACTATTAATTATAATATAATGACATTAATTAGTATTGACATTTGCTATATGTCAGAACTCGTACTAATGTATTTATATACTTCAGCTCACTTAGTCCCCACAACACAAAATTCATTATGTACAACTATTACCCCTCATTTACTGAATGAGCAAATTAAGCTATGGAGATATTGAGTAAATTTCCTAGGGTCATCCTAAGTGTGGAAGCAGGGAATGACCAGGTTTGTATGGGCTCAAGGGTTCTGCAGATCTATAATTTTAGCATTATTTTGATTGTTTTATTTGGAGTTTGGCTTTTGTGGGGTTTTGTTTTTTTTTTTTTTGTCTCATTTTCATTTGGTTTATTTTTTATTTCATCAGGGTGTTCTTTAGACTTATACAGATTGTCTTCAAGTATAAGATCTGTATCATTTTCAGAGAGCCTATGGACCTTTGTAGGAGTTGAGAGAGTTGATTTCTTGATTACCCTGCACTGCTCTATCACTTACAGTAATAATTACAGAAGTAAAAGTGTAATAAAATGGGAGGTTTTAACCCATATTTTATGAGTCACAAATGGGCTCTTAAAAGCTGCCATTTTATTATTTCCTTTAGAGATACTTAATAGGTAATGTCAGTAGTAAAACTTAGCACCCAACCAGCAATTAATATTCCATGCCTCCAGAATTATCAACCCTCCTTAAAGGAAGAATAATCAAAAGAGGTTTGTTGTGTGCGTGTGTGTATGTGAATCTAGTTTCATACCATCTAGGTTAATAACTCAAATGTAAAGGAGCAGGAATCAAAGAGCTACCATCAACTATATAGATTAGGCAATGAAAAAAAGTGGGAAAAGAACCAAAAATGAGAAAATTATCCAGAAAATTAAAATTGTATGTGGCTATACATATAGCATATACCACCTGGAAGAAATAGCCTTAAATTGTAGACACAGCATGAAACAGCCATTGCAGAGTAGGTTAGTTTCACATTAACTCATACAATCTGACCTCCTCTGACATAGTTCAACACCTAAAAATTTTTCATTCCTCTCTAATAAACTAAACATCTCTTCACCAGATTTCCAATAACTACCCTTGCTAGAAGCTGCTGAATAACTGACTTCTTTTCAGCTCTTGCCTAACTGCTGGCTTCTTTGTATTTTCTGAAAAACAAGTGCATATCTTTGTATTTAGGCATCATTGGAAGTAGTCTGTCACCTCATAATTCAACCTGCAACAAAGCCTATTCATCCCCTTTCCCAACACCACCAGCCCCAAATTGTAGATACATCTGGCCACTACTAGAGTCTCTTCATGTGGAGTTAACCCACACAGTTGTTGTTGCTCAAGAGCTTACCAGAAGGATCCAGCATTTCTGAGTATCTGAGAGATGTAGGTTATAGGTCAGAGTATATAATACTGATTCTTTGAAATTTGTGGAGACTTGCTTTTTAATCCAGTTCATGATCATTTTTTGCTAAGTGTTCCATGTATGCTTAAGAAGAATGTATATTCTCAAAGCATTTGGTACAGTTTCTATTAGATCAAACTGTTTACTGCGTTGTTCAAATTTCTATATCTTTATTAAATATTTTTTGTTGAATATGACAATTGAGACAGTAGAATAAATTTTTTACTATTACTAGACGTCTGCTTTCCTCTAGTTCTATCAATTTTTGCTTTATAGGTTTAAGATACTTTGTTAGAAGCATATGAGTTTAGAGTTGCTAATCTTCCTGGTAATTTCAGTATTTTACCATTATTTAGTAACTCTCTCTATATATAATACTTCCTGACTTAAAGCCTATTTTATCTGATAACGTATCTGTGTCACTTTTGTTTAGATTAACATTTGCTTGGTATATTTTTTTCTATCCGTTAAGTCATTCTATGCTTTTATACTTGAGATGTAAACTAGAATATTTTTAATTTAATCTGATCCTCTCAGCCTTTAACTAGTATGTTTAATCTATTTTTATTATATTATTGATATACTTGGACTTGTTATCTTTTTTATTTTTATTGATCCCATTTTTAATGTTTCTTGACTCTGGGGTGGATTTATTTAATTTGTTCGTTTTTGTTTGTTTGTTACTTGTATTGCACTGATCTTGTGTATTGCTTCAGAGCCTCTTGCACTGCCTGCCTCTTATTTCAGCTCCTGCTGCAGTGACCATTTCTAGGTGGACTCCAAGAGCTTCACATAGGTTGCAACCCAATAGCACCTTGCCTCAGCCCTGTGGCATCTGCTTCACACCTCTTGCCCTTTACCTTCTGGGGGTGCCACATATGCAGGCATAACCTAGATACCTTAGGGAGAACAGATAGAAGCAACAACGGATAAATGCTTTCCATTGTTTGCTTGTTTTGAAGGGCAGCCATAAAATGCACTTCTTACAACCTCCCAGCTGTATACCTAATGTGAGATCAAGCAACCAGTTGACTGTATCAGTGAAAAAGAAGAGGAGAGGAGGAAGAAATTTAAATTAGAAGATCCTGACTTCTTACAATTCAAAAGTTACTGGTAGTGGACAGATGTTGGCAAGTCATGAGCCTCCACAGCTTTATAAAATAGGGACAATAATGTTTATTTATGGGGCGCCTGGGTGGCTCAGTCGTTAAACGTCTGCCTTCGGCTCAGGTCATGATCCCAGGGTCCTGGGATCGAGCCCCGCATCGGGCTCTCTGCTCTGCGGGGAGTCTGCTTTTCCCTCTCCCACTCCCCCTGCTTGTGTTCCCTCTCTCGCTGTGTCTCTCTCTGTCAAATAAATAAATAAAACCTTTAAAAAAAATAGTGCTTATTTATTTCTCAAGACTATTGTAAGAATTAAATGTGTAATACAGATAAACCTCTATTTTGAAAGGGTACCTCTAATTTTACAGTGCTATTTTATTATGAAAGAGTGTTATTTAGCATCAGCAGAATGCTTGGGGTGATAAATTATCTCTATGATTTCTAAAGATGATTTTAATGCTGGGCAAAAACAAAATGCTAACAACTACATGCTACATGCTAACAACAGCGGACTTGCCATTGGAATTACTCCATTTACTTACCAATTTATTTCTACCTGTAGTATGCATCATGGACAGACTATTCAACATCTTTCAGCGTCAATTTTCTTTTCTCTTCTTTCACATGGTAACACCACCTACCTTGTATAATTATTGGACAGATGAAGACTAGCTGTTTTTACTGCTACTTCTACTACTACTACATACAATGTGCTATGAGACAACACTCTATTGAATCAAGGCATGTTCAGATAAGCCTTGAATGCTTCCTTAAAGAAGGTTTTAGAAAACACTTAAATCAGAACCAGGAAGGGCTTTGGGTTTAGATTGGCCTGTCCCCCTTGTTACCTCTTTTACCCCATTTTGGCAAAAAGGCTGTAAACAAGAGTAAGGGCTGCTGGAAGAAATTCACTATTGAATTCCTCCTGAATCATCTCCCAGCAATGAGGAACAGACTCTGAAATCCCCATAGTTGGGCTACGAGGGACAACACACATGTGACTAATTGCCAAGACTTAACTACTGAACCACTCTGGGAGAGTATTATTTATAATTAGTGCCAGTAGGACCGGACACCTGTCTGCTCCAAAGGCATGAAATGCCCACGATTTACCTCGCATCCCAGCATTCATCAAGAAAGAGCAGCAGACACCTCTGTGCTTGAAAAGCACCGCAGAACAACTCCCTGTTGACCTCTGGTCCAAGTTTTGAGTTGATGCAAAATTTCCATTTTTCTGGTTTTATCTGTTTGTTTGTTTTTTATGGCTGGGATATGTTATCTAGATCTTTGTACTGTTCATATTAATGTGGTCTCTAAACACAAGTCAAAATTCATTCTCTGATCCCAAAAGAGTCTATAACTACTTTAGAGAATTTCTCTCCACTACTTCTTTTTTCAAGGGAATCGAGCTGACAGGCCTGAGTTATTTCAGACAGTTTAGATACGAAATTTTATGCACACATTTGTTTTTATATGTACTCACAGGTGTCCACACATATCTTTCATTTCCTTCAAAATTTAGAAGGAATAAAAACAGAGCCTTGAGTAAATCATACAAGATCTACTGTCTGCTGGCACATCCTTTGTTCAGACATGTCTCCTTCCCATGTTTCTTTCCTTGCCTAGTCTGTTTTATTCCATTTGAAGAGGCCAGTGTAAGTCTCTTCAGGTTCTGCTCACTAAGGACCTTGTACTTTTGTATAACCTGGGAAAATGATCTGAAAACCAGCACTCTTTCAGGACCTTAGAAATCCCAGACCATAATAAACTCCACAGAAGGAAGCAACTAGAATGAGGAAACAGACCAATATTCTACTCCCATTTCTGTGAGGAAGACTGCCAAGGAAACTTGTTTACATATAAGTCAGTATACCCAGATATTCTTTATGTTTTCTAGGTAGGCTTAATATGGGATTACAAGATGAAAGGAAGCACTGCAGCAGTCAAATTATTTACCAATAAAACAGCACTCAGCCTGAAAGTGAATGTACAATTCCAGTGGTGCTGTATAGTCTCGTTGGCAACTACACTGCACAGTATCAATCACATCCCTTTATAAATTTAATTTTTAAATGGGGCAATAAATTTACATGGTATAAAAATATCACCATGTTTAACATTCCCTATTTGTCCTGACATTTTTATTATTCCAAACATAAAGCAGTTTATATGTAAATTGCCATATGCTCTTAAGTTAAACTGATAGAATCTTGTCTGTGAAGGACTCGTCATTTTGTTGTAAATATGTGCAAAAACCCATTGTACAAGCAGTTCCAAGAAAAAGAAATAAAGTGTCGCATAAAAGTAGCAAACAAACTTTGGGCCCAACTCAACTGGGTCATGAATAATACTTTGTGTTAATCTTTGATTATGTTCTGACAATGACCATGTTCTCTGTTTTAAGTGAAAGCCATTAGTTAATAAAACGTTATTCTTTATCATAATATTTAGTGATTAAATGTGCTGAATGGGTTCGGCAGAGACTGTGTCTTCCACCGTGCAACTGTCCCAGCTTCTAAAACATATGCACCCACATATGCACTCACACACATTCACTCACAGTTAAGGCACAAAACAGACAGCTGAGGTTTAAAGAATATTTTCTGTATGATGAAGTAATTTAACTCAAATTTATTCCTCCCAAAGCCATCATAATAGAGTTTTGTTCATAAAGACTGTTTCATAGGAAAATCCATGCTAGTCATATTTTAAGTCATTTAATCATCTATTTATCATATACTTTATTCCATTACCCAGCACTCTAAACTAATATTTAAATAAATTGCATAGGGTAATAGAACAAATTGCATAACATTAAATTTTTATATATTTAAGGGATCCATGGGAGAGTGGCTATTTAGGATGAGGCAGGAGGATGAAGTAAGCAATGGTATTTGAAGAAACAATTACAGTATCCCAGGAGTGGGCTGCTTCCAAGATCATTTATTCATTCATTCATTCATTAAATGGTTTACTAGCACCTTCTAAGTACCCGGCACTCTTCTGGACACTGGCAATATGGAAGTTGCTATAGGCTGGATATTTGAGTCCCCTCAAAATTCATATATTAAAACCTAATCACCAGTATGATGGCATTAGGGGTGGGGCCTTTGAGAAGAGATTAGTTCGTTGGGACACAGCCCTCGTGAGTGGGATTAGTGCCCTTATAAAAAAGACCTCAGAAATCTCCCTCGCCCCTTCCCCCATATGAGGACACAGCAAGAAAATAGCCATCTATGACGGGAAACAAAACCTCACCAGACACTCAATTTGCTAGGCTTCCCAGCCTCCAGAACTGTGAGAAATAAATTTCTCTTATTTAAAGCCACCCAGTCTATGGTATTTTTGTTTTAGCAGCTCAAATGGACTAAGACAGAGGTAAACAAGACCAACAACAGTCCTTACAGTCCAGCATTAAAGTTTCCTTTTGGCAGTAAAGTAAGTAAATAATCAAATCACCAAATAGTTATATAATGTCCTGTAGAGGTGAGTGCTGTGAAGAAAACAGGACAGGATACTTTTAAGCAGAGTACATCATTATCTCGTTTATACTATTAAAATAGCATTCTGGCTACCATATAAAGAACAAACTGCACTAAGACAACTATGGAAGCAGGGTGACTAGTTAGTATACTATCATCTTAGATGAGTGCTAGTGATGAATGCAATAAGAAGGGATTATATGTAGAATCTATTTTGAAGGTAGAATCAATGGGATTTGCTAACGGATTGGATGTGGAGTGTGAGAAAAAGAGATACATCAAGGATGACTTTGAGATTTGGAGACTGAGAAATACTGAGTGCAAGAGGAACCATTTACAGAAATGAGGAACACAAAATTAAAAATTAAATTTTAAAAAACAAAAAAGTAAAAAAAAATGAGGGACAGTGATGGAAGAATGGGTGTGAAGGGGAAAAATCATGAGTTTTATTGACCATGTTAAATTTCACAAGTCTGTTAAACAACAGTCAAGCTGATGAGCAGGTAGTTGAAAATGCAAGTCTGAGGTTGAGAGGAAAGTTCAAGATGGAGAAACTAATGTTAGCAGCATCAGTATATAGATGATATTAAAGCCTCAGAAATGGATGTATCATCTAGGAAATGAAAATTCAAAGAAAGGAAAACAGGGCTAGAGACTGAGCTTGGGGCAGTCCAGTTTGTGGAGTCAGGAGGAGAAATGAAAATCCACGAGGGTGAGCCAAATGCAGACATTATTTTCAAGAGAAGGCAGAAACCAACAGAGTGGAATTCTGCCGATCTAGTAAATAAGCACTAAGAATCGTCCAGCGGACTTGGCAGGGTGGTAGTTCTTGGTGTTCTTGATGGAAGCAGTTTCAATGGGGTGCTAAGTGCAAAAGCCTGATTTGAAAAGATCCAGGAAATAATACAAAAAGAAAAGGGAAGAAAACAAATATAGGCAACTCAAGGAACTTCTCTGTAAGATGGAGGAGAGAGATGGAAGTGTAGCTAGATGAGGGATCAGAAGGCAGGATTTTTTTAAATGGAGAATATTATACCATAATGTATGTTTATAGAAATGATCCAATAAAGAAGGAAAAAATGATGATGCAAGAGTCTTCAGTTGGCTAAAAGGTCAGGGATCCAGTGCCTCAAGATGGAGTTGGCCTAAATTAGAAGGACGGACAGTTAAGTCAGTGCAACGAGAGAATATAAGGTGCTTGATTTGGATACAGGTTAGTAGATTTGATAGAAGGAAGATATGGAAGTTCTTTTCTGATAGCTTCCATTTTCTCAGTGATTAAAAAAAAAACAAAAAACAAGGTCATTAGTTGAGCACAAGTAGGGGAAAGAGAGTTAAAGCTGGAGGAGAGCAGAGTGTGCGTAAAATCATCATCTGGGGAAGTAGAAGCCAGGACCAGAGTAACACTTGGGAACAGAGGTGACCCAAGACTGGGAGTGACACAGAGACTGTGATTCACCAAAGGGAGAGCCCCAAAGAGGAGGTAAGTGAGGTACAGGAAGGCTACCTGAGCACAAGAACAAGAAGCGGGGATGTCCTAGTGCTCATCAAGAGGTTGTCTGTCCAAGGACAAAATCTTAGCTCTGCTTCCTGCAAGCAAAATTGTAAAAACACTGGAACACTGTTGGGCCCTATGGATGTGGTAAAATGAAGACCTAACATAATATCTTTCCCATGAAAAAGAGGTACTATGGCACCACAGAGAATGATGAGGCTTGGGAGTCAGATGCACAGAGTTAAAACCCAATCTTAGTAACTCACCCATCAGATGAAGTTGAACCAATTCTATTTCTTCCAAAAATCAGATTCCTCATTTACAAAGTAAAGATGCTAATATCTCCTTTGGAAGCTTGCTGTGATGATAGATACCTATAAAGTATCCTGCAGAGTACAAGTAGAACTACTATTAAGTTAAATGTTTGGACTTCTCTTTAAACATGTCAGTTTTTTGGTTTTTTTTTTTTAAGATTTTATTTATTCATTTGACAGAGAGAGACACAGCGAGAGAGGGAACACAAGCAGGGGGAGTGGAAGAGGGAGAAGCAGGCTTTCTGCGGAGCAGGGAGCCCGATGTGGGGCTCGATCCCAGGACCCCAGGATCATGACCTGAGCTGAAGGCAGATGCTCAACGACTGAGCCACCCAGGCGCCCCTAAACATATCAGTTTTAAAAAAGTAAATAAACAAACATGTCAGTTAAACATGTATTTTATCTCCACTTCCTCCAAAGACCACACTAAAAACAATAAAGAATAAAAAGAAAATCATAAACCTACAAGGAAAAAGAGAACAGAAAATGAAAAGCCTTTAGGTGCCCTATTTGACTTTTAGGAGCTGAAATCTGCACATCTTCCAACAAGAAGCAAGCTGCACCAGTCACAGAGCCCCAGAGAGTCTCAATAATTAGAGATATCAAGTATATATCAACTGGAGGCTAGACATGGGGATGAAAAAAGGTGCAATGGATGAAATGTCCAAATAACCCATCTCTACTATGTGATGCCAAATGACCATCCTTCCCCAACCCCTCAAGGGAGTTTATTGGAGAATCTGATATCTGGGGAAATTGAATCAGAGAGGCTACAGGCACCATGGATGTCAGACTGAAAACAGACACCAGCCCTTCAGCAAGCCCTTAACTCCTCGGTTTCAGATTCCTGGTAACCAAGTTTGTACTCCCCACTTTTTACCCCAAAAAAGAAAATCAAGAATGTTTTCCCAAGAAAATCAAATTCCCCAGAGAAACTGATATTTAACACCACTCCTAAAAAATTTATAGGCTAGCCACAAAGTCACTCTTGAAAAACCTCACTACTTGATAAGCCCCACTCATACTCAGAACTTTCAATTAAATGGGTCAGCTAATTGAACTCCAATAAAAACACATATCATCATAATTTGAGAAACCCCTCCAAAATTAAATCTAGAATACCAAAAAAAAGAAAGAAAGAAAAAAAGAAATGGAAGGAAAGTTGGAGGAACAAAGACCTTACTGGGAATAGAAGAATACTGAAATAAGGGAAGGAAGCGAGGGAGAGAGGGAGGGAGGGAAGAAGACAAATATCCTTAGAGGAATGAAAAGAGAAGGTTGCACCTATAAAACAAAAAAAGATGCTATTTTTATAAAGATAAGGAGAAGGCACTCAGAGAACATGAAAGTACCCTAGTAGGTAAAACTGAGAGCATCTACAGAGAATGAGAACAAACTGATGGTTGCCAAGGGCGGCGGAAGGGTTGGGGGATGAGCAAATGGGTGAAGGGGAGTGGGAGGTACAGGGTCCCAGTTACGGAATGAATAGGTCAGGGGGACAAAAGGTACAGCATAAGGACTATAGTCAATGGGAATAGTCAACGTAATAGGGATGTAGAGTGGTGGATGGTAGCTACACTTGTGGTGAGCATAGCATAATGTATAAGAGTTGTAAAATCACTATGTTATACACCTGAAACTAATATATCATGTGTCAACTATATTGCAATAAAATAAAAATAATAGTAATAATAATAATAAAACTGTATCTAAAAAGACCTCAATAGAAGGATTGGAAGACAAAGTTGAAGTCACATTCAAAAACCTAAGACAAAAATCAAGGTGGTGGATAATGGGACAGAAGAAATAAATATTTTTTAAAATTGAGAGATTAGGCTAGGAGGCCCCACAACCAAATACTGAAGTTCTGAAGAGAGAAAACGTCTGAAGAAAAGGAAATTATCAAAGAAATAATTAAAGGACATTTCTCAGGACTAAAGAAACAGGAACCTTCAGATGGGAAGGGTCAACAAGAATCTAGCACAATAAATGAAAAAGGCCCTCACGTCATTAAATTCCAGAACACCTAAGAAACCAGAAGATTCTAAAAGTTTCCAGAAAGAAGACCATTCATATATGAATAAACAAACATCAAAATGCATTAGGCTTCTCAATAGCAAAGTTAGAAACTATAAGAAATGGAGGAATAGCTCTAAAATTCTAAGGCATGATTATTTCCAACCCCATATGCTATACCCACTCAAATTATCAGGCAAGAGTGAGAGTAGGATAAAAATATTTTCAGCCATACAACTTCCCAAATCATTTATTTCCCATGTACCCTTTCCCATAAATTACTGATATACCCTCCACTAAAATGAGAGGAAAGAAGGAAAGAAAGACAGGGAAAGAAGACATGGGATCCAGGAATTAGAGGATCAAACACAGGAGAATAAAAGATAACTTAGGCAGACAACAAAGGGAGGACCCAAGGAATGATGACATTACATCAGGTGAGAGAATTCCCAGACTGAAGTCAGTAGATGAAGGGCGACAGGAGGGATGTCAGAGGGGAGGCCAGGGAAAAAAGGACTTGCTAGATCAATGGATACATGTGATCGCTTTAAAGCGTGGATTAGGAAAAATTCATGAAAATAACACAGAAAAATTAGCAAGAGAAAAATTGACAATTATTAGTACCAGGAAAATAATTTTAATTGGAAAAGAAACCTAGCCATAGTACATTATTTTGCCCAGCAGTAAAAAAAAAAAAAAAAAAGTCAGAACAATGTAAACACTAAAGTTTTTAAATGAAAAATTATGAGATAACTATAGTGAAGGAGGGTAATATAACTCTATTGGTATGGAGAGAGGGGACAGTGAAGAGAAATATATCTTCACCTACCACAATAGCAAGTCAATAGATGTTTCCAAAATTGATAAATTAAAGTTGATTAAACCAATTTGAATAGAAATATGAGCATATTATCTAGAAATACAGAAATAAAAACCATAAAAAACAATTAAAAGACTTCAAGGAAGCAGTCTCTGAGAAGCAGGACTGAGGGGTAAGAAAGAACACAGTAGAGAGCTCTCATATTTGTTTTAAGCCTCCATTAAAAGCCTTGACATTTTAAATTGTGCGTGTTCTTTTGATAAAAATAGAAAATAATTTTTTGAAATTAATATTCCTTTCCAACCATTCCATTCCTTTCTCCTTTCTTTTTCTTAAGTTCTAAATGCCCATAAACACATACCTTTATAATGAACAACACAGGCCAAGGGGGCAGTCATCATAATGGTGATCTCAGTAGGCATACACCAAATGTTTGTTGAAATGGAATGGGAATTATCTGCTCTTTTTAGATTAATGTCATATGTGAGATACTTAAATTCATATCTGTATTTTCTTTCTTTTTTTTTTTTTTTTAAAGATTTTATTTATTTATATGACAGAGAGAGACAGCGAGAACAGGAATACAAGCAGGGGGAGTGGGAGAGGGAGAAGCAGGCCTCCCGCTGAGCAGGGAGCCCGATGCGGGGCTCGATCCCAGGACCCTGGGATCATGACCTGAGCCGAAGGTAGACGCTTAATGACTGAGCCACCCAGGTGCCCCCATATCTGTATTTTCAAAAGATAGAATTAGGTAGACATGAAAGTTTCTACATTCCAAGTTAAGTTTTTCACATAATCAGGATCTAAAATATATCTGCAACCTCAATTCTAAAACTGGGTCTATTTGACATTTAATCACTCAGTTAAAAAACAAAATAAAAAAAAAAAAAATCCTAAACATTTTCACAAAAGCAATAATGTCATAAGCACAAAACTCAACACCTATTTATAGAATTCCATAGGAGGTTGTTTTTTATGAATCAATACAACCAAAAAGAGAGGTCTTTGTTCTCTTCAGAGGGGGCAGGGTGGGGAACAAAATAAATAATAAAGCAATAGGTCCATTGTCTGGAATATCATTTCCTTAAATTTGAAAATATAAAATGCCTTTCGTGTCTTACAATTAATCAAAATAACCTATTTTGAGATGCTAGAAAATACCTGCCCATTCTTCCCACAAAGAAAAAAGTCCATCTTTGCCCTTCATCCTTCCTAGATCTTCTGGGGTTTTTGTTTTTTGTTTAGAATGCTAAATAGCATTGAAAATTGATAACAAATCAAGCCAGCCTAATATACAGTCTCAAAGTTAACTGACATTACATTAAATAGATGATCAACCATCAAAATTACTACAGCAGTGTTTATTTTCCAGATCATATTTTGTAGTCTTTGAAATGTCAAATATGCATTCCCACTGAGAGGCAAATGTGGATATACATATGCAAGGATGTCATCAACATGGAGAAGACTGAAAGCAAATTTACAAGGATTCATTACAGAACTAATCCTTCCTAAAATTCTGATTAAACAAGGGACTGACAGGTTGTTTGATTCTGGGGGATTCGAGTTATTGATTACTGACACTGGAACTAGAACTCCTTATTGTCTGACTGAATGGAATTTCAGATGTGAAAGTCTATGGCCTCCAAATAAAGAACATTCATTTACACTGTGCTTTATGGAAATTAACATTATATAGTCTCTTATGACCTATTAACAGAGATCTGTCACCTGAAGAATTATATTCCTTTTTATCACATTAAAGAGCAAAACGCCACAAACATGCTCATTAATGAGTCGAAAAGTTTCTCGAAAATATATAAGCCTTTCTGAATAATGATGGGAAATGTTATACCCGATTTCCATGCCAAGTGCTCATCCCAAGCATTTATTTATTTATTTATTTTTAATTTTTTTTTAAGATTTTTATTTATTTATATGAGAGAGAGAGAATGAGAGACAGAGAGCATGAGAGGGAGGAGGGTCAGAGGGAGAAGCAGACTCCCTGCCAAGCAGGGAGCCCGATGCGGGACTCAGTCCCGGGACTCCAGGATCATGACCTGAGCCGAAGGCAGTCGCTTAACCAACTGAGCCACCCAGGCGCCCCAATCCCAAGCATTTAAATTTGCCTTTGCTTTCTGGCTTAGCCAACCTCCCACCCAACCTACCCCAAACACACGCACTTTAAAAAGTATCTGTAAATGTGTTTAGCCATGACACTCAAGTGACTGAGTTCTGGCAGTGGCCATCTTGTCTCTATCCCAGTCACAAAAACACCAAGGCACTAATTGGGAACAATGTCTTTCCTTCAGGTTCCTTGTGCCTTTGTCCTTACGCTATGTCTGGGGACAATAGCACAGCTTCCCTCTTTGAAGGGGTCACAGTTTATGCACAGAAACAACAGCCAAAGGGATAACTGCAGATAATGGTTGAGTGACAGAAGAAAGCATGGAGCAGGAGCCAAGGGAAGGAAACTGCTCACTGGCTCCATCTGAGGCAGCATTTAAGCTTGGCCTTGAAGTTTAGGGGAGGAACAGCATCAGCAGAAGCTAAGAGCAACATCCCAGTCCAAGGGACAGCATCTGAATACAAAGGCATGGCCTGCAAGCACAGTGTTTTCAGAAACTATAAGTGGTTTCCCTGTAGCTGAGACCAGAATGCACTGGTAGCAAATGTAAGAGATAAGGCTGAAAAGACAAGTTTGAGGAGTAAATTACAAAGGGTCTAGTATGCTGAGCTAAGAGCCTTGGATTTTTCTCTTGTAGGTAAGAAGGAACCGTTCAGAATTTTTAAGTAAGAGAATATAGTCCTGCAAGTTTCAAAATTAATCTGCTTCTTCATGTTTTACCACAAATTCACCTAGGAAGACCCTGAAAAGGCTCTTATCTCCATTTTAGACTTGAAAGGAGGATTCACTCATCAGCATAGATTCCCATAGTGTCTTAGATCAAGTGCCTATAAAAGGAGAGAATACCTCTCCTCTGTATTTTATACCCTTTCTAATTTTGCCCTAAGCAAGGGGGCCTTAAGTGCATGCTAAATCTACTCCTAGAATTTCCTAAAGTAATCTGCAGCTTTGAGTCCCCGACAAATAATATTCACCAAAGAAAAATTTCAGAAGCCTCTCATCTTCATTCTACATATTGCTTCGTTTTTTAGGACTGATGTCTCCCCTTAAAAAAATTTCAATATATTTGGATTTTTTGCCCTTTCACCAAATCCAGTGTGTGGTTATATGTCCTGACAATGCCTCCACTCCTTCACACTCCACCGCAGAAGCCAAACACCTGACTCTGAGTCACCTCTTCAACTTAAGTGAAGACCATTTTCTTGCATTCCTATGAAAGGAGAGCCTTTTTTTTTTTTTTTTAAAGATTTTATTTATTTATTTGACAGAGAGAGACACAGCGAGAGAAGGAACACAAGCAGGGGGAGTGGGAGAGGGAGAAGCAGGCTTCCTGTGGAGCAGGGAGCCCAATGCGGGGCTCGATCCCAGGACCCTGGGATCATGACCGAGCCGAAGGCAGGCGCTTAACCGACGGAGCCACCCAGGCACCCCAAGGAGAGCCTTTTTAAAAGCATAGTAATTGCTTGACTTGAAAGTACCACCTGCTAATTTCTAAGCAGATTAGAAGAGCAATAGATCTCCAGACAAGGCCACATTCCCAGGACTGATCTAACCAGAGAACAGAAAACCAAATCAGCACTAGAATTAGCCTTAGCTGAACTGCTGGTGAGAGATGGCTCTTTGAAGAACCGAGCTGCACAGTGCCAGATGGACAGATGTAGTTTATTCAGAAACTTCTCCAGGGAGCCCCAGGCTTAAAATTGCTACTGGGGCTCAGGAGAGGCCAGTCCAGGCCTGGAGGCCACTGGCCTGAGGCCAAAGCACACCACAGTTATAGCCTGGGCTTCTTACATTGCAGAGAAGTAGTGGGAGCAGAGGCCTACCTCCTGCCCCACACTAGAACCCCCTACGCAGCCCTTCTGAGTCAGCCAACACCTGTTAACACTGACCCCAGGCATCATGTTGATGGAGGTGCTCTATGGGTACCTTCAACACCTACAGACATGGCCACTCAATCCAAACTTTGGTTTTTAAAACTTTTTCCTTTACAATTTTTAATATTTTTAAGATTATTTTTCAGCTTTATTATAGAGAATTAAACTACTTTCCAAAGCAGTTATATGTTTATCCCATACATACAATATACATAGCTCTTACAATAAATACTGTCCCCATTCTAGAGATGAGGAAAATGTGTCTCGGAGAAGCTAAGCGACTTGCCCATCACACAGCTTTTAAGCCGTACAGCCAGAGCCACCTTCCAGATTTTTCTGCTCCCTTGGCCAAAGCTCTTTCACACTAATTCTTGGGGCTTGCTGAGACAAGTGGAATCAGTGAGAAATTCAGGGAAGACTGAAGATTTTCTGCAGGAGATTCAGGTGTGTGATAAAGTCCTGGTAGAGAGGAGGGGTAGAGAGGGAGGGTGAGAGAGGGAGAAGAGAAGGAAGGAGGGAGAGAAAGAGAAGAGGAATGGAAAGAAGGGAGCAGACTTGCTGATTTCCACCCCTCCATGTAGACCTTTTGATAGACTTGCACAAAATTTAGAACAAGTTTCATAAATAGAAATATGTCCAGCTTTAGTCAAAAGAGCTGAGTTTACAAATGTGTTGAGCATGCATCTTTTGATTTGAGAGAGGTTTTTGTCAAACTAAGTGTTTTGAGTACTGAGTCCCTCTCTCTGCCGCCGAGCGTTGCTGCCCTATGTGCCCCAATGGTCATCACTGACACAGAGGCATTAGGACACTCCATGCCGGAAGGCTACTTAAAGCCTTGAGTGTTGTGCCCTGGAAGGGGGAGGTTTAAGATGGCAAAGGGAGGCATTAAATTTACCTTCTACTACCAACTTCCTTTGCTACAGAATCTCATTTTGTTTTCCTAAATCCTTGACTATGAAAAAGCCCCTATTCTTCTGCTTTTCTTCAGAACCCATGTCTTCTTTGGATGTTGTACTCAGAATTTTTTTTTTTTTTAGGGATAGTATGACTGAGGAAATATTTTATTGAAATACAGTAAGAAAGACAATCCCTAACTGCCCCTTACATAACAGAGCTTCTGGGGACCAATCAAATTATAAATTGTAGGCCTTTTGATTACTGAACTATAATAATTAAATTACAGAAATTTCCTTAACTGTAGGGTTGAAAGGAACAAAATAACTGGCAAGTGGTCTAACCAGAGTAAATAATGTCCTTTTTATTTACATTTGGCTTTCCTATAAACTGCCTACTGGGTTGTGTGGAACTAAGGCTAGCAAAAAACTGAATCCCCATCCATCAGTATTAATCTCACACTTTGCTGTGGCTCCGTCCATTTATCTTTCCGACACAAATTAGAAATTCAAGAGTTTTAACAAATGAGCCTGCAAATGTAAACTTATTAGGCCATATATTTTTACTACACACTGTGCAGTGCCCTCCACAAAGCTGTCCCTTCAGAGAGCATTTTCCTATTTTGTGTTATTGATGGCAGCTAACTAATCACATTTTTAATGTTGTCTTTGGGGAGGGCTGTTTGAGTGAATGTGCAAGCTAAACTACCCAGAATAAATCTACCTTATTAAATGCTTGAAATTATGTGTCTTTTACGATAAAGAAACTCCCGAGCATTGTTACATTTGCTAACCTTCTTTCTGCAGGAATCAAAAGACTAGGATTAATTAAAATAATACATCAAAACTGGGGTGTTGTACAGAATGTGTCTATGTGTGAGGAAAGGCCAAGAAAAATTGGTTAATTGGTCTCTTCATCCCTACTCACTCCCCTCCATCTAAATAGCTTTAAGTGTTGCTTTCTGAACTGAACTACAATCCCATGAGCTGAGGCTCAGACAATGGCTGGTCCCCAGCCCTACCTCCACCCCAGGAAATTCCTTCTGGTTTACATAGAGCCTTTCTGATTAACAAAGAACTCCAAAAAACTGGTCCCTAGAATTAGATGCTCTAAAACATGGAGAAAGTATACAAAGTACAAACTGCGGCCCCCATGTTGTAATTCATCTAAATAAAAATGTCCTGATTTAATGCCTCTGAACAGTATCATTAGAAGTCTCAAAAGAAAATGTCTGCACGTCACTGCTTCTCTCAAAGCCCAGGTCCTCCTTTCTTTTGGCTATGGTAGGCAATCTAGTGATGGAGCTCCCTCCGTACTGTGTACAATCATTTCATTATTCTGAGGTGGTTTAATTACTGGCAGGTCCCTTATTACTGAGCTCCAGTGCTAATCTGAGCCCTGAGTGCATCTGCTTTCCACCTCTTTGCTTTGAAAGTTTTGCACTCTCAGAAGCAAATGCATACATGGCCACAATTCTGGCTTGTCACATAAATTTCAGGGATAACAAATGATGCTTAAGCTTGAATAGAGGGAATGGAGATCATCTGGGAGCTAGAGCTCTCAACAGCGCAAGTGGTAGAGACTTTGGAAGCCGCATCCATGCATGTGCTTCACTAATAAAGAGACAGAATAGAAATTTACCTAAAAGGAAAAAAAAAATGCATGTGAAGTGGGAGGTGATAAAGCAAGGACTCAATTTTTTGCAAATTAATTTCCAATTATTTGATTGCCCCACTTGAGACGTATGGCTTTTGTGAAACTGACATTTAAACACAATAAGCATATGCTCTTTGTAGAAATTAAAGTCACAAGCATTTCAAGGCTGTGTAATAGATGGCTTTAGTATTCCCCTGCAATCAGAGTTCTTCTCTACTACTTAGCTTGGAGGAGAAACATAAACTTGATTAGTACTTAACTAGAGTGTAATGGCTGATAAATTGGCCTTAATGTTTCAAAACTAGACAACTATGCTAAGGTTGCCTAGAATTTATTTCTTAACTACACAGATACACCTACTTTTCTCACTCAGGCACAGGAATCAACAATTTAAGGATGCACTAGCTCTCTTGAAGTGTATTTCTTATTTGTCTTGGATTACTTAAAGATTTAGCTGTTCTCTCTAGCAAAGGTGCAATCCCAAGAGAGGTAAGAACTGATGAATTAAAAAGAAAGTCATGGTTGGCAAAGGTAAAACGTGCTGGGAAAGTGTTCCTCATCAGAACTTGGTTTGAAAAATGCAAGGTGTTTATTTAGTCACTCAGCAAATGCTTTTTGAGCACCTACTAAGAGCTAGGATCTGTGTCAGGTGCTGGAAAGGCAAAGTTAATGACTCCTGCCATCAAGAAGCTAGTGACGAAGACAGCCATGTAAGCAGGTAATAAAACATGGTAAGGGCTATTATAGAAACATAAACCAAGAGTTTGGCAGCTCAAATAATCACCAAAGAAATGTCCCTGCCTATCAAATTTGTATTTGTTACAATGCTTAGAATCTAAATTACACTTGCTTTCATTGCATTCACATGGGGAAAAGAAAATCCATTTTGTTACTAATGTTAATGAGAACAACATTCACATTTTAAAGCTACACTGTTACCTTCACTGTGAAACAGGTGAAAGTCCCCACTACAGAAGAGCTTCTAAGAAGCTGAGTTTACATAGAAGTAAATAAATATTCATTTCAATATTTCAAACAGTACATACTAAGGGATATTTACACTTAAAAAGCACCCTACAATTAATTCTTTATTTAAGCAAAGAACCCTTTTGCAATTTGAACAATCCCCATGTTTATTTGCAGTATAAGCCTGGATTTTCATATATTAAGTTTGAATCACAAAAATCTTAGTGATGGGTCCTGAGGCAACATATTGTATTATCTTCTTAGGCCATGACACTGTCTTGCTTGCAATGAATAGAACAAAAGGCATTAAAGGCACTAATCCCTCTTGCCCTCAGGATAAGGTCCAAACTCTTTAACCTTTCATGGATCTGGTTCCCCTTAATCCTCCAGCCTCCAGATGAGTGATATAAAATAGTGGGATCTCTGTCAGTCTAGTTTCCTGAGTGACTGCATGGAACAGAAACACCTCCAGCTCCACCTCTGTCGCTACCAATCATGTTAGATATATAATGTAAGCTATAAATAAATGAACCATTTTTCTTAAACTCTTGGATTTAGGAGTTGTTTGTTACCATAGCATGGCATAGTCCCAGCCCTCAGCCTTTTGGTAGCTATGGTACAGTGTGGCCTAGAACACTGCTTTCCACACTTACGCACTTGATTGCCCTGTTCACAATTTTTGCATACCCGAATACTATTTTTATTTAAATCAATTCAGGGGTGCCTGGGTGGCTCAGTCAGTTAAGAGTCTGCCTTTGGCTCAGGTCATATTCCTGGGGTTCTGGGATCGAGCCCTGCAGGAGGCTCCCTGCTCAGCGGGGAGCCTGCTTCTCCCTCTCCCTTTGCTGCTCCCCCTGCTTGTACTCTCTCTCTCTGTCAAATAAACAAATAAAATCTTTAAAAAAAATTAATTTTTCCACCTAGAAATATGTATTTTAAAATAAAACTACATATCACTATTGTAAGTGGAAAATCAGTATCACTTCCAGTAAGTAGAAACTATACAAACCATAACTCTTAAAATAAGATACTTATATACTGCATTAAAATTGGTAATGTGCCACTAATATAGACCTAACACATTTTTAGAAATACTAGTGAAGAAAAGAAAGGCATAGGCCTTGATGTCTAACAAAATTGGGCATCATCCACCATCTACAGTGTGACCTCAGGTAATTTAACTGACCTCTCTGAAGTTCAGGTATTTTATGTATTTTATAACGTGGAAAACAATTACATAAGATTAATTTGAACATTAAATGGGAAATGTATGTGAAATTCCAAGAATATATTTTTTAAATGCACAATTTGCTGGGTTTTAGTATACTGGCTCACTTTTAATTGTCAAAAATATTAGATGTTATTGCTATTATTATTGGTGTCTCATAATCACTAGATTGTGAGCTCCTTAAGGTATTATGCTTATTCATCTCTGAGTCCTCATACCTAGTATTTGTCCTTTCTGGGGGGACAATACACCTAGTATTTGTTTTTTGTTTTCCATTCCTGTATGTATAAAATCAACCATTAAATGACTTCTCATAGTTCAACTGTAAACCACTCTGACTTAGCAGTGCCTGATTCCCACCTATAGGCTAATAAAGGGTTCTCATCTTCACAAACTGCTATTCTTCAAAATAATCTGGATCTTGTCTTTCAGTTCAATGATTTACTAATTAGCATAATTAGTAGCAGAAAGGATCTCAAGGTTGAAAGTTTGATGCACATAATTACAATACAAGAAGAAGCCAGGTTTTACACTGAGGAACTACAGGATCCACAACACTCAGACATTCAGAGTATTAAGTACAGCTTACCCTTCCTGAAGACGGCCAGAGGCCATTTTGCAGCAGCTAAGCACAAAGAACCTAAAATCAGAGAGACTTGGATTTCAACCTTGAACCCACCTTGGGCAAGTTAAGAATCCTCTCTATCCTTAGTTTCCTCATCTATAAATGACTAACAGAAGTCTCCTCTTAGGATTGTCAAAAGGGCTAAACAGAGATGCACAGAGCTTACAAGGGTTTAGAATAGGCAGTGGCACACAGCAAAAGCTTATTTATTTATTTTTTTTAAGATTTTACTTATTTGGGGCGCCTGGGTGGCTCAGTCGTTAAGCGTCTGCCTTCGGCTCAGGTCATGATCCCAGGGTCCTGGGATCGAGTCCCACATCGGGCTCCCTGCTCCGCAGGAAGCCTGCTTCTCGCTCTCCCACTCCCCCTGCTTGTGTTCCTGCTCTCGCTATCTCTCTCTCTCTGTCAAATAAATAAATAAAATCTTAAAAAAAAAAAAAAAGATTTTACTTATTTGAGAGAGAGAGAAAGCAAGAGACAGAGCACACATGAGCAGTGGGTGGGGCTGGCAGGGAGGGGCAGAGGGAGAAGCAGCCTCCCCACTGAGCAGGGAGCCCAACAGACAGACAGTGGGGCTCAATCCCATCAGGACCCCAGGATCATGACCTGAGCCAAAGGAAGACGCTTAACCTAGTGAGCCACCCAGGCACCCCAGCACAGTGCTTATTACCATCCTTTGTACACATGATTATTGTGATTATAAAACTATACATCTGACGAAGTGTAAGGATTCATACACTGAACTATTATAAAAATTTCAGGTAACTGGAGACCTTTTAGGCATCCTACAACTCCTTTTTTGTTAAATTTTTTTTAATCCAGTCATTTTATTAACAATGATAAACCAGATTATGCCATGGTTTAAAAAAAAAAGTCCAACAAAAGTTTCTCTCTTACTCTCCCAGACAACAGATGATAGACAACACTGCAGCATAGCTCATCTCCACGTGCTGCCTTCGTTCTCACCTGCTTTAGCCACTAAGCATCTCCATACCAACCTGCATGTCCGTGGCTGACGGCAGTGGGAGGGATGAGCAGGCTGGGTAGCTGAGCCACAACTGACCCACTGCTTCCACTCACACTCCTTGGCCAAAGCAAACCACATGGCATACCCATCCTCAGGGCAGCAGGGGGAGAAAAGCCACCCACCCATCTGCGGGAAGGTAGAGGAGAACCAGACAGTGAAGAGGAGTGCTAATGCCCACCACAGCTGTGAATGAGTATAATAATCACTTGTGCAGTGACTGGGTCTTAGCAATTATAATTCTCAAAACTCTTAATGAAAAGCTCTCATTACATTAAAAAATCCAATAAAACACTTAACAAAATTCCAAATTTTCAAAGCAGCTGTTGGAGGTCACAAAAGAAGAATCCTGCTAAAACATTTTTAATTCACACACAATTTCATGGATTTATGGTAGCTTCTTTTCCCACTCGAAACTCTGATCTTACCTCGTGCAAGAAAAAAGGGGGTTCCCTCTCTTTTTTGTCCACAAAGCAGCAAAAAAGGAACCTAGTTCTCAGATCCAAGGAAATGTGGGATTTGGACTTCAGTCAATATGATCATGTGATTTGTACTGGGCAGGGGACAACCAACAACAATTACCTTCCCATAGGAAAGAGGTGCCCCTATTTTACTGGCCCCTTCCAGTTTCCAGTTCACTGTCAAACTACTAAAACAAGTTATATCCCAATTATTTTCTATTTCCTCCTTCCATGTAACTTTTGAATTTGGTCTCCAAATCCACACCTCCAATCTCAATGAGATCATCCAGCCAGCTACATGAATATCTTGAATATCTTGAATATCTTACTTCACAAATTTAGAATCGCATGTAGCATTTCTGCCAAAGCTAGCTCTCTTGGTTTCATTATTTTAGTTAATTTTCTGACCAAGTTTGAATTGTCAATGAACTTTGATTTCTTCATCTCTCCTGGCTCTAAATTTTATCTGGTCCCAGGCCTATTTAATTCTTTTTATGAAATCTTTGTTTTGTATGCTCCTCCCTTTCTATTCTTTACCACCATGATACCCAGTACCTCACAGTCGGACCACTGAAACCATCTTCTAACTGGTCTCCTTTTCTCTAGGCTTTTCTATCTCCGGATTTCAGCATGCCACCTGCACAACCATCCCAAAACATTACTTTTGTTAGGTTAATCTCCAGGAGAGGGAAGAAGACCCTTCTATAACTTACCACGGCACACAGTATAAACCCCACATCCTTTTCATCAGTGGAGCTTTTGTCATGGGCATGATTCCCTCCCAAATAAAATCAAAGCACTCACTGATTTTAGGAAAGATCATGTACTTTCTCTTTCTCTGCCTTTCCCTATACATTGTCCCTGCCTAGCTAGATATAACCTCCCATCTTCAAATCCCACTTGTCATTTAAAACCTAGAACCAATGCCTCCATAAAGTCTTCCTGAATCATGGCTGGCTCTGTAAATATAACATAATTTGTGTACAAGGAGTCACAAAGCAGCATCCCACAGAATGACACTCAAGATGTATTTTGTTTTGTCAACATTGTGTTGTTGCCATCATTTAAGTTAAATTTTAATACTCTTAGGGACTACATATACTCTTCAGTTTCCTTACCACTTGAGTTTGAGAACCCTGGTCTACGCCATGTCATGCTGGTGGCATTATTTCATAATCTTTGTCTGTGATTTGTAAAAACATGTTTTGTTTATTTTTCCAACTTGTAAATTTCCTAAGGTCAGAGAAGTGTTTTTATACAATTAAAATTTTAAATAGGGCAAGATGAGACAGCACTTTGTAAACGTAATTAGCCAAAGAGTCATTGGCCGCTATGTCTCTTTTACCCCAAGTTCTTCCAGCACCAACACCAGGAGGGTATCTTTGAGCCATTCAGGAACAAAAATGGTTTTATTACTGGGGAAGAAAAATGGTTCTATAAACATCTTCTCTCTTTTCCCCTTTCCCCACCCAACTGATAACTTTTATTTTCATATTAATTCACAGATTTCCTCAGCATTTTATCCCAATTGAAGTTTAATATTAAATAAAAACTTCTGTATGCAAAAGCATCCATTTGGGAGCTCTTCAAATCCCAAATAAGAGTAGTTGTTGAAGCAACTAGATCCAATATAAAGAAATGAGCAAAAATGATTTCAAAGGAAAAAAAATATGGAAATTCGGCAAAGAGAAAAAAGAATCTCAGTGTTTGCAATGGTTTGGAAATAAAAGATGGAAACTATTTGCAGGAAATATTTTGAAAAAAGAGCAAAAGTAGGAATAGAGTAGTGATTGAAAGAGTAAATTAACTAGTAATTATTGCGTAATGCCAGCCAAGATTTCACATGCCTTATGTATGTGACAGTGACCATTCGAGTTTGGTGGTGTTGTTCTTATCCTCAATGAGGAACTGAAGTTCAGAGAATTTACCTGATCCTCAATGAGGAACTGAAGTTCAGAGAATTTACCTGAGGCTATACAACTTGGTAAATAATAGCATCATGATTCAAACCGGATCTGTCTGACTCGAAGCCTGCATTCTTGGAACTAGGCCGCACAGCCTCCTAATAAAATAAAATAGAAATTGTAGGCTTAGTAGATGATAACTGGTCCAGCAGTTTATTTTAATTAATAAAAACTTCTAACTTTATTCAAAAAGAAGTAGAAGCCACAGAAGAAAAACTCTAACAGTGTCATAAGAAAAACAATGATTAAGAAGAATTATTCTAATGTGAAATGAAGAAGAAGTGGGTGTCAGGCATTGAACTGCAAAGGAAGACCGCAGCAGTTTGGGGAGTCCACTACCATAGGCAGGACTTGGAAATGATGAGCACACAAAGGCAGGAAATGCTAGCAAGACCAACACAAGTGAGGACAGAGATTGAAGTTAACATTGTAAAGTGGTTCAGACTTTTTGGATGAGGATTTTGCAATATAATTCAATATCCATTAAAATTTTCATGCCTTATGAAACAGAAATTTCAACCTCTGGAAACTTAACTCAGAGGAATGTGGGGTGCTGGGGGGAGAGGATCCTGAATGAACAGAGATACACATAGCTGTATTAATATATTTTTTTAAAAACTAGTAATAATATGAATATCCAATAGTTGGGGAAATATTAGGTAAACTATGATATATAAGCCATTAAAATGTTAAATATGATTGCTTAGAAACCTTAGAAAAGTATTTAAAATAGGTCAAAGGCAAAAAGAAAAGCATTAATCTTGTATCCACTATAATAAAAGCTACTGTTCTTGAGCACTTACAGTGTGCCAAATTCTGATCTAAAAGCATCACATGCATGAACTCATTTAAATCTAATAACTTCTCTATGAGGAAGGTGTTATGATCATCTCCGTCATGTAGAAGAGAAGTCTGGAGGTAACGACCAGTTATGCCCCAGGTCACACAGTACTGAGAGTATGAGACAGGTTTCCAACTGATGTAGTCTGGCTCTAAGGCCCATACAATTAACAACCACAGTGTTAATGCTGCCTCCATAATTATAAGGTCTGTAATTAAATGAATGCAAAAATGAAATATATGTGGATAAAGATTAAGAACTATTACTGAAGAGGAATCAGCACAACTTGGAAGTAGAATGAAAGCAGGCAATGGAGTAGATCTCTCTGATAATGGTTTCATTCAATCCTTTCCAGAGGGTTAAATTAATTCTGTGGTCCTTTCCAGATTTTTGGTTTAGAGATATTGAAATCTCATAATTAATATTGTTCATATGTAACTAGCCACATCTAGTTTAAATCTATATATACAGTCTCACAGATATTTTCACCCACAAAAGAAATTATGACATAAAAATAGTGAAGTATAAACAAAATGTAAAAGGAATAAAATTATTCCTCCAGCTGTCAAAAAAAAAGTTAAACTCTTAAATTTATCATGTATTTTTTTATTATGTTATGTTAATCACCATACATTACATTAGTTTTTGATGTAGTGTTCCATGATTCATTGTTTGCGTATAACACCCAGTGCTCCATGCAGAACGTGCCCTCTTTAATACCCATCTTGTATGTTTTAAAATAGTGAGCATTTCATACCATAATCTAATTTCTTTGAACTAAAATGTGATTAAACATTGTGATTAGTATACATTCAAATTTTCAAGTTAGATTTAATCCCTCAGCATCTTAAGGGGGTTATGGCAAGGAGAACGACACTGTTTTCTTTAGGATAGGACTGTATAGAATTACATATATTCAAATACTTCTTCAATTAATCCATGTCTTATGACCTACTAAAAATAAATCTCAAAGGAATACTATCATACATGATGTTACATCCAACTTTTGCAAACCACAAACTGTCACAGTAATGTCACATTTCACTTCAACCCAATATCAAGACTATAACCCTCCAATTCTCAAAGGTAATTCAAGCTGTATTCAACTTTAAAAGGTTTCAACTTTAGTTAATGCCACCTTCGTTGTTGCTGAAGATTACATACCTAAAATATTAGGGACAAGTTAACACAGTCAAGCAATCAGAGGTTTGTTCTAAACAAAAGAGACATTTTCTTGTGTGACTCCTGGAAAACAAGTTTTTTCACTTTGTAGACACACCATATGTGTTATTTTCATGGGCACAAAGAAATCATCAACTTAAAAAGAGAATAAAGCCTCTGCATAATGAACACTGAACCAGACTATACATAATACACATACATATTTTCAAAACACCCATATCACATACCATTTAAACAGAGCTCCTGTGATTGAGTGTTGTAAGCAAAGGAATTTTATCCATTGTTTCTAATACTATTTCAAATGGAATCATTTGAAACCTTGATTAAAAATGTATACTGGCATGTCAGGTAAAGTATTAGGGAATAGAAATGTGCTTTTTAAGACCCATTATACAATTTTTGTTATTTGAGAAACAGAAAGTAAGAAACAAATAACACACAGGTTTCAAAATAACAAAGCTTGCTACAGCACCCATCCTCAATTTTCTCCTACCAGAGGTTATATAAAGAAATAAAATTATCAAATGGAAAAGCATACAGAGGCATACACCAGCATTGTAAAAATCAATTTAAGAAGTGCAACTGCAGTTGTCTTTCCTGGGTTTTTAATTATGTGTTTGTTTGCCATGGTGGCCTAATTTAGTCAAGAAGATGAGCCAACATTAAAAGCTGGTAGGAGAGGTAAGTAATCCCCAGGGTGGGCTGCTTGTGCTCAAGAGTTTAAACGCTACATATACAGAGGCAGAAGCCAAGGCACATTTGAGAAGGGGGTCCACATGACAAACAGTGAAAGGGGAGCAAATCAAATTTTTCACAATTAGTTGAACAACAACTGTGACAGGTTTAGCGCTTAGCATTTTCATTTGTGTGCTCAAATTTGGTTATCTGTCCTCTTTTATGCAAATGCGATGTGACAGGAGAAGCTGGGAGCACTGGAGCAGGCCAATCACTCACAACAGGGGCTAGGGCTGCTCAGCTGAGAGGCTGGGATTAAGTGGACTGAATGCTGATGGATAAATGACAGGAGCTGAGCTGAAAACCTCATGAACTGATTTAAAACTTCTAAGGGAGGATGCCAAGAATATAATTATGCTTTATGCTCCAGTCTAAACTGTCAAAAATAAAAAGATAAAAGAAGAATATAAATTGTACCAAATGAATATTATCAGCATTCATAATTTAACTAAACCCAACATGTTTATCCTACACTGGAAAATAGATAAGATTGGAAAGCTGTGTTCTTATACCACAGCCTTTAAGACTGAAGCTAAGTTTAAAAATTTAAAAGCGGAGCATAATGGAAGGAAATCCAAGACATCGCAGATTTCTTCTTAAAGGGAATCCATCTCCAGCAAGGCAGGGGCCCTCTCTGCAAAGGTGGCCCAGGCAGTTCACCTTCTACTGTCTCTCTGCAGAGAGCTGGAGGTTCAGGGTGGTGTCTCCTTCACGCCTAGAGCTGTGGAGCACGATCACCAGTACCTGGGAGAATCTGAGTGACATTTCCATGAAGCTGCAGGCTGTCTGCATTCTGCCCAACCAGTACTAACAGTCAATGATTCTACCAAGCCGAAAGGGTTGAAAAACATTAGAGCTTGTTATCTCCTTTGCTTCACGTAGGTCTTGTAATTTTATTGTCTCTACAAGTTCTTAAGAGAATATTTTACAACACTAAATTTCTCAGAAGGTAGAGTCTCCTATCTGAAAACTGGGATGTGAACTATTATCCTCAGTTCCTTTCAACCTCTGACTACAATTTCTCTATTATTGCTACACACACACACACAGCTTTCTGGGAAGACATCAATGATATAAGACAAGAAGACAGAAAAAGCATACATACATATGTACTTTATGGATAAATACATACAGAAAGGGAAAATATAATCTGAAATTCTCTTCATAAAAAGGGAGGATACCAAGCAATGCCATTCAGTAGGAAGAAACACAGAAAGTAAAGATGGTAACAAAGGCAAATCATGTTTAAATGAACTACGTAATACTCATACTGAAGAAAATACATAAATTGAGAACATAATTTGTCCCAATCAATGCTCTTAGCTAAGAGAAAATTTTCCACTCTGTAAGAAACTTTGACATAATTTGTTACCTTAGTCCACCTCTTAAAATTCAGCATTGTTTGCCACAAGATTAACTACTGTAGAGAATATAATAAAATTCAGAAAACATTAATTGCTACACATATGTATTTAACAAAAACAACAGAAAAAAATTCCAATTCTTGTACAAAAGACTTGACCTTAATATGCTAAGAAGTAAGAAATAATTAAACCTATCTTTGCAGGACTAGAATAATATAAATAAAACATTTATTACTAAACAAACCTCTTAAAATTTTTTATGGATATCAAAATATATATGCAGAAAAGGGCACAAATCATAAGTGCATATATCGACATTTTACGAAGTAAATACACCTGTGTAGCCACCATCAGGATCAAGAAATAGAATGGCAGAAGCCCTTGATAGGTCCCTTCTCAGTCATTAACCCTTCAAATGTAAACACTTTTGAATTCTGTCAGCACAAATTTCTTTTGCCTGTTTTTGAAATTCGTACAAATCAAATCATACAAAATCTACTCTTCTAGTCTGACTTCATTTTTGGGAAGGTGGGAAGGTCTGACTTCTTTACTCAGTATTACGTTTGGGGCATTTATCCGTGTTGTTGTGTAAGTGTAGTTTATACTTTTTCATTGCATAATATCCCACTGTATGTACAGAATATTCTAGTATTGATAAATGCATGGTTTGTTGCTATGAACATTCCTGTACATTTACTTTGGTGCATATATATTTTCATTTCCATGGAGTATATACTTAGGAGTAGGATTGCTGGGTCATTGCCTCTGCATGTATATTTTAATATGAATATATAGCTTTAGTAGATCCTGCCTAATAGCTTTCTAAAGAACAAAGCACTTTTTACATAGTAAGGAAATCTCACTATGCCCCACGAAATTTTCTTTCAGGTTACAAAAAAATTAGCAAGAAAAAAAATTGACTAAAATTAAATACACATGCCACAGACACAATTCTCAGCCAGAAAATAATGTGCCTAAATTGAAACCTGAATTGATTTCCCTTAGCTCTGCCAGCCAATTGTTTATTATGCCTCAGTGTGAGAAGAAAGGAGTGGCTAGCCATGGCTGCCAACTCTGATGCAGGCTGCTTAATGAGTTCATTGAATGTACTAGAAAATGATCAGTTCATTGAGTGGCTTCCCCAAAATTGTGCCATGTGACTAAAGTTACATACATATACTCCCACAAATCCCAGTTGTATGTGACAGACACAGGACCCGCTCTAAGTCATTCACAACATGAGCCACATTTTTATTCATCTAATATACTAGTTTTATCCTTTGAGAACAACAAAAGGCCTGCTGTTTGATCTATAAAAGTGCTTTTTCAGTGGGTAAATGGAGGTTGCTCTGCCTCATAGCCAGTCTCATAAAGGTGAGGGCTTGGACATCACTGTAAGTCAATCATGATACTAGTGAGGCTCACCCGCTACCAAAATGGGAACACACAGCTTAAGAAGCAAATCCAACTCCTAACTCCATCTACCAGGCCTGCCAACACATAGTCACAACTCAGAATATCAGCAACCTCCAAACAACATTCACATTTATGTTAGGGAAACTTATAGTCTAGTCCACACTCACTTCTCCCCAAGTTTTCAGTAGCTCATAAGGAGAAGGAGTTGAGGTCTGAATCTCTTCCCTCCAAGAAGCTCCCTCATCTGAGACTTTCCCCCACTTTTCCTCAGAAACAATTATGGTCTGTGGAATATTTTTTTCTATTTCAGGGGGAGTGTAGTTTACACATATTAAAAATGAAATCTTCACCCACTAATACACAATCAGCTTATCTTTCCCTGGACTCCACATAACCTTTCTTCTGGCAACTCTTGTTCACCTGACCCTTGACAATGTTTCTCATAACTTCCTACTTTACCTCGCTGCCATTCTCCAGCACGAGGTACCCTTTCCATCCCTATTTTCCTAGGAAGCTAGGTCCTTTCCCGGGAAGCCCTTGATTTCAGGCCACCCCTTTCCAAACCTTTACACAAATTCCCTCATGAACCCCTCTCATCCCCAGCCTCCTTCCCAGCCAGTGTGCCTTCTCCCATTCTCTCTGAATCTCCAGTTTTGATCAGCACAGTTCTGTCCTCTCTGCTTCTGAGCCATTTATTGGTGTTATCACCCAGAGATCTTTAAACTTCCATCTGAACTGCCTCATTCCTCCTCTCTCAGGCAGTTCAAATGACATTTCCAGGCCCGCGTCATTGGACTAAAGTTTCTTAAACAAACATCAGATCCTCATTAACAATTATATTTCAATTTTCTAGACTCCACTTTAATCAAAACAACCTGAAAATATAAATAATTTGTGGGGAGAAACTCTTTTTCAAAAGTGCCAACATACCTAAACTATCCTTCTCCACCAGACAAGTTTTTATTCATCCATTAACACTCAGCTTAGATGTCATCTCTATAGAACCTGCAGCAGCTCCTTGAGACAAAGTTAGTCATTTCATTTTTTGAGCTTCATAAGACCATTACAGCATTTAACATGTTGTATTGGAATTACCTGCTAGGATGTATGCCTTCTCCACTGGGCCATGAACTCCACAAGAGCAAGGGCTGTGTCTATTCATCTTTCTATCCCCCATTTCAACTCAATTCAGCAAATATTCAACATGCAGCACTGTGTCAATTTCAAAGTTGGTACTCAATAAATATTTCATGAGAGAATGGAAGAGTGAAGGGAGATAAATTTACATTATTTTAAAACTTTAAAAAGTTCTGGCAGAAACTTCCTTTTTCATTCCTACTTCCAAAAGGAAAAAAATGTATTTTTCCAAAATCCGTATTTAGATCAGGGAACCTCGAGGTTTGTTTTTCCAGTTTGTTTTATGTTTATAAACCTAAATTTACGTGATAAATAACTTGAATTATATGGCATAGTACAAATGGCCTTGGAGGTAATCTAGTCTAGGGTGACAGCTAATATATGGCACTCTCAGTGCCGCTCTCCACCTCCTGCACCCATAGCAGACAGCACTAATCGATCATGGCATTCCTTCTCATTAAGCCCAGACTCAGCTTTAGAATTCTCAACTCAGCACTTAACAAACAGACTGCTCTCTGGAGTTAGTGGTCAAGATGAATCCTGCTTGTCACTCTTGGTCTATTCTCTCTTATTACAGATAAGCAAAGTGAGTCCCAGAGAGGTTAAATGACTTTGCCTAGGTCACAGAGCTAATTAGTAGTAGAGGCTGAACCAAACTTTATCACCTAAGACTCTTTCCACTAGAATACACTTCATTGATCAATAGGAATGAATACTTCATAGAAAATGTTGGTTTTGTTTATTATATGTGCATGTGGGTTATATGTTAGATTATACATTACATATAATGGTTTAGAACCTTCACTTGGTATTTCTCAACCAATGGTGTCACCAGGCATAAAGACCACAATTGGTATTTCGTACCAATCCAATCTTCCCTTAAAGCCATGGAGGCATAGTTTTTCAAAACTAGTAACAGCTTAGTTCAGCTCACTGGAATAAACACACTAAATTATTTTGTAATCAGAAGTGAAGTACCTCTAAAAGTGTGCCATAAAAATAAATACAAAATACAAAAAAATACAATGAAAAAGCAGCACTGGTCAGTTTAACTGGTATCTTTCTTATAGCATCTTAGGGTATCAGAGACATATTTGAAAAGATAGCTATGGAAATTGGAATACAAGCAAGACTTATCACCTATATTAGCTTTTCAATTGGTTGTCCAATTAGTAATTTCTAAACTTTCTCTGTATATTCACATTATCCTCTTCTACCCGGGTGTCACTGCCACCCATACAAGTGGGTGTCAGATAGGACCCCAGAACTTCATAATAGTGGTTTTTTAAACAGCTCAAATGCTGTAGTTGTCTATCTTTATCATACATAAATGCTTATTATGTGTAAAAGAGTGTATGTAAAAGAAGATAAGAACTATATTAACAAGTAAGTACAAGCCATTGTTTTCTTTTCCAGAGCATAAGCTTCAAATTCTCCAAAGGGGTGGACTTGTTTCTTCCCAGTGGGCCAGCAGGGGTATAAGAAAGAAACCAAGAAAGTTGAAATAAATTAAAATCTCAGATTCCTTAGCCTCTTTTTCTTTGAGTAGCAAACTGAAAAATACTCTCAAAGAATCAACACCCAGGATACCTCATTACCAGAAGTAGAGAGGCAAATAAGAAAGAGAGCAAAGAAAAAGCAACCCTACAGACTGAGAATAGATAAAAGAAGACAAGCTAAGTTCTTAGACATGGAGTCACACAAAGGTTAGCCATTTGAGGAGAAATGAAATAAACTATGAGCAAATAACAATAATTTGAGGGGGTAGGAAATGTCTGATTTTTGTGGATCAACAAAAAGTGGTTGTAACTGACCTCTGGTTGATATTTGGGCAACATGTTTCCATTTATTTCAATGCATGACTTACAAGGGTAGCAGACTTTTGACAGTGGCCCTGTAGACACGCCTCTTCAGAGATCTGAGGTATCAAAGCAAAGCATTAGTAATCTTATTCTTGCAACAATCCCTAGGAGAAATAGTGATGGCAGCTATTGCAGGTACTTACCTAGTGCTTCTCAGACCCAGTCCAACCCTTCTACCTCTCTGGCTCTGATTGTGTATCTGCAAACTACATTTCCTAGACTAACTGCCAATGGGAGGAGCTGTTGGGGGACTACCAGGGGAAGAAAGGGAGAAGAGATGCTCCCACTTCAGGTCTTGTATGCATCCTTCCAGCATCTTTTATCACTTTCAGAATCAGCTGTGTGATCCCCTTAGAAGTCCAAGCACCAGTTGTGAGTCAGTCTCTCTTCCCTGACAGCTATCTGTTCCCTTCTATTCTTTGCCCCTGAAAAAACAATGACCGCCTCCATCACTTTTAAGCTGGTGTAACTAACACTCCATTACCCATTTTTATAAACTGTTACATGAATTTATCCCTGGGAGACAAGAAGGCAACACAATGACATGCTTTGCTATACATGTGTGAACTGAATAAAAGATGCACAGTGACCAATCACAGATTTTGAAAGAAGCAATGTGATTGTTCACTGATCATGATGCACATCTCTTATTTACACAGTGATTTGTGGACCTAAGACCTAGCGCTGAAGTTTATACTTTAAGCACTCACAGTTAATATACTGTGGTAACTGACTTTGGATCATAGTGTTGTGGGACTGGTGTTATTTAAGTAAACTGCGGCAAGTGAAATTCATGTACATTGGGGTAGTCTAGAGCAAAGACTGCCTGTAGTTATTTGTATTAAGACTCAACTATTTGAAGGTTCATAACTTCATTTCTTTTGAATCATAACTCATTCATTTCAACAAATATACCTCCAGACTTGACTAACCTTTACTTTTGAAACAAATTCACGGTAAAATGTTATGAATGAGGGCTATCTAGTCCCCTCTATTCTCTATTCTCTCATGCTATTGACACCTTTCCTAGGGTTCACACACTAGATAGGAGTCATGTGGGTTGCACTCATTGACCTGTTTTCACTGTGGGCTGCTCTACTCGGCAGACTTTTGTTAAGTACAGCCAAAGATTAGATGAGAGTGGGCACCTGATGCACACATAGATTATAGTTGTCCGGGACAAAGTTTGAATCATTGTTTACAATTCTTCATAACTTCCTGTTTTAGAATTCTACACCCATGCTCTTTCCCATGTGACACTGCTTTATTAGACTAAGAAGAGTATATTTACTACCATATTGGTGGCTTTGGCTATGTGCCTTGCTTAAGCTGATGAAATATGGGTAGATGTGAACATGTGCCAGACTGAGGTCTCAAGAGGCATGACTTGTTCAATTATCCTCCATAGAAGACAATGCTCAGGAACCTGATGCTCCTTCAGCCTGGGCCCCAGAATGAATGTACATGAAACAGAGCTAATGCCAAACCATAGCCTCAAACAAGCTTCCCAGTTGACCGCAGTTCTAAATAGGCGGAATCACCATCAACCTGTGGACAAGCAGAAGAATAAAAGCTTATTGTAAGTCACCGGGATTTTTTTTTTTTTTATATTTCCTTACACATCTGTGGGGTTTTGTTGTTGTTGTTGCTGCTGCTGTTGTATTTGCAATAGCTGATTAATATAGGACAGCAAGTGCATTTATTTAGCTAATTAGAAAATCTTCCCAAAAGTGTATACTGGAAAGTACAGAAAAGAGTTTCTATCTAGTAGAGAGAGCAAAATGGACTAGAGACACAGAGAAGGCTGAGGTACTATGGAAAAAGAGGCATGGAGTGATTGTTCTCAACCTTGAATAATTTTGGAATTCCAGGCCATATATATCCCTGAAGCCAGTTTGCCCCAAGACATGGAGCTCATAAGAAGTACCTGAAGCAGCGTGAGTTCTCAGCAACACAAAGAGCTCAATTTTCACTATCCCACCGCTGCCATACCTCCCTAGATTAGGGTTTCAAAGTATATTAGAAGCAGGTGGAGTAGAGAAGGGGAAATGGTGAGCCTTCCCCAGGATTCTTTATATCTAAAGCAGACCAGGTCTGAGGATAAATTCAATTCCTATTTCTGAATGAGGCACTGGGAGTGGGTGGTGGACCTACACTGCATCCATTTTCCTTAACACGATCTAGGCCTTTCCTTTTCCCTAAGATATGGAACCCACAGGAAATATTTTCCATTTCCTGAGCCTTTCAATTATGAATCCATTGAGCCATTACCATACCCCAAGAAAATCCTTAATCCACATAATTTCATCGTTTTTCTCAATAGTGAGAAGGGTACCAATAGTGAGAAGGTACTATTTTTACCTCCATTTTACATATGAGAAGACTGAGATTGACACTGTAAATTATTTGCTTGAGGTCACACAGTTTCTTTAAAACCAGGTGCTCCATCTCCCTACTCCAGCCATTTCATGCTGGCTGTCTTTAGGAAGTAGTGGCAGGAACCAAAGTACCAACTCTGATTTTCATTACCCTGGCATCAAGATACAGTCACTGAAAGAAAGTTAAGTTCAGAGGGAAAAAACATTTTTCTTTTACTTGCAGCAAGCATAAACAAACATATTTTTCCTTACACTGGGTGTTTTTATTCTGGTACTAGGCTTTGTTATTACACCTTTCTTCCCTGGGATTCTCCCTCTCCTCAATACCCCTTCCTACACTCTTTTTTATTTTATAATTTTCCTTCTCCCTTCCCCCAGAAAAATCCAGGGTAACCTAATCCATTTATTTTATAAACATTTGGGTGCTTATTATGAGCAAGTTACTTATGTTTTGTAAATAGAAATTACTATATTTCAGTTGTGTTAAGATTTCTAGGGATTGGGTAAAAACAGCCATCTACATACTCCAGCATGCAACAGCTGCCTTGAGTTCTGAGCAGAAGAACTTTCTATTAAAACTGACTTAAGGGCGCCTGGGTGGCTCAGTTGGTTAAGCGACTGCCTTCAGCTCAGGTCATGATCCTGGAGTCCCGGGATCGAGTCCCGCATCAGGCTCCCTGCTCAGCGAGGAGCCTGCTTCTCCCTCTGACCCTCCCCCCTCTCATGTACTCTCTTTCTCGCTCTCTCAAATAAATAAATAAATCTTAAAAAAAAAAAAAAACTGACTTAAAATTCCATTAGTTCCATGCATTTCTGTTGGCCACATCACACTTGGGCAGTCCTCAAATGATCAGGCTGTGGTGACCATGTTCTAGCATACTCTATCACTGTTCTCACAACTCATTCTGTCAGCCCTTTCCATGGTGCACCCTGAAATATCTATTAGTTATAAACAACTTCTCTTACATTCTTAATCTCCTCTTTCCCATTGATTCTTTTCCTTCAGTCTAAAAAATACAAACCTTTCCTTTCCTTTACCCAGCAAAGTCTTCAAGCTACCATACTAAATTTTGCCTTCTGCTTTGAATTTCCTACATTCAGTCTCCACCAAACATCAGTCTGATTTCTCCTTCCATGAAACTTCCTGTGTACTTTTTAAAAAATTTTATTATGTTAGTCACCATACATTACATCATTAGTTTTTGATGTAGTGTTCCATGATTCATTGTTTGCATATAACACCCAGTGCTCCATGCAATAAGCCTATGCACTTTTGAATTGGCAAATCCACAGGTCCTTTCCATCTTGATATTACTGACTTCTTACTTTATCAAGCCCCCATTTGTGATGTTCTCTCCTTCACTGGCTTTTGTAACATCCTTTCAGTTAGATCTTTTTTTTTCTAGCAACTCTTTTTTATCTGCTTCAAGGGTACCCCCTCTTCTGTCCCTTGCAAATATTGGGGTTTACCATCCTTATTTTTACCACTTTGCATGCTACATGTCCTCACTGGGGAATCTCACTCATGTAGTGTATATGGTTCTTAGACTTGTATCTGCATCCCAGACTCCTCTCCTACACTTCAGATAGCAGACATCTGCCTAGAGGATATTTCCATTTTGATATCCCACAAGGCCCTAAAACTCAACATGTCACACATGAATTCGACTTCCTTTCTTGTCCTACAAACTTGCTCCTAATCCCACTGGCCCAATTCAGCATATGACACGACCATCAACTTTGTTGCTCAGCTTAGAAATCTGGAGTCTCTGCCCTTGTTAAGCCCAATGTCCTCCCTGCCTACAGTACATCCTCCTTATCACTGCAAAAATAATCACTTCACATTTCCCTGCCCTCATCTCTGTCTTCCTTCTACTCCATCCCCTTCTTTCTTCTAAACTTTCAAACCGTTCAGTGCCCCCAACTCCAACACCTCAGGATGAAGTTCAAAGTTCTTACCATGCTCTGAACCTTCTTTCCAGACTCCTTCTATCCTAGTTCCTATTTCTTTTAAAACCCTTTATATTCCAATTGCTTCATGCTCCTGGCCATCCTCTCAGAGATGGCAAGATATTTGTTTACTCACTGGCTTGAGAGGGCAAGAAATAAAAGGAGCTGTGTTAAAAGATGCTATGCACTGAGTCCCAGGAACAAAGATTGATAGAGTTGAAGAGGATCATGGACTTCCTCAGACTGCAGTGCAGCTTCGCTGCCCTGAAGGTGTGATGTGGGTAGGGGAGAGGGACTGTGAGGTTTGGGTGTATCCAGTAAAGCAGTGTTTTAACAGAGGCCACTGTGATCAGCAGTAGAGGCAGTGGTGAAGGGTCCAGTTGAGTCTGGCGTGGAACAATGAGAGGGGACTAGTTAAGGCTAGATATTTAGGGCATGTTCAGGTATAACTGGGAAAGATGATAAAGGTGGGGAGGGAATGCTATTTATAGGGTGGAGGTTATGCAGCAAATGATATTCCTAAGTAGCTGCAAAGAAAATTGAAGTAATCTAATGAGAACTCTTTGAATTCTACCACCAAACTTCCTAAAAACATGAAATTTTCCTCCTCTCCTTACTTGTCTCTATTATCTTCTAAAGGAAGTTCTAAATGTGCTTTGGATTTTTCCCTATTCCATGTTTTTAGGCACCTTAAACTATCGTTATTGTTCATTCTACCTTATTAGGACTTTTCTGTAAAGATTTAAACATGATTTTCTGGCCTCCCTTTATCCCACTTGCCTTTCAAAGTACTTATCTATCTCTTCCACCCTTCAAAATCTCAAAAAACCTGCATATACTCTGTTTCTATATCCTTATCTTCCTTTTACTCTTTAGCCTATCCATTTTGGCTCCCAAATCCATCATTAAAAAATAAGCAAAAAAAAACAAACAAAAAACCCAGACAAAAGCATATTCCAGAGTCAATGACTTCCTTATCCTAAAATCCAATGGGTATCTTTCACATTCCCTCTTACTTTGCCTTTTAACATTTGACACTTTATCACCACCTCTTTCCTAAACCTTTTTTTTGTGGGGGGGAGCGGTATTTGTAACTACCATTCCTGGTTTTGTTCCTACCGCTTTGGCTGTCCTTTCTAATTCTCCTTTGCAGAATCTGCCTACATTATCTGGATTAAACGTAGACCTCCTCACTCTATATGTGATGTCTAGGAATCTCATTCTCACCCATAGATTAAGATTTCTGTACTAAATAATTCTCAAGTTGTTTATCATCACGGCACTGCAGTCGCACTGGGCTTCTTTCTGTCCTCAGATATGCCATACTTGGTCTTGCATGGTATTTTTGCACAAAACTATTCATTCCTCAAGAATATGCTCTCCCTCTAGTAAGCTCCTGCTCAGCTTTCAGATCTCAACTAAAAGATCACTTTTTGTGGGAAGACTTTCCTGACATCATAGGTAGGGTTCATTTGCTTTATACTTCTATAAAACTGTTTCTTTCCTTCAGAGCATTTAATTTATAATTTTGCTTTTGTTCTATGTTCTCTTTCTCTTTTGGGTGATTTCAACCCACCCCCCCGCACCGAACTATGGTAAAGGGCAGGGAAAACAAGGTAAGCATCAGTTGTTTTAATCTTCACCCACCTTTTCATAGGTGAGCTCTGCCATTTCTCAATATGAAGTCTCTTTCAGGCAGCAGTGCTGATGGGAAGAATAAAAGAGTCACCATGTATGCAGAACCGCCTCATTTACTGGCACTGAGTATGTAACCAGTGGGAGAAATAAGTCTGCAGTACTTCCAGAAATACCCAAGCGTGCAAACTCAATTGATTCCAAGGACTCATTCTTTATGAGAAGCACACATCTTTCCAAGACATTTCCCCAGATTGTGCCCTAAGATGGAACTAGATGTTACTCTCCCTTTACTTTTTTCTCAAATTAAGCTTTTTGAGATAAAACTTAAGTTCACATGCAGTTATAAGAACTAAAGATCTTGTGTATCTTTTACCAAGTTTCCTCCAATGGTAGTATCTTGCAAACACTATAGTACAATTTAACAACCACCTACTGATAGTCAAGACAATATTTCCATTACCTTAAGATCTCTCATACTGTCCTTTTACATTCACACCCACCACCTCCATAACACCTCGCAACTAGTAATCTGTTCCCCATCTTTATAATTTTGTCATTTCAAGAATGTTATATAAATGGAATCACACAGTAAGTAGCCTTTTGGGATTGGCGTGTTTTTTGTTTTTTGGGGTTTTTTTTCCCACTCAGCATAGTCTCTGGAAATTCATCCAAGGTGTAGCACATTATCAATAATGTGGTTTTTGTTCTTTTGTCTTTAATGCTGAGTAATATTTCACGGAATGAATGCATCAGATTAATCATTCACCTGTTGGAAGACATGTAGATTACTTCCAGTGGTTTGTTATTGTGAACATTTATATACAGGTATTTGTGTGAAAATAAGCTAAATGCCCAGGACTATAATTACTGGTTGATATGATAGTTGGTTTAGCTATTTAAGAAATTGCCAGTTTCCCAGACTGACTATACAATTTAATATTCCCACCAGCTATCTGAGTGATTCCGTTTCTTTTTTAAATTTTTTTAGAGAGGGAAGGGGGGCAAAAGCAGAGGGAGACAATCTTAAGGAGGCTGCACGCCCAGCGCTGAGCCCTGTGCAGGGCTTGATCTCAGGACCCTGAGATCACGACTTGAGCCGAAAACAAGAGTGGACACTTAAGTTACTGAGCCACCCAGGTGCCTCAACGAGTGATCCAGTTTCTGTGCATCCTCGCCAGTATTTGGTTTTGTCACTTTTTCTTTGGCCATTCTGGTAGTATGTAAGGACATCTTATAGCGGTTTTAATTTCCACTTCCCTAATGGCAGAGGATGTTGAATATCTTTTCATGTGTTTATCTGCCACCTGAATGTTATCTTTGGTGAAATGTCTTTTGTCCATGTACTAGTTGGATTGTTTGCTTTTTATTAAGCTTTTAAGAATTATATATTCTAGATACCAGTGCTGACACATACTAGATGTCATTTGCAAATTTCTCCCACTTTGTAGTTATTATCCTTGTAACAGATTCTTTCACAGAGCAAGTTTTAAATTTTGATGAAATCCAATTTATCATGCTGTATGGATCATACTTTTGGTGCCAAGTCTAAGAACTTTTGCCTAGCCCTAGATTCCACAGATTTCTCTTTTTCTTACAAGTTTTGTAGTTTTACGTTTAAATCCTTGATCCATTTTGAGTTAATTGTTGAATGAGGTGTCTTAGGTCAGGGAGAGGGGTGTTTGTTTTTGCCAACGGATGTCAATTGTTCCAGGATCATTTGAAAATTTTATTTCCTACATTCAACTGGTTTTGTACCCTATCAAAAATCAGTTGGGCTTATTTGTGTGCATCTTTATGAGATCTCTATTCTGTTCCATTGATCCATGTGTTTATCCTTCCTATGAAGATCCCTCCATTTTAAACACAGTCTTAATTACTATAGCTTTAAGTCTTGAAACTGGATAGACTGATTCCTTTCACTCATCTTTTTTAAAACTGTTGTGTTCTGATTCTTTTGCCTTTCCATATAAATTTTAGGATAATCTTATCTATAAAAAAACTTACTGCGATTTTGGTATTATATTAAACCTGTGTATGAATTTGGAGAATGAACACATTTATGATGGTGGGTTTTCCAATCCATGAACTCCCGCTATTTATTTAGGTCTTCCTTGATTATTGGCATTTTGTAATTTTTAGCATTCAAGTCCTGTACATGGTTAGATATACATTTAGGCGTATCATTTTTTTTTTCATGGTTGTAACTAGCATTGCATTTTAAATTTCAGTCTCCCAAATGTTTGATGTTAGTATATGGAAAAAAAATCATTCTTCTATGTTTATGATTCGCAGTAAACCATAGCTAGAGTTGCACAGAGGAAGGCCCTAAGTGTTCACCTTTTGGAAAATTCCCAGGTCCATCTGGGCAAGAGCAGTCACAGGTAGGTTACAGAAGTATATAGCACAGTGAAAATCTTAGGAAATTAAACTTGGTTGGGCATTAGGTCTGAATGGTGTGGCTTATACTTTATGTGGTAATGTAAGTTGTGCTGAGGTGCTCTTGTGGCAGATAAAAAGGGTGGGTCTTTTTTTGGGGGGGGGGGGGAGTACCTTGGAACTCATTCAGGTTTCTGTCATCATCCCTATAGAGTGCTTCCCCATGAGGAACATAAGAGGGACCCTGTATAAATGTATTCTTGGATGCATGTTTTTAACATTTTTTTAAGTAAGCTCTATACCCAGCGTAGAGCCCAACACAGGGCTTGAACTCACAACCCTGAGAGCAAGACCTGAGCTGAGATCAAGAGTCAGACCCTAACTGACTGAGCCACTCAGGTACCCTGGATGTGTATTTTTAATACATTTTATATATATATGATGCTCAGTAAAGCTTATCAGTTGGGGGAAAAAACCAAAAGTACAAATGCATTACTTGCTCGTAGGCTGCTTTCTTTTAATTAGAACTTTAACAAATGCAAGACTAAATCTATCTCCCCATCTTCAGCACCTTAGAAGGCCCTATTTTTTTGTGAGTACTCCCAATTTGAGGATTCTCGCCTCTTTTTCACTGGATATCTTGATAAAACAAAATTTAAAAACCTATTCTAGGTTAACCAATCATTGGTTAGGATGCGATTTCGTTTTCAGTATATGTAGTTTTCATCCATTTAGTATTACAAATATGACATATGTGAGGGCTATCATGGCTAACAATCAGATCAGTACTCAAAGAATATTTTAAGAGTTACCTGTTTGATGTTTAAATTCTTACCTCATTCAGACATGACAATTGCTAAGTGCCAGAGATCTTCTTTTCTATCATTCTTTAATTTCTGTTAACTCTGAATATTAACTTGATAAAAAAAAATAAAATGTGAAATTGGCATATTACCTACTAGACTTATCACACAAAAACTAAATACTGCATTAAACTTAGTACAAATTTGACTATTTCTAACTCCAAAATTGCAGACATCTCTAAGTATTTCTTCCTAACATCAACTTCTAATAAAAAGTGATGCCATGAAGTCTTAAGTCATAGAGATTTAAAAAAAAAAAAAAAAGAGCATGGTAACGTCCCTGAAATTTTTTATTTAAATGAGATCTTTGGAATAAGTTAACATTTTAACATTAAAAATGTTTCAAAAATGTGGGAGATTTTAAAAGCTTTGTGTGAAACTTGTACTCTATCCTCCCTGAAGTCAGAAGTCTTTTCATTAACTCCATTTCCTAAATTCAAAGTCCTCAAAACAAATACACTTACATACTACATTTTAGATAATCAGAATCATGATTCTCAGCACTGAACACAAAGTGCATTCTTACATACTTCAGTAACTCATTTCTAGGTTTAAAAAAGGTCAAAGCCTGGCAAGAAAACTCCACCACAACACTGCAAACCCTCCAATATTGTAATTAATGTCACACAATATAGTGTATTAGATAAATATTAGATAAAACATCACCATTACATAAATAGCTCAGGAAAATGTCCATGGTTTGCAAGGGATTTTATTCTTCCCAGAAGAAAATGGATTTTTTTTTTTTTTTTTTTTTGCTTAGGACATAGAAGGAAAATATATGGAACCCATCATCTTCCCATTTCTACATAATTTCTTTCAGTCTACTTCATGCTTTATGTTTCAGAAACAAATGTTCATGAATTTCATGGGGAAAACAAATCATGTTTTCCTGAAGAAAAGCAGTTTGGAGAGTTGACATAATACGGGGAGTTTGTCATTTCTATAAATTATGTGGTCTCTGTGTATTCTTCTAGTGCTTATGATATTGAGAAATGGAAATTCCAGTCCTGATTCTGCCATTTATTTAATAAAGGTAAAGATTATCTGTCCTTTCAATACAGACTAGTTATGAGACTATAAAAAAATCTGGTATGGTATACAAAATCCTGGCAACAACATATTGTGGAAAATACTAATAGCGTCACTATTGCATCAGAGCTGAACTACTCGATCAAGCATAATTTGGTTGGTTCCTGTTAAAATATGAAATTCAGTTTTAACAAGTGCAAAAAACTGAATTTATGCTGTTCTCCAAAGCCAAATTATGAAAGTACCTACATGTTAAAAATCTCTGCTTTGTAAAAGATCAAACTGAAAATGTTACCATGAGTTTTAAAAACAAGTATACTTTAACCCAGGAGTTTTGAGAATATATCTTGAAGGACTAATCAAAGATATTCAAGGGTACAGCATCATTTATATTAAAATAAAAAATGGAAAGGAAGACCCTATGCACCCAAAATGAGGATTCAATACATTACGATTCATCTACAACTGGAGGGGCTTTAAAAAAATGGTATGAACCTATTATCATAAATGAAAAAAGACTACAAAACAGTACACATAACCCCATTTTTAAATGTTCCGTGATCATTTATAAATAATTGGCTATCATCCTGTCTTTTTAATTTTTAGCTTTTCTACAATACGCTATTACATGTGATTTTTTTTAAAATTTTTTTTAAAGACCAAATTCATTCATACTTCATGCAGAAATATTTTTTCAGGTTAAGTGAAGGTTGACAATATGCTCAATAATCTGCAAATATTCCACAGGGGCTGGATATGTAAAGTATATACTATATGAAGTACGTTTTAAAAATAATTTTACCCAGTACATTATTAACCAAAGTCCTCTACTATTTCATAACCAGATTTCTTTAACTAGACTTTATCGAGACTTATGCACTTTGAGGTGATAATGTGTTTCTTGTAGAAGCAGGGTCACAAGTGGAAGACAGGTTACTACCAAGCTTATTTAACCCACGTTACAGATGATAGAAGGTATATCTGCAAGGAAAACAAAAAAACAAATACAGCAATATTTATCAATCATTGAAATTAAATATGAAATGAGCATGCTGAATGCTGAAAAAGCAGGTCAAATCAGGAGAACAAACACTGAGGTGAAAACTGAAAATTATAGAGGGAAGTTCTGGAAACTTTCAATGGCTTTGGAGGTTGACAGCATAAGCCCTTTACACGGAATTTCACTTCAGAATATACGGCAGTCTTTCTTTGACATCACAATAGTATTTTATCCTTATTACTCATGGTAAGGAGAAACTTTCTGGCCCCCAAATAGAATAACGAGATAAATCCTAGCAGTAAAGAGGCAGGAATTATGGAGAAGAAGGGTATGGAGGACTTGTATATATGTTAGAAAAGGAGTCATTAGGCCAATAACACATTGGTACCAAAGGTGAATTAGAACAATTTAAAGTGGGAATGGAGGGCAGAGAGGCAACCTGGAGGCACTTGTGTGTATATATATTTATATTTTCAGAATTCTCAACTGTGCAACGCCTGAGGGCTGCAAATTTTTCTTTCTATTCCGTATTAATATAACTGATGCAAGATGCAGGACAATTTTAAAAAGTTAACAACTGTTTTTAGTAAGACTATTTTATTTAAAAATTTTTCAAAATATAAAAATAATAAACATTATGGATATTTAACAAACAAAACATAATTCAACTATAAATAATAAAAATGTTGACAACCCCACATAAACATATAATACTATAAACATTCTAAGCATACAAGAGTAGTTTTCTAGTTCAAGTTTTACCTTTTTCAGTTCAAGTTTTATCACTTTGAAAAATAAACAAACAAAAAAAAAGCTGCTACAGCTTAACCAATTACTTTCGCTCCACTCAAAGAGCAGGGAATTTTTCCCCCATGCCAAAACACATTCGTGAAATGGGATACTTATGGGCACAGGTATTAAAAACTGGAACAATCCAGTCTCCAGACAAGAAAAAGACTCCTTTGGTGTTTTTAGGTTCAACAATCCACAGAAACTGAGTAAAACTAAACCACTTATTAAAGGAAATCTTGTGCCAGATAACATGTTCTGAAGAATTATCACACCTAAAACAGGTTCAGGATTCTGAGAATCAAAAGTAAACGTCTATGAATGCTTTGCTGATACTTAAAAATTGTATCTTAAGAACATTCACTAAGGTGCTGGAATGAAGTCTTCTAGATGTACACATCAACGTAAAACTTGTACAACGTAAATAATACATCCCTTTACAACTCATCAAATGTTCTATTAATATGTAAGAATTACCCTGCCTCCTGTTCAGTTAAAGACAGATGGGAATTTGAAGCAGAGCAGGATTACACCATATTTTAGGACTGGAAAAGTTTTCCACCTGAAATTTAGGAAAACTGAGCCATGCTGAATGTATCATTTTTTTTTTTTTTATTCTAGCCAGATTAAAGCTCCTCTTATCAAAAGAGCTAAGGACAAACTGAAGAAAACTATTTTCTTTTTTGGAAGCTGGGCACAAATAAGTATACTGTAATTCTGTACCATATCTTTAAATTACGGGGTGTTTCTAACAGGCTGGGCTCTTTACCTGACTTACCACAGACCACTTTTATAATTATGCTGCTAGATTAGAATAAGTAACAAGTGATCATACATTAAAGCCTAGCGAAGTCTAGATAACAGGTTCAAAAATGATATTGAAAGGTTTTTTTTTTTAGCACCAATTACTTTTTCCTAAGACACTTGGGCTGCATCACTTTAAAGTATTATTTATCTTGTAAACAAGACCAAAAATATTCAGTTGATCTGTATTTTGAGCATAAATATTTATAAACTCTATTTAAAAAAAACAAATATAGCATGACTAGAGCTGCTAATAGTGTAAAATCTAAGTATATTGAAAAATATAAAGATATATAAAAGGCTTCCATAATGCAATCATGCAGAGGTAAACCACTTCATTCAATTACACAAAAGTGATTCTGTACAGTTATCTACATATAGCTCCATGAGAATCCTACTCAGGAAAATGAAATGATGAAAATCCTTATCTTTAATTAATCAACATATAGGAATTTAAATATATAACTGACCTATTGGCTCTCACAGAAATTTTCAAAAAGCACAATGATCTTAATGAGAAATCAAATCATCTCGAATTCTGGTTCCCAATGGCATGTTTAATTTTGTTTTGCTTTATTTTGTTTTTAATTTAAAAGCAAGGGAAAGAAAAAGAAAGATGACAAAGTAAAGTTGAGGGTGCTGGTATGTGGTCCACATCCAAGAACCAATCAAAATTGTTAACAAGTGTGGTCTCTTCAGACTATGTTCTTTGGGTTTCTAACCTAGCAAGTAAATCACTATCACGGGGGAAGAGAATCTTCTTTCCTTGAAAAGAAAAAAATACTGAACTATTCTGGGAAGTATCTTTGAACTCCTTGTGGCTATACGCTAGCTTGCAAATATGAACTAAAACAAAAGTCTCATTTTAAAAATGCCCTGTAGGCTACTGGGTCATAATTATATTAGAAGACCTTCCAAAATATGTACTTTTCCTTTAAACACAAGCCTAATATTAACCAAGCTATTGTCAATTAATGTGGATCAAAATAATTTACATTATGATTGATGTGTTCATTCTTTTTATTTTTCATGAAGACAAATGCACTGCACACTCAAGAAAAAGAAGTGTTTGCAGAATAGTCAACTTTGCGCAAAAAAATGTGAAAATATGAGCATGGCTGACAGAAACTAAAAAAACAAGGGTGAATAAAATCAAGTATAATTTGGACTTTTCTATTAAAGTATATCTTCCAAACTTCTCAAATGCCTCATGAGAATCTATGAAGGACTACTCAGAAATTAATTTTCTGAAAGCTTCTTTATATGATGCTCATTACAAAAAGGGTATTTGGGGTGAATATTTAGAATCAGATTTAATCACTCTCTTTATAAATAATTCTAAGCCATACTGCTTAAAAATAATATTATGAACATACACCTTTTGAGACAGGAAAACTATAGTCTTTAACAATGTTAGACACACAACACAATTTCCCCTTGCTTTTAAGATTGTCTTTGATGTCTTGATTGCAAGTGAGGAAAATATGGGGAAAATGCGTAAATTAGACATTTAATAGATATTTCTCAATATTTATAATCCACAGATCATCCTGTATTACTTGAAAAGAAAGAAAATTATTCTCCTTGTTGGTTGTGAAGAGCTAAGAAATTTTTTTGAAAAATTATTTGGGTAAGTGGCCTTGGCAACAATTTCAGTTAAGTATACGGAGAAGAAATAGGCAAGTTATTACAGTGTATAAAAAAGTATTTTAGCATCTGTTCAAAATTTTTTAAGTGACTATTCTAACCCCAGAAATGTATCCTAAAACCCAGAAAAATTAAAAACAGACCCATGCTTAACTTTTTAATCATTTTCTTCATTCTAAATTGTTCATGCTAATGAACACAGTATCATGGCTTTATAGATTTCCTAGACACAATTTTCAACTTGGCTGCAACTGAACTTATCTCATTTTAGGAAGCCAAGAGGTCTTTTTCCTTCTTAGTGTTTAAAAAATAAATGGCTATAAAGTAAGGGGAGAACACGTTTAAGATAAGAGCAAGGTCAGACAAAGCACACACTCAGACATACTTCTGGACTCAGATGTAGCAATTAGAGAACTGCAAAAAGACAAAAGGCGAATTATAGTACATGTAAACATCTATTCAAATTGATAAAGAGCAAACATAAAATGATAGGATGATATTCTAACAGTCGTCTCCAGACAGGAACAGGTCTTGCTGTTGTAGTCACAAAGCTAAATTCAGGCAATGATGATCTCTCTCTGCTGGAAAAAGAGAAGACTATTAAAAAAAACTTTGAAAATATTAAATAAATCTAAAAACTGAATCACACCATAAATTGATCTCCAACTTTTCTAAACATTTAAAAAAAAAATCTATTTGAGAAAGGAATCAAAATAAAGTTGCAGACAAATTTCACAAAGAATCAGCTTTGGGTTAAATGATCTTAACAAAACCTCTCTGCATCATGCTTCCTTAAAACATTAAGCCACAAAGATCACAGCACTACAACACAGCTGTGATTGACAATTTCTGCTCAGGAAATGCAGTAACTGACAAAATAGTCAATTGTTAAAGAAGTGTGGGTAGGCAAAGTAACTTTAAGAAATCATGAATAAATTCCAAGATAGTGTATATATAAAAAAAAAAAAAACAATTTTCTTAAATTTCCCAATGATTTCAAAGTAATTGTGAGGTGTATCTAATTTCCTTAAACTCCGTATGATAACCATTTCATTCTTTAATTACACTACAGGACATAAAATTCTGTACTAAGCACAATGATTAAACAACCAAAAATAAAAAGGAACACATCAGAATGAGACAGTGCTTGGTATACAAAGGAAGACTAACTTTGGATGATGGGAAGTTAAGTGGATGGATGAAATAAAGCAATAGGGAGGGAGGAATTAGGAACAATAATAAATTGATACCAAAAAAAAGTAAAACAAAAAAGTGCTTTCAATTATACTACGTAATGAATACATATTACTGATAAACTGCAAGAAAGTTATTTACCAAACTCAGAATTTTCCTACTAACCCAATATGATGTTTTCATTAGAAAATAGTGAGAATGGCAGTCATTTCACCAAGATTTCATTCTTTCTTAGAACTTTTAGGTAGCTAGTTTGGAAGATAATCTCTTGTCATGATCAGAGAGAGAAAGAGAGAAAAAAAGCTACTCTCCTCTAAAAGCCTGTATACATACCTTAGAGCAACTAGCCAGTTCAAGAAGTTAACAAGAACAAGGTAGTTCCTGAGATCTGGGAAAAGGAAATTTTCTCTCTGCCTTACAAACATCATTCACTGATGACTTAATCCTAAATCTGTGTTTTTACTTATAGGGCTTTAGAATAATAAAAGCCCTGAGAGAAAAGACCAAAAAAGTAAACTAATTTAATTAACTAGAATTTCATGCAGGACATTTTTATTTTAAAAGACTAAAAGATTTTTGTGTAAGGGAAGAAAAAAAGCTTATAAATATTTCTACAAATTCTAGAAGGACTAAAACTAATTTTCTACAACTGGTTCACATTATGTGTAAGGGGAAGAAAAAAAGAAAATACAGATTGGTAAAGTTTGTGTAACACTCTAAAATAACCATTGATATTTCAACATACCAAACAAGCAAATGTTTTGCTTTCTTATGTAACCCTTAGAGCCAATGATTAGTGTTCCAAGTAAGATTGGAAATACAGTCCCCATAAAACAGTTCTAGTCACAGGAAATTTCCTAGAATTAAGCTCAACCATACTTTCTACAGGTAATCAATCAGTCTAAAACACTGAAGTTTTGTCTTTATAGTAAACTACTGGTTGATACACTTGATCATATTACAATAAAACAAGAGCTATGGAATACTCTCCCATTCCTGCAACATGATTTCATTAAATGGTTGGGCATCAATTAAATACTAAAATTAATTTTTAAAATCTTACAATTATTCAATAACATTTAAACAACACTGCTTAAGTAGACATAAAATATTGAGTGAAATATGTAAAATGACAACTCAACCATCCCTTGAGGTAATCCTAATCAATCTTTTAACCAATAATATGTAATTTCTCTCTTTTTTTTTCCTTTAAGTAGCAGCTACCTACATTGTTCTGAATCCTTTTCTCACTTCAAACTCAGCCCAGATCTGTACTAAAGCAAAGAACTTGTTGGGAGAATTGTAGAATTAAAAATGTGTTTCAAGTTTTAGGTAGCACATTGTAACAGGAAAGAGTTTTTAGACTTTTGAGTTTAGAAACAAAAGGAAAAGTGAATAGACAGTCTACTAAGTCTAGTGAACAGGGAAGTTTACCTATGCGTTAGAGGTTAAATGAATTTTGTGCCAGAAAAGCATCTGGGAACACTATATACAAAACTGTACCAAGACGTATTAATACAGATTATCATAACCAAATCTAAGTTGTTTCCATTGATAAGATAACAGAAACAACAATGGCATCAACAGGTAGGGAGAACTGGTACAGATATATTAAACTGTTTTAGATCAAATATACTACCAAGAAAACTATAGGTGTGAAAGGGACCTTAAGATCATCTAGTCCAACCCCTTTCATTTTACAGACAAGGAAACACCCCTGGATAAGTTAAGAGACTTGTCTAAGGCCAGAGAGTTAGTTGCAGAGCTGGGACCAAAAGCTAAATCTCTTAACTCTTATCTGGTAGCTCTATGCTAGGTCATCTTTGGCTATAAAAAAATTAGTGGGATGGACTAGATTGGTGGCTCTTGGCATTTCTTTTCTTACACACCGACAGAAACCAAAGGCTAGTTTACTCCTGAAACCGACTGCAACATTTAATACTCCAAATTATTCATTTCTTACTTAATTGCTGTGGAAATTCCATTAAGACTACATGTATATTCCTCCATCAGTATTTGTAACCCCACTATTGCAATACCTAACTGTTCAACTGTTTAGCAAAATGGTCTCAACAACGGAGAAGACCTTTAGGAGAGATTTTTGAAAAATTGATAAGAATTAACAAGGGATGTAATTGTCACTCCATTATTGGAGATTTATATATGCATTCATTCATTAATTCATCCAACAAACATCTGAGTGCCCACTATGAGCCAGGTTTTGTGATAATCACTAGAGATAAAAAGATGAATAAGACATGGTCCCCTTCCTAGAGGAGCTTATAATTTAGTGGGGAAGACAGACATATAAACCAGATAAATTATATTACAACATAAGTACTATAACAGAGATATGAACAAAGTGCTGTTTAGAAGGGAGGGTAAAGGTATGAACTGGCTAATGACCAAGAAGTCTACCAATTCTGTGCAAGAACTACCACATTTACTGCAAACACAATCTCATGCTCAATCAATAATTAGGAAGGAGTAGCAATGTAGAGTTTAAAAAAAAAAAAAAAAGTTGGCACCGAAATCAGAATGCCTGCACTCAAATCTAGTCCTTTCACTCACTAGCTGTGACTTTGGGCAAGTCACTCCATCTCTATTAGCCTAAGTTTCCTTATCTGTAAAATGGGAATTAGCAACTACTTCAAAGGGATACCTTAAGTTTTAAATCAGAACACATGGAAGTACATGCAGAGTACTAGTATTTATAAGCATATTCATTAATTTCAAAAATCCAATAGCAACCAAGTACTAATATTTATAGTTAAAATCATCTTAATGATAATAAAAATGTAACTGTGAACCTAATGGAATGTAATATTTAGTCCTCATTCTTTGGGACAAAATAGAAACACACTTGTTTTCTGATTCATTCAAAGCGACATGGTTTAAAACATTTTAATTTTAGGTTACTAGAGAATTTAAGACTAGGGAAACTGATAAGCTATTTATGGATTTAAATAAGTAGGAGGTAATTTCAATTACATTATAAGGGAATTTTACAATAATTTTTAAAAATCAGGCTAAAATTTACTAGTAAAATTATAAAGCCAAAAATCAGCATGGAGATTTAACTGGCCTTTGAAAGATTTTCTTTCTTTATAATACCTGTTTGGTGTAAAGAGAAGAAACGTGAGCCTCTGCCAATTTGGCACCTTTCACGACTACTAAAAAGAAAAGAAAACAAACTTACCTAATGAATCAGAATAGCACATAGTCAACATACAAGAGACTACATAAAAATATATCACAGATCTAAGTAAAGAAGTTTTTGAGTAAAGTCACTTTTGACAAAAGAAATCAATTTTGAAATTTTAAATATAATACATGTACCAACTGCAAGGCAAAACATTCCTATGAGATAGTATTACCATCAAGAACATATATACAATTTTAACCCTAAGTGCGGGAGGAAAAAATAAAAGAGGAACAGAATCCATTAGTTACCCCACTGATAGAGGATTATGGTGTTGGAATTACAGTTTGTGACTGTGAGGACCTCAGTATGGTAAGAAAGTGATTTTTTTAATGTGACATTGAATATAATCACTGTAATCTCAGGAGGGGCAGAAACACTTGCAACTGAAATGATGAATTTTGAAAGATAAATATGTAATCTCCCACCCCCTCATTCTACAAAGATGCATTTATTTCCTGAAACTGCTGTATCAACTTTCAACGATCACGTTCATTTGCCAGAGAAATCCACTTAAAAATCACAATACTGGTGCAAATGTCAAAGATTTTTATACAAGTATAGGAAATGCACACTTAAAATATCAGACTGGAACACTTACCAAACAGTGTTTTCCTAAAGTAGTATCTATAGTACATTTCTTTATTCATACATCTTCAAATGGTCAAGTTTTCTTTCATATATCCAAAATGTAATGTGATGTTTTCTTATTCACCAAATGTTAGCTCTACTTGAAGTCTGGTTCCAAACTAATCAGCCTGCTTTTAAATTTTAAGACATCTGTTGAAAATTTATAGGATCAAACCAAACTGAAGTGGTATAAATTTTTAACATTGGATTGTACATTATTGTAAAGGTACCAGTAACCATTATTAATAAGTTAGTGATTATAGCTCCTTTTGTGATAATTGGGGGGAAGGGTAGATCACCATCTGGAATGGTCTATTTATTTTAATTTTTTTTTTTTTCTTTTCTTTTTTCTTTTTTAAAATCAAGGAACATTGTCTTGGCCTTTGTGGGTTTTTTTTTTTTTTTTGTCATTGCCTTTTTTTTTTCTTTTCTTTTCAAGAGACCATTCCACTTTATTTTTAACATCTGAATGCATAAGGACTCAAATGCAAAGCAGTCATACACCGTTATCATTAAAACCCATATGGTAAAATACATACACAAGTCCAACAAAAGGCTAATACATAGTAAAGCCTAAGCATACTACTATGTAATATTATGAATACATAACTTGGAGACTTTAGTTAGAGTACTATGTTATCTATTCATTTTTGAAAACATTCATTAAGATTTTAAATGCAAATTCATTCCTTATTTGGAGTAAAACAAAATCCTCTAAGTTGTAACAAGTATTGGTCGTAAGTTTTTAGACCTATTCTTTAAATTACAAAGAACCCAAAGAATTCCGTAATGTTCAGTAGAAGTATGTAATAAAAACATTGCATATGTTTCTAGTGTGATGTCTTTAGCAATTGTTTACTGAAATAAAATGCAAACATCAATCTTTCAAAATACAGGATCAGAAGGTAGTTTTCTTCTCTTTTGTCTATTTGTGAAATCCATCTTCATCACATTTTACCAAAAAAATTGTTTTTACAAATATGTAAAAGTACATTAGATAATACTAATGAAACACAGGTAGAGTTCTAGCATATGCAGATCAATGATCAGTCAAATCATCTTCTCCAAGAACGAGATTCATTGTCCTCTTCTTCTTCATCATCATCTTGAAGTAATGAGTCATCCACCAAAGACTCTTCCTGAAACTTTAGGTTAAAATGCATTTAGGAATTTACCCAAAAAAAAAAGAAAAGAAAAAAGGTGACACTTTTAAATACTGATTTCTCTCAACAGAGGCGAATACAAAAGGTATTTCTATAGCTACAATATTCAAGAACAAAGAAAAGCAAACTTTATCCACTCAGTGGCTTCTCTACAGTATCTATTCTATTGCTTATATCAAACAGGCACTAAAACAATATCCAAGGAAGCCCTTGTACATGCCATTTCTCCTGCCTCACTTGATCAAATTATGCCATCTTCTACACCTGCAGAACAGTGCGCAATACCTTTAGTGCTTAAAAAACGAAAACATCAATTTAAGTCTTCTCTGACTTACCCTGTCTAACCCTGGACACTAAATCAACCAATAACTTGTAGAAATGTCTATCAAGATTTATAGATTTATATTTCTTTCTGCTGTATGTAACAAACATTTCTTTTATAGCATTCCTTGCTTTTCCCCATTCCCTTCATAAAAGCTTCTCAGACTGCTTTTCAAACTTTTCAAAATACCTAATACCAGGAGCTCTCCTGCTTTTCTCCCCATTCAATTCAAACTCATGGAAGGACAAAGGTATAATCTAAAACATAAAATGACAAATCATGTATATGAGTTTCAAAATACACATTTTATTCTTGCATTTGACTATGGATATGTATAACAGCCTCGAATGCTCTTCAAACAAAATGAAGTGCCATTACGAAAATCTAACAAAGGTAAAACATGGAATCATTGTTTCCCCACCTTACCTTTATTTATTAACCTCAACTTTTTCCTACAGCTTATTTCATGATCAAACAAAATAGAGTTATTTTTATGTTTATGATTTCAAAGGGCTCTCCCACTTCATTGTTCTTTATGTTCACACCTCTCAGCCATCATACTAATTGCTGTACCCAAGAAAAATGGACTGTTCCACACCTATTCCTCTTCCACACCTAAAATGCCTCTCTCAACTCTATTCCCATTCCCAGCTCTTGCTTATGGAAAGCTTTTTTTATCACTTAGGGTTCAGCTCCACTGTCACCACCTTCTTCAAGATTCTTCTGGACAGAAATAATTACTCCTTCCCCTGGGTTCCCACAGCGTATTGTTCAAATCTTTATTGAGCGTATCACTCTGCCTTTCATTATAATTAGTTTCTTATGTGTCGTCACCACCCCCCTTTCCAGATTATAAGCTCCTTGATGATAGGGACCGTGTCTTATTCATTTTTGTGCCTATCACAGTATCTACCATATAGCAGGCATTCATTCTAACGAACTAAAACAGTATGAATTAAAATAAAGGAAACCTGAAATGTTAATAAAGCAAATGAGTAGGATATATTCTCTAAAATTTAAAATATTACAAGATTTCCTGTGGATAAAAATCTAAAGAATAATTACTGTTTTCTAAAAGTAAATGAAAGCTGAATATATATAAGATTTTCTTTCTTTTTTTCTTTCTTTCTTTTTTTGGATTAGCAATCCATAGTTCTCATTAATCCAGAAAATTTAAAGTTGTCTGCATTTATCTGACATCCCCTGCCTGGAATATGGCTCAGGAATAAAAGTTTTATGTTAAAATCACAGCCATAAAATCACATTTCATATAAAAATGTGAACATTTAAGGGCCAAAACGAATTAAAAAAAAAACAAACATACTTCCTCTTCATCAGGTTCAACTTCTTCTGTTTCAACAGCTGAAATATTAGTTATTGGTTTATTCCATGCCAGTTTTAGATCCTGCCCTTTGAAACGAGCTCCATGAACTGCAGCCTAAAACAATTAAGAACATTAGAATGTAGAACATTAATAATTTCTGAGAAAAAAAATGAAATGTTATAGTACCTAATATTTAAATTAGTAAAACGAAAGTGAAGACACCTATCCATTTATATTTTGTGGTTATTTATTTTGTCATTTACTATTTATTATTACAATTTATAATTTACTTTTAATGGTTATTTACTTCTAAAATCAGCTTTGTGGATGGAAATACTTCTAAAAAGAAAACAAGAACACTTTCTCATGCTTGAGCAGAGCTATTATATGAATGGCCAGCATCTGACTATAACTATGTCTACATGTTTATAATACAATGATAATGGCTATTCGAGGTAACAATCTCAAGGCAATTCAAGATCCTGGCTGTAGGTTCTGAATTGAAGTCCAAATTAGGATCAACAGGCTAAATGTATTTTATTGCATTTTAATTCTTGTTAATTTATGAATGACATATATAGTAACTACAAACTGGAAACCTTTAACAAATATAAAAATAATTTTGCATGTGAAAGGTATCACATTATTTTAAAATTACATCAGTAGTTTAAAGTATCACAATGTATTTAAATATACGATGTTTGACATATCAACTCTTACGAAATATTAAGTATTTCCATGAAGAAAAAACCCCTGAATGTTTCTATTGAAACTAACATACTTCCTACAAAGCTTTCAGAACTACATAAAAGTTAAACTTAGTATTTGCTAAATTAAATGGCTGGTTAGGAAATCGTGCGTTCAAATTAAAGTAACATGAACTGATATAAATCCATGTTAGCAACATACCAGAATAACTCAGTCACAAAAGATTTATAGCACAACCTCAAAGTATAGCATAATGTGAAATCTAGAAACAATTACATGTTCAATGACACCTGACCATGAGTTGTGTGAATATTAAAGTCTCCAGGTATAAATTTTAAATCTGCACATATAAATCTATGATAAATTTAAGAGATTTCATACCTATTAAAATGCAGTTCAGGAGTTTTTAGTCCATGGGCTCATCACAGTGTCATGTAACTAAAAAATTTTTTAAGTACTTATATATGATATTTAAGTTTAAAAACAACTTGTACTTTTTTAAAGCCAGAACTATTACATAAAAATATATTACTATAAGGAATTCAAGTGTCATACCAAATATCTACTCATAAAGCTCATCTTTTCATCCAGTTAAAAAAGGCCAAAAATTTTACTGACATTTTCTATAATAAGTTCTTGACAAACATTTCTGATGACCAAATACTGTAAATCTCTATATTTAGCACATATATCTTCAAATTTATAAGGTGAGTCTACAACCCTCGCAAGTTTTTATTTTAATATTTTACAGGATGATTTTCAAAGCTAGATATATTTAACATTTTATGAACATTCTCCATTAGAAATTTTTGACTATTTGGCTGTATAAATTTGAGATAACTGAGTTCTTGCTTTTTAAATATACAAATTTATTTTAGGTAATTTGCAACATAAAATCTTTAAAGTTTGAAAAAACAATACAATCCATCCATTTTATTTTTTAAAAAATTCAAAAATTTCAGGTTATATAATGTAAAATATCATAATCCATGACTGTCCCATCCTGAAGAGATAACCACTATCCTATGAAGAATTTGGGAAAAAAATCTTGCAACACATTAAAAAAAGTCCTATGCACATAGTAAGAGGATTTGTGTATATAAATATGTAGGATATGTACATGGGAACATACTTTACTGGTCTGTACACCTTCTTTCTTATATTATTAATCCAATTATTTCACAGACCCTTTCCATAGCCATACCAACAGATTTTTCACTTTTCTTGAATGGCTATTTATATACACACACACCCACACCAAATATATTTAAACTAATTTCTTGAGTGGAACTTTGTCCTATTTGTTTGGCAAACTATTCTTTTCTCAACTAGATCTTGATTTTGTTTACAGTGCATGTTTTTATTGAAGGGAAAGGGGTTGCTGCTGTTCTTTTTGTCGTAAGTAAGTTTACATTTTCATGTACTGTAATTTATCAGTGTTTACCTTCATGGCTTCCAGATTGTGCCAGTCCTTTAAAAAGCCCCCTCCACACTAAGATTACTTTTAGGAATCCCCTAGCTTTTTACTAGTCATATGTATTGAAAAAAGAAAAAACTTTTATGCCCCCTTATTTTGATACCAAAAATAAAGGCATAATGTATAATTTTTTCCTAACAGTTGTCCTAACATTATTTACAGATTAGTCAATTTAAATTTCCTGACTTAAAGAAAATATCTCCTTGTAATCCTCTACAATTCTTTTATATATTTAGGTCTTTTTCTGAACTCTATTTTGTTTTATTATCTATCCATACCATTACTATATTAATTCTTTATTTCATAATGAATTTGGTATCACTATTCATTCTTTTCAGAATATTCTTGGTTATTCTGACATTATTTTGTCCTTATGACCTCTGGAATTTTTTGGCCAAGTCCAGTATCATACTGTCTTACTACTGCTTAACAGTATAATATCAACTAGATCAATGCTTTTCAATACTGTGGCAGTTGCTTCAAGAGTTCTGCAACCATTTTATTAAAATGTACATTAAAAAATGAACTTTGTAACTACTTATAAAATGTTAATAAAAACATCATGTTTAAATGTATTCTACAGGATGCTTATTTGAGCAAGGTGGTAGTGGTTATAAAGGTGGAAGTGGGGCTAAATGTAAAATTATACAAAATAAGAAAGGAAAGTGGGGGAAATAACTTCAAAAGAAGATAAAATTAACTTTGTTCATCTTAATGAAAACAGTTGATAATCTAAATGAAAAACTACCAAAGTACCAAAGTAAAGCCAGAAAGAAAAAAATATACAGGGACGCCTGGGTGGCTCAGTTGGTTGAGCATTTGCCTTCGGCTCAGGTCATGAACCCAGGGTCCTGGAATCGAGTCCCTCATCCATCGGGCTCCTTGTTCAGCGGGGAGCCTGCTTCTCCCTCTGCCTGCCGCTCCCCCTGCTTGTGTTCACTCTGACAATTAAATAAAATCTTTAAAAGAAAAAAATATAAACAAATCCTTTCTACAGAAAAGAAAAAGATTTCAAAAAGATACATGGTCAAAAATCAGTAGACCCTGATATTTTCACAGATAAATTCTATTAAACATTTAAGAAAATATATCTCCAATGCTACTTAAAATTAACTCAGAGCACAAAAGATGGAAAACTTTTCAATTACTTTTTATAAAGCCAGGTAATATTGATACCTGATGAAAATATTATCCCCCCAACAAAATCTACAAACCAATCTTACTTCTGAAGACTGAATTAAAGCTACAAACAAATACAAGAATAAAATCGGGGTGCCTGGGTGGCTCAGTCATTAAGCGTCTGCCTTCGGCTCAGGTCATGGTCCTAGGGTCCTGGGATCGAGCCCCACGTCATCGGGCTCCCTGCTCAGCGGGAAGCCTGCTTCTCCCTCCCCCTCTGCCTACTGCTCTGCCTACGTGTGCTCTCTGTCAAATAAATATATAGAATCTTTAAAAAAAAAACAAAAACAAAAAAACAAAACCTTGTCATTTGCGACAACATGATGAATCTGGAGGGTTATTATGCTAAGTGAAATAAGTCAGAGAATAACAAATACCGTATGATTTCACTTATATGTAGAATCTAAAAAACAAAACAAATGAACACTCTTAAATACAGAGAACAGACTGACGGTTGCCAGAGAGGAGATGGATTGGGGAATGGGCAAAATACCTAAAGGGGATTAAGAGGTACAAACTTCAGTTAAAAAATAAGTCACATGGATGAAGAATATAAGAAATATAATCAATAATATTGTAATAATGTTGTATGGTGATAGATGGTGACTACACTTATCATGGTGAGAACTCAGTAATGTAGAGAACTGTCAAATCACTATGCTGTACACCTGAAACTAATATAACATTGTATGTCAACTATACTTCAATAAATTTTTTAAAGTAAAAAAAAAAAAAGGAACAGACTTCAGACTTCAGGGATTTATCAAAGAAAAATACAATAATACAGTGGGGAATCTGTACCAGAAGCAAATATTCAGTTCAATCTCAGGAAACAACAGAAATAGATGAGGGAACAAAACCCCTCATATTTCTATAAATACACAAAAGTGATGATGAAATCCATTTCTGACCAAACTCAAAAATCTCTACAGTTTTCAAAAAACAGGAATTAAAAAAAAAAAAAAAAACCAGAAATTATTTGTATTCTACCTTAATCTAAAAAGCCAGCATCATATATAATACTAAAATTATTAGAAATTTTTTCGTTCATTTATTATTTTCATTCATTTCACAACGAAGACAATGAATGACATTTCATGAGTAAAGACACAATTACTACTACTGTTATTTAACATTTTTCTAAAGGTACTAACAAGTAACAGAAAGTGAGAAGTTATAAACATTATGATAAACATTAAAGATGGATATGATTACCTGAAAAATCCAGGACAACAAAATTAAAAATCTATCAAAAGATAATCTGGTAAGATGGCAGCTACATATTTAATAAAAACAGACAAATAGTTTTTCTACATACAATCAAGAGAAAATACAGTGGGAAAAAAGACCTCATTTAAAGTAATTAGAAGTTAAATGACTGGGGGAAAACTAATATATTTATTTATATATTTATATAAAGAAATTATACATGTTATATATATTTTACATGTTATATACTACTATATTATGTTTACATTGTATATTATATATTATGTAATCCACAACATATGTACATGACCTATATCGATTTTATATATATGTGTATATATATGTAAATTTACATATATATATAAAGAAAACCTCTAAATGCTCTTAGAGAATAAAGGGTTGAAATACAATGATGTTCTAAAGGAATATTTGTATCATAAGATGTTAATTCTCCCATAATGTATTCATTTTAGAACCTGGTATGTTTATTCTAAAGCTTACATAGAAAATAAACCTATAAAATCTACCAGGAAGATGCTAAAAATGAACAATAGCTGGGCATAATAAGAGGGAATCCAAACAAGAGCCCTGACAAACTATTAAAATATAAAGTTTAGCTTAATTAAAGCCATGCGGAAGAGGCACATGGAAAGAAAACTGATCAATGGAAGAGAACAAATCCCAAACATGCCCCAATAAACATGGAAAATTTTTACATACTAAGGGTATTTCACCTAAGTCTGGGAAACTAGCTTTTACTCAATGAAATCAAGTAGGCTCCCTATTTCACACCTTACACCAAATAAAATTCATATGAATTTTCATTAAAATGTTTAGAACTTATGAGCTAATTTTCTAGAAAAAAAATTCTGAAGAAAAAAAATCAGAATAGAACTCAGCAAGATAGCAGACAAATGACATTAACAGTTGACAGAAAGAGAAATAAAGAGCATTTAAACAAATATGAAAGTATTCAATTTTAATAAGAGTAAAGTGTATTAAAACTGAAATGAGTTGCTATTTTTACCAAAATAAAATTGATACCATACTGCGGCTTATGTACCCATGTATTTTATATAAGCAAACCACTATGCAGAGTACACACTATGGCAAGCGTGTGGGGAAAAAGCACTCTCATACATCTTTGGTGGGTAAGCAAATGTGGTACAACCTATATGGGGAGGGGGGGAATGAAGGGAGCAATTTCAGAACTATCCATCAAAAATTTAAATGCACATATCCTTTCATCCAACAATAATGTATCAAGAATATATCTTATAGTCATATTTACATATGTACACAGAGAAATATGCATCAAAATATTCACTGCTGCACTGTAAAAGAATAAAAACAATTTAAAGGCCATCAACATGGTTGATTAAATTTGGTACATCCATATGGGGAAAACTTCTCACTTTTCAGTCATATATGAATGTCTCAAGTACCTTATCTTGTACTTTCACTTTGAAATTTACTGTGCCATCTATTGATTACAGAAAATACAGAGACATTCATTCGCTCATCTAGGACAACGGTTCAGAAAATAAGAACAAAGAAATATTTGGAAATAAACATTAGAAAAGGTTGATAATTTTCTTTTCTTGGGAAGGCCTATCATTTATCTTGAGTTTATAATCTCTTACATTTTCAGTGTTAAAATTTTCTTTATTTTATAAAACGATGGTAAGCGTACATGAAATCTGTTTTTAAGCATTCTTCCTTAGCAAAATTAAAAACTGGCGCCTCTATGTCAAACACACTGATTTTTAAATTACCAAACTTCAATGGTCCCTGAAATCCAGAAGTCTGAAAACCACTGCTTTAGCCTATATCCTGCTTGTAGAAGATAAGCTTCAACTTAATTTTCTACTCTTTTCTACAATAGAAGGTTACAAAATTTTAAGAATTTTTTTGGCTTAAGGAAACAATTATGGATTAACAACTTCTATAATTTAATTCCAAATGTTTATCATAGCAATGGTAGTTCTTCCTTTCAGGCTATTAAGTAATTCCAACTAAATTTGTATTTACTCTGAAAAGATAGTTCTTATTAGATCTAACTTATTTTGTCACTTCTTCAACCTCCATATAATTCAGTGTTTTAAAGTCTTTGTCATACATTAACCCCAGTCTTTCGAATTGATTGCTACTCATTTGGAAAATATATGCATTGTATAAATATATATATATGGACATATATACACATCTGAGGTGGAAAAAGCAACACCCAAGAAAGAAGGTATATCAATAAATTTTCCAAAAGCCAAACTTTCAAAAATTATTTCAGAGGTAAAAGGTTTTTTTCTCTCAGCTACATAAGTAAGACGTTTTAACAAACTTTTAACCATTTGTACAATGACAACTACCACTGTTTCATGACTACTGCCTAGAAAATACAACATAAAAGAGACTTACTCAAGCTACCTAACATTACACTAAAAATTGTCACTGAAGCCCCCAATTAAAGGAAGCTTATTCTTAACTTACACTCAATAATACCTTTGAGAAAAAACTTGATCAAAGATCTATTTTTTAATGTAACATGTATACATACAAGTTTATGAGTTTTAAACTCCCATCAATAACATTTTTTACTCTCAAAAAGGATCTTTAAAGTGAAAGATTACCCAAAAGTAGATTTAAAAAAACAAAACTCTAAGACCAGGAACTCCTATTCTATAAAACCATCCACCTCCTACACTGCTCATCTTGACACTAGTTATTACAAGGCCCCAGCTGAACACTTACTGAGACTTTTCAGACCCACAGTCTTTTACTGGTTACAATGCTCCAAGAGCAACTCCTACCAGGCTAGGTACCATTGTGTTATCAGGAAGTATTCACTACAAAGAGGATAAATCAATTTAGAAAGTTTTTTAAAACTTTAGACCACAATCCACTTAAAACTTCTGAAAAGCATACTACTCTCTTCCATTCACATTAGGTTAACTGTTTGGAACTCTTACTGCATTTTTCCAAGGACAAGATGGTACATCTATTTCTCTACAATCCTGAAGAAAGAACACACAGGGCTAAAAATGTTCCTATCAATCTCCCATACTTCATACCCATTTTCCTGTTTAATCTTTTAAACCCAGATGAAAGACAAGGTTGCATATACTCATTCTTTGTAAAGACAATTCAAGATACATGGTTTAAGACAACTATATTAAAAGGACCCTAAAACCTAGAGCAGTGTTATCATGCCTTGGGCAAAAAGTTACAGAGGCTTAGTTGGGGATATGCTGAGCTAGGGACACATTAGAGTTCAGCCTACTGGGACTAGGAAGTAGCATATGAGGGATGCTTTAGAAGATCTGCCATCAGGATTATATCTCAGCTTCTACCTTATCTCTCATCACACTTTCTGCCAAAGCAGACTATGTTCTGGGCCAGCTGAGAAAAAGGACAATGGAAAGTCGGGTGGCCCTACCCCCTGTGAAAGAGAAAGGAAGGAGAACTGCTAGTGTCTCAAGACAATACAACTTAATATTCAACTTGGTGACTATTCTAATTACATCATGTTATAAGTAGAATTGCCTAACTGCTCATTCTTTGTGGCCATGAATTACTTCACATAATCTATCTACTGTTGAAGTGTAGTTATTTAGTAAGTTAAAAAAATTTCTTTTATATTAAGACTTAAAAGCAATACTTATAAAACATTTAAATCTGAATTTTCAACAAATTAGATTTCTAATACTTACTGCTTCAGCTTCTGCTCTTGTCTTGAATGTAATTACTGCATGAAGTGAAGAGTCATCAATCTGACAATCTTCAATTTCACCATATTGCTTTAAATTAAAAAGAAGTATTTCCTCCAAATAAATATTTTGAAACATCCAAAATCCTAATGGCTTTTAAAATACCCATAAATGTAACCCAGAATATATAACAATTCATGGTGATTAACAGAAAAAATGATGAATAATTCATTTTAGTACTTGATATTATAAGATAAAGAATGGTCCTATTTACAACTCTATACTTTTTTGAATTAGGGAAACTTATACTTGAATGAACTGTTCTTTAAAAAAATGAAACCATGGTCATAACTGGGCTTCCTTAATGCCCTTCCTTCATTATTCCAATCCTAGAATATGCTAAATTCCTTCTAAAACAGAATATTTAATCCTCAGGATATTCTAGGAGTTTTTTGTGTCATTCCCAATTCAAAGATGGTGGGAAAAAAAAAGATGCAGAGGATTTAAATAATTTTCCCAAAGTAATTAAGTTAAATATCAGGAGAGTCCAGGTCTTTTAACATTCGAACTGACCCTGCTTTCACTCCTATTACATACTCCTCTACACTCCACACTCTTTAAAAAAAAACTAAATAAATTAAATTATGCCTGCTTTTAGTTTGTTGGATTTTATTTTTTCTGTATGTAGAAGGATTTCTCCTTTATCATATTTCCTTTAAACAGCAAACTTTAGCATATAAAATTCTAGTCCTTTATCATTACTAATACCTTCCATCTTTCTTAGCCAAAACCAAAATAACTATGATCTCATTAAATACACACATACACACACACACACACATTCCCCATATCGAAAATTTCTGTAAAGATAACGGACTCTAACATCAATCAGCTCCTTTCAGCTGTCAGTTACTAGCTGTGTAAACTTGAACAAGTTACTTAATCTCTTCATGTTTTATCTTCTTCATCTCTAAAGTGAGCATAATAAAGGTACGTACCTCAGAGTTGTTGAGATAACTCATAATATAATGAATTATATAAGGCACTCAGAATAATACCTGCCACAAAATAAATGCTCTGTAACTTTTAGCTATAATTTTTATTATTAATACTACTGGTTCCAGTATAAATTAATGAAGGCATTTTGTTAATCACAATTTATAACAGTCAATGGGTTTTTTTTTTTCCTCTGTTACTTGCCCCATGTTCAAATCCCAGGTTGAGACAGAGAACTAAACTTTAAACGTGCATTCTTAAATGATTATTTTTAAATGCGCATTACCATTACTAACTTTGAAAGGAGTTCAAATCTCTAAATGCATGCAAGAATCTCCATGTAAAGGCTCTGAATATTTATAAAACCAAAACCACCCTACTCTCACTAAAATACATTCATAACAAACGCACCTGGTTTATTTGGATTTAGCATATTCTTTGCTAGTTTCTTGATTAGCTATATAACTGTATGCAAAACACTTAATTATCTGGATCTCCTTTCCTTCGGAAAGGGGCGGGGGAAGCTGGGGTGGGTAACAGGCAAGAATTGAGCTAGATTATCTCTAACATCCTTTCTAGCTCTCTGATTCCTTTATTTCTCCCTTTGAAGCCATCAAGTATAGGACTTTCCAGACTCTTTATTAATCATTTTAGTTACTTCTTAAATATATACAATTTCTTTCAATAATTCCCTATGTCCTGACAAAGTAGTTTCACCTTTGTAACTTCTGTTAACAGCCTAGAATATAATTGTCAAACATCTAAATCTGAATTTCCAAAAGATTCAATCATTTGTGTACCTATCTATAAGCTTATGGTCCCTTCAAGATCTAAGCTCCAATTTTCCTACCTCATGAAATTCTCCTGTATTATCCTTTTTCCATCATATGCCTGTGTGAAAGATACTTTTCTAAGTTACTAAAGTACTTACAGTTTTTAATAAATTTAGCTTGATGATGTGATAAATTATGTTTGCAGTTTACTTTAACTGCTTTGTGTTAAAACAATATATATAAAATCCTTGAAGGTAAAGAACTGGTTATTTCCTATCTCCAGAGCAGTTACTATAGTCCTAAAGGCAAGACTGATGCTTTAGTAACTAACCTTTGGGATATCACTAAGAATCACAACATTTAAGTTGAAAAGGCCTTTAGGCAAGTATAATTTCCTTTCTGCACACGAGCCCAGTGGATCCCAGGAAGTCCAAGTTAAATAATGGGTTAGCCAGAACTAGAATCTCATTCTCCTTTCTCATAGGCCTATATTAGACTGACTCCTTTTAATTATATCCTGCCAGTGAATAAAGGCAACTTCAAGATCATGTATCAAAATTTTGTCTTATTTCATTTCTAAGGTCAGCTAAATCAAGAATACAGTATTAACAAATAAAAGTCCATCTTAATTAAAAAAAAAATCTGGGTGGCCTATGTGATGTGTTAAATTTTCTCTTCAAAGAATGTATCAAATGAAACTAAACTATAGGACATCCCCTTCTGAATTAGCAAAACTTAAATCATTCCTTTCACAGTATCTGAAAGGCCTACTGTTAAAGAATAGCAACATTTCTTTCAGATAGCAATTAAACAAAAAAATCCCTCAGTTTGTTTTTTAAATAATTAGCAAAAGATTATTATGGATTAATCAAACCCTTTGGTCAGATTAATGGGTTTAAATTACTCATATTTTCGTAATTTCCCCTTCAATATCCATTATCCCCAACAATGATTATCAGTATGTGTTTTGTTGGACAGTAAGAAAGTACCGCAAAATGAGGAAGAAGATCTTCTCGATCACTCTCTGTAAATGCAGAAATCTCCAATGCCCTGGGACGATGATCCACCACAGCATGACCAGGCACACCTCGACCTCGACCTCGACCCCTGCCTCGGCTATGAGCTGCACCTCGGCCTCTTGAGTGAATTCCTCTACCCCGACCAGATGAAAGAATCCCTCGTTTTGCAGCCTTGAAGAGATCAGACACACAAGTTAAACATCACAAGCCACATTATATATATATTTTGTCAGAGTAGTCGATTTTATACAATTTGACATCATATTCAAATACTGGCCTGTGAAAGGATCTCATATAAGTTAGTTTTAGTTTTTAAAGTGAAAGCAAATTTAGGTAGCTGATGAAATTAGAAAACAAAATAACTTTAAACAATGTTTTGAAATTATTAAATGTGACTTTTTCTAAGTTCCTACTTTCCAAGATACCAGACTGTATCATAAAAAGACCAGCAATTCTTGATTTCCAAATAATACAGAATGTTAAAATGTTACTTCAGTTTAAAACATACATAATACACAATAAATTTATTTTTCCACTTATAACTTTTAAATAGTGTATTTGCCTCTTGACTTCTGTAGGTATAATTATCTCAAATTCATCATTTTAGTCACTTATACTAATATCATTTTACAACCAATGTAGCACAATACCTTATATTCCATCCCATTGTTCTATATGAATAGTATACCATTCCTTCATTGCACAAATATTTAACAAACACTTCCTATGTGCAAGTCCTTACCTTCCTGAAACTCAAATCCTAGAGGGGTAAGAGACATTTAGCAACCAAGTTACTTAATAATATTAATGAGAAGTAACTCAAAGAATAAGGAAATGCTTTAAAGACTTGAAAAGAACATTAAAGATTGGCAATGAATAAGATACCAAAATGAAAGCTCCACGAGGATATTTTTTACTTGTTTTATTCTCTACTTGATCCCCAGCACTTAGAACAGCAGCTGACAGACTAGATATTTAGTATGTGTTCAATGAATCAAAGAAGAAACAAAGAACAAAAAAGGTAAGGGTGAGGGGTGGGGGCTACAGCATGAACAAAGGAATCAAGGTTGAAAGAAACATGGTACTTCTAAGAATACAGGAAATCCAGTGCAGCTGGACCACATGGGATGAAAAAATGAAGCTAGAGAGACAGGCAGAACCAGATGATGAAAAATTTTAAGGACCACAATTAAGGATTTTTAATGTTATCCCAAGACCCATGAAAATCAGTTAAAACATTTTAAACACAAAAGCATAGTGATGCAATCAAATCGGTGTTTAACACGTTATTCTGACTAGTTTTAAGAACACAGTAGAAGATAAGAACAAGCTGGGAAACAAGTTGGTAGGCTACTAAAGTAGCTCCAACAACTGAAGATGGAAGCTTCGTCTACAGTGGTGGCAACACAGAGAAGTAAACATATTTAAGATATATTTGGAGGTAATATACATAAAACTTGGTAATTAATTGATATGGATAATGAAGGAAAGAGAGGAATCAATGAAGATTCCCAGATTTCTGGTTTGGGTAACTGTGTAGATGGAATTTAGGAGCAAGACAAATTCCAATTTTGAACAGGTTAAGTCTAAGGATGTGAGATATCCAAGTAGAAATGTCAAGCAGGCACCACTGACAAATCTCTTCACAAGTATAAATATTTGTTTCTTCATCTCAAGGCAGTTCATCTTAACACTTGCTAAAATAATCTAAAATCCAAATAAAAAACTTCACACGCCAAGGATTAATGTTCATAATGGAGCAGCATATACAGACTTATGCTCTGAGGAACACAGTCTCAAAATGTTCCCTGAAAAAGGGGGTCCATGGACAAATAAATTTGAGCAGTACTGAATACTGAATATGTATATTTAGGGATTCAAGAACCAAAAACCTCTAAAGAAACCCTATGGCAACAAGCATGTTTAATACAACCTTTTCCAAATTTATTTGGCCTCAAAAGCTTTTTGCACTAATAACCTGTTAACAAAAAATGGAATTGGTGTTGTCAATGACACACTCTGGGAAACACTGCATTACTGCATATTCCAATGGTAACTACAAATTAAAGTTTAGCCATCATAAAAGGAAACCAGAAAATGCCATTTGGCATTTAGTTATATCATGATAGAGAAACCAAGCATAGACTAATGAAGAATATTGGTAGAACCATTATTTATTTATTAAAATTTCTGAGCCAAAATTTTAAAAGTAACTTGTTTTTTTAAAATGCCACCAACATAGGCAAGTAATCTCCATAATAAAGAAAATACAATTTCTATATTAACATGAAAGAAATCTTTTTCAAAACCTGTTATCTTGGCCAGGACACAAAGGCAACCCTATCGGGTTTCCAGAGAATGCAAAATGTATGCAGGTTTAGAGACCATCCTATGATTTTCTATGACAGACAAGATAGAGACAAGCACAGTGGCTGCTAAATGTTAAGTCTTTAATACCTGGATGCTAGTACTAAATTCAGAATATGTCCTATTAGAAAAAAATCACCAAGGTGCTAACAAATTTGGGGAAAAAAGCATAATTCTCAGATGAAGGCAAAATAATCTAAAGAACAAAAAATTTTAATTGTGACATCAATCATAAATGTAGACAAGTACCAACTGCATTAATGACATTAATGTCTCTGTACTTCAAAATGTAATTCTGATTTTTAAACATCTGTTTGCTAAATATTACAAATGCTCATTGTAACAATCAATTTCACTAGGTTTTTCTTATATAATCATACAGCTAAATTAGAAGGAAAGAGTTTATTTTCTTTTATAAACATCCACAGCACCATCTATAGGCAAAACTTAAGTAAGCATGTTTTTAATACAGCTCTCCACTAAAATCTGATCCTTATAGTAACTCAATATAATATGCCTATATATGCACAGAATATCTCTGTAAGAATACCTGAAAAGACTTTAATAGATTTTGGTCCCAGGGAGAAGGAGAGACTAAAATTAGAAAAGGAACCAAACTCACCAGAAGTGGAAGGACCTGGGTGTACAGGCAGAACTGCTACCACCCCTCATTAAATAAAAGATTTTCTCTCCAGTTCTGAAAAATTTGCTAACTTCTTCTCTCTTTCCTATATCAACTCCCAGTATGTATGTCAGAGACTACCAACAATTATTGACTAGAATGAGGGAGATCTATTTTCAAATTGACCACCATGACTACATCTGCTCCTCTTTAGCATACTGTGTAGTTGTGGTGAAACATACTTCCAGCTGTAACTCTGTATACTTTCTCCGAAGTTCAGTGACTTCTTCTCCAGCTTGCATCTTCTTATATAAATCCAGTTCTGTGTCAAGCAATTCTTTCTGCATCTAGAAAATGGTAATTAATAATTTAAGTGACAATTAATATCCTGAATTTATAAAAAACTTTTTATACAAAGAACTTTTACACATTCCTGTTTAATCCACACATTCCTTCTGTATCTGCAGTCCTACCACCCTAGTCCAAGCCATCAATCACTTCTGGTCTACACTACTACAATAGCTTCCTAAATTGTTCTACTTCCACTCATTTCCCTATAATTCGTTTTCCATACAGAAACCAGACTGAGATTTCTATGGACTGATATGAAGTAATTTTCAGGAAATAACTGTGAAAACAAACAAACAAACAAGGTGTTAACGAGCATTATATAGTATGCTTTTACGCTGGAAAGAATACATACATACATACCAAGAGGGAGGGAAGAATGGGGATAGGGATAGAGTGGCAGGGATCAAAGGGAAAAGGTCTTCTATATATACTTTTTTAATGTAATTTAACTTTCAAATCATGTTAATGTTTTATTTATTCAAAAAATAAAGGTCAGCAAGAATGAAAGGGAAGGGGATCCAAAACTTACTACCAATAGAAATACATTTAACTTTATCAAACTGATGACATAACCACACAAAAGAGGAAAAAAAGTAATCCTAGGCCACAGTTCTGACTCTATGTCCTTAGTTGAACATATTGTGAGCTTGTAAAGAATACAAATAAACTTTGAATCTTTTACTTGTCAGAAGTGGTATTGTTGTAGTAATTCGGGAACTACGCGGAATGTATTAAATGACTGTGCAAATGAGTACTGTACTGATGTTAGTGGGAAGCAAGCTGTCATTATGGGAACAGGATATAAAACATGGAATAAGAGGAAGAAAAGAAGAACCCTGTGGTACTGGATAGAATCAGAAATATCAATATGAACTCATGATTTTATACATATACATACATACAAACAAGACCAAGTATAAATATTGTATAACTGGAGATTTTTAAAAATCACTTAGTACCACATGAAATTCTCTTCCTCACTTATTCACATCCAATGGACTGATCTACCTGAATTTCCCCCTTTTAATCAATTCTACATAACGGTGTCAAAATGTTACTTTTAAGATTTTATTTATTCATTTGAGAGAGAGAGAATGAACAAGCGGAGGGATAGAGGGAGAGGGAGAAGCTGACTCCCCAATGAACATGGAGCCCAATGCGGAACTCGGTTCCAGGAAATGGAGATCATGACCTGAGCCAAAGACATATGCCTAACGGACTGAGCCACTCAGGTGCCTCCAGAATACTACTTCTGTTTATTAACCTTTTATACTATGAACTCCTTAAAAAATAAAGCTCAAACTCTTCACTTAAGTATTTATCAAGCATTCAAGTACCTGTATCACTTTGTCCTCAAGCTATCTTTTCAAGATTATCTTACTATCCTCCTAATTACTGACTTTCCAACTGTAATATAAAGGATTTAAAAATTAACAGAGAAAGGATTTAAAAGATTAATAGAGTTTGCTTGTCTGTATATATTTACTATTAATTAATGAAGGAGGGGAAAAATGTTAGCATATAATAGTCAGATTTTAAGCAAAGGATATTACCTAAAAGGAAAACAATCTTAAAACAGTGTAGCATTTTAATGTTTCTTGGTAAGCAGTAAAATGAAGAACACCACAAAATAAAATACCTGAGTCTTGGTTTTTATACTTTTTGGAAGACAGCGTCCAGGAGAAGCAGCTTTGACCTCATCTTTCAACTTGGTAATATTTTTTGTCAAAACCTCTAAAGTTTTCATTATTTCTGCTTTATCTTCAGACTTCATTGATTTGTTTTTCTCCAGTTTTGAAATTAACATCTGCCAAATTTTTAAAAAAGAGAAAAATTAAGATACTCATTCCTCATATTATTAACAAAGCAAATAAAGCAAAGTAAATATAAAAATAAATAAATACTGGTTTTAGCTTATATATTCATGGCAAAGCTTACAACTAACTACTAAGCAGAATAACAGATTTGGTGGTACTATCTCAATTCAAGTCTTAATCTTGGCACACTTTGTAAAGAATTACACATTACCACTGGTCTTTCAGAACATAAGTTCAAAGCACACAACCCTAAGAAATTCAAGCTGACCACCGAAAAGTCAATTTGAAGTAGTATCAGTAATTTTACTTTCCAATCCATTTGTGGATATTACTGCCTCTAAGTATGCCCACTCCAAATGTAGTCTGCAACCCAGAAAGAACCAGAGGAAGTTTCATGGTTTCCTTCACATAATGAAATCTTAAAAAATTAATTACTTTGTTACTGGGAATAGTAACTGGCTGGCCTAAGAACGATATCCCCAAAATGGACAGGAATCAAAAGATAAACAAGGCAATACGGGGCAGAAGATACCACATATTATAGGTTTTCTGAGTCAAGGTGGTTTCAGTTTGTGGTGTAAGGTACTATAATTTCTCTTTATAAGGTATACCTAAATTTAAATTAGAAATTATAAGCGAAAACGTAAGAAGTTTCTGTATTTTCAATATTTTGAAATGTCATAACCTTTATTACTAGACATAATCAAAAACTAACACTAAACAGGGGCGCCTGGGTGGCTCAGTTGTTAAGCGTCTGCCTTCGGCTCAGGTCATGATCCCAGGGTCCTGGGATCGAGCCCCGCATCGGGCTCCCTGCTCGGCAGGAAGCCTCCTTCTCCCTCTCCCATTCCCCCTGCTTGTGTTCCTGCTCTTGCTGTCTCTCTGTCAAATAAATAAATAAAATCTTTAAAAAAAAAAAAAAAAAAAACTGACACTAATTAAATGTCACAGAGCAACCATGTACGAAAGAAATACTGCAAACCATGCAAATAATCTTACATTTTTCTAGCAGCCACATTAAAAAGATTTTAAAAACCCAAACCAGTAAAGTTAACTAATACTGTATTTAACTCAATATATCTAAAATGCTGTACTTCAACAAAAATTATTGAGATGTTTTACTTTTTTCCTTTGTATTACATCTTTGCAATCTGGTATGCATTTTATATCCATAGAGCACATATCAATCTGGACTAGACACATTTCAAGTACTCAAAAGTTGGATGAAGCTATTAGCTACCATACTGGACAACACAAAACTAGAGGATCCCTAGCCAATTAAAGAAAGGTATGCATTTCAATACTGAGAAAAAGGTTCCAATTCACTATCTGTTGACAAACTACTGTGCAGCAACATATCTAGATAAATACTCCTTATTTTCACTTCAAGTTGACCACCCAGTTCCTTTAAACCACTCTAATCCCCATTTCACCATTTAATGCTCTTCATCCCCAATACATTAATCAACTGATATATACTTTATCACTGATAAATATTTGTTTTACCCTTACAATTACATAAAATATATTTCATAAGATTAGCTATATAGTGTGAAATTAAATTTACTTAAAATTATAACACCATAAATATATTTTGCCAAATCTAACTTTAATATTTTACCTTCTGTGTTTCAATGTGCTTTTCTAAAATTTCTTGTTTCCTTTTCCTTACATCTTGCTGAAGTTTCAGTGCCTCCTAGAGAAAGAGACCAAAAATATCATTAGAATATTTACTGATAAAACAGATATTCCAGAGGAAAGAAATGGTTGTAGATACAGCAGCTTGGCAACAATTAAATGTAAAGTTTTGCTTTATACAAGTTAAATACGTATTTAAGTTTCAAAGATCAATCAAGAGAAGCTTTCATTCCCCCCAAAATTAGTATTTACTGCTAAACTATGAAAAATAAAAATCCAGTGGACCCAACATACAGTTTTCTTTTAGTTCTATTCTATGATAAGCCTTGAAAAAACACATACATGCAGAAAACTTTCCTACATGCACATTTTGTACACTATTATCTGCATTTACCTGTTTTTTTTTCTGTGCTTCATTATTGTCAAGTGCAGAGGTGGAAACAAGTAAGGTTTTCTGTGCAGCCTTCAAAGCAGCTGGATTATACACTGTTTTAGTTAGGCCAGTAGATGTAGACAACACCTACCAATACAAATTCAATTTCTTAAAAAATGTACCAAGCATTCGTGATTACCTGTCTTTTCTACAAAACTCAATTTTAAAACACTTTTGTCAAAAATCAGTACATTAAAATAAATGTATTATATACATGTAATAACTAAATCACATTTAATGATTTGAAAGGAAGGGTATGACTGAGGCATAAACTATAAAATAAAAAAACTAAATTACCAGCATATACCTATAGAAAAAAAAGAACATACAAAAACTTGAAATAAAGAAAAAACACTGACATTACTACATCACTGAGAAATTATTAGTTGCTAAAAACATTTACTTAATATTCCTAGTGACTAAAGCAAAAACTGTACACAAGAGCATGACACAGGAGGATACTGGATACTGTCCCTCAATTTAACATGATCATTTGCAATTTATAGTTCTGAAATTAACCTTTCTTAAGAACTTAAGAAACTGCTTTCTTCCTCCATTCCTCTGCTCGCACTGATCCCTCTGTTTTAAGTGACCTTATTCCCTTAAACGCAGCTCAGGTTCAGCACCAAACAGTCAAGACCTCCACAAAGCCCTAATCATTTATTTCTTCTACCCAGATCCTTCCATGAAATTTTATTCCTATGGCTATTCAAACATTTAATTAAAATGACCTAATGATATATTAATTTACATGTCTCTCTCCTTGTCTACACAGTAAAGCCAACAAAACCATGTATTTCTCCTCTTTGTGCTTCTTCTACTACCTAAACCTTGTTACCAACTAATTATGAGACCCTGGGTAACTTCAAGCACCTTTTCTGGGCCTCAGTTTGTTCATCTGAGAATGTTTAAGTTGATGGCATCTAATGTCCTTACAAACTGAAAAATTCATTCCATGAGGGTAGGGTTTTTTTTTTTTTTTTGGCTTCGCTCACCACTCTATCTTCAGTGCCTAGAAAGTGCCAAGGCATGTAGTAAATACTCAACGAATAGTTTTGCACTAAATTAAACTGAAATGATGATAGACTGAAGTGTACAATCTACACAGGGTCAATTCAAAAAAATAAAAGTGTATAGGCTACCTTTTTTATTCTTCAAATGCCAAAAGTTGTAGGTTCTATGGTGTGGTTAGTTAACAGTTCTTTATAGAGTCTAGAGATCCCTTAAGGGAAATCTATGAATGTTATAAAAACTAAACATGGAACCATATGTATGAACAATGTAACTTTCCTGAGGAAAAAACATAGTTTTCCAAAGCGTTAAGGGAGTTCCTTACCAAAAAAGGGGGTTAAAAGAACTACACAAACAGAAGATCATCAATGAGAAAAAGAGCCCTACTTTTAGCTACTAAAATATAAACATATGGGTCTATCAGAGAAGTATCAATCAGACACCATTTTCTAATGTTCCATCATGAAGTTAAGTTAGGGAACATCACAAAGATTAGACAACTCATCACTATTCTAAGTATTCAAGAATATTTTAGCCTCCAAGTAAAATAAAAACCTAGAATACCATTAATTATACTGGTTCCATACAATGCAACTGATGTTTAAAAATAAAGGTTCTTTACAATACTTGATGTGTATCAAATCTGACTGATAATTTTCTTCAATAACAAAAAATAGTACTCAGATATCACTAACAAATAATGAAATGGTTGCATTCAGTAAAATATGGAGTAAACACAGATTTACTGTGCAGTCTAACTTCAGTCACCATTCTCTGTAATACCAGAAAACAATTTCTTCTATGCTACCTTACCATACCACACATTGCTACACTGCATGATCATACAAGTATAACAGAGTAACTTTATAAAGAAACACAAGATAATGTGCTAAAGACAGTGTGAGTGTCTCATAAACGGTTTTCTTCATGAGAGCTCTATAAAAAGTTGAAAAGTTGTGACCAAAAAGATTTCTATACTCAAGTAAGTTGGAAATAACATAAACCTACTTTCTAGTTTCAAAATGCATTTTACCGTAAGAGCTGTGAGAAGGCCTGAAGTAAAGAAACCCATACAATTTGTTTAATTTGGCATTTCTTCAATTTCATTGAGAAGGGAACACTCCTTTTCAAAGTGTACTTATTAACATCTGATATCAGACTAAGGAGTGCTGATTCAAAGTGAATAAAACTGTATGACAAGAATGAGGAGACTCCTTTACTCCTAAAAGCATCCCACTTCCTTGTTTTATCCAAGAACTGCCTTCTATACAAACAGAACATTAGCTAACATATTTCACTGAGCTCAAAACATCACTATGAAACACATTATCACAATGTACCCCCACTAAAGACAAAAAGGTTGCCAATTATAACCACAAACACCAGTAAGATGTAGCCTAATTTCAGAGGTGTTGAAAGGTGAAAATAAAATGTCTTAGAAACAATGAACTATTAATCACAAATGCTGCTCACTATTTGAATCTATCTGGTTCTAGAGTTTAGACAGTAAGAGTATGAATAGCAAGGGATATCTGTATTTTCAAAAGACAAGGATGGAGTTGTGATAAAAGAGAAGAAAATCGGGCGCCTGGGTGGCTCAGATGGTTAAGCGTCTGCCTTCGGCTCAGGTCATGATCCTGGGGTCCTGGGATGGAGTCCCGCATCGGGCTTCCCACTCTGCGGGGAGCCTGCTTCTCCCTCTGCCTCTCTCTCTCTCTCTCATGAATAAATAAATAAAATCTTTAAAAAAAAAAAAAAGAGAAGAAAATCTGTTAAGAATGAAACCAGTGGAAGGAAATGACAAATCCAACAGAAAAGAAGGTGCTACAACTCCTAAGAACAAAGTCAAAGCATAGGTGGTGGTCTTTCAAACAACCATACCTTCTCTTATTTTCCAAACAGGTTTCGGCATGTGCTGTATTTTTACATACTGATCTTATTGCATTCACCTATTAACTCTAAAGGCTGGTGAATTCTTTTGGATTTTTCACATATACTATCATGTCATCTGTGAGTAAATATAGTTTTGTTTCTTCTTTTGCCACCTTTTCACCGTTTATTTTCTTGCCTTACTATACTGGTTAGGCCCTACACTAAAAAACGTGATGAGAGTGGACATCCTTTCTCGTTCCTGATCTCAAGAGAGAAATCATTCACTATTCAGTATGTTAGCTATAGAGATTTTATGAAGATAAACTTTATCAAATTAAGGAAGTTTCTATTCTTATTTTGTGCACTGTTTATTGTGACTAAGTAATAAATTTTATCATATGCTTTTTCTACTGAAATAATCATAGGAGGTTCTTCCCACCCTTCTCCCCTTAGTCTGTTAATGTGGTGAATTAAGCTGATTTTCAAATGTTAACTCAATCTTGCATTTCTGGAATAAATTCTACCTGGCCAGGTCGTATTATCTTTTTTCATATCACTGAGAATTTGTTAATTATTTAGCTTAGGATTTTTATGTGTACATTCATGAGCTATTGCTTATAATTTTCCTTTATTGTAATATATTTGTCAGGTTTGGTGTCAAAGGTCCGTTGAATTCAAAAGGTGAGCTGAAAAGTATCATATATGCTTTGTTATTAAAATGTACATCACATTACTACTACCTCTCACTTTCCAAGACAAAGTCAATTTCTTAACAAGATAGAAGTTATAATCCATTAACACCTCTTTATCTTATTTCCTATGTAAAATATTACCAGCCATAACTACCACTAGTTCTTGTAAAGAAAGAGAAAAACAGATTTTTCTCATGGATAAGAATGGAAGGGGGGAAAAAAGTATCTTGTAAAAATTATTAAAAAAAGAACTTGGTTCCCAGAAAATTCAGCATACAAGTAATTTTATAGAAATCATCTCTCTCCGTAAGAAAAACAATCCTGGTAATAATCCTGACTAAATAATCCAGGTAATAATCCTGAGAGAGATCAATGTATTAAAAAAAAAAATCAAAAGTAGTCAGTAACAGTTACGAAAAAAGAAACTCATAAATTCCTGTTATATTTAAAGTAGCAAAATTACACAACAAATGCAAATTTAAAAATCAAAGGGTTACTTAGATGACTGCATTTTATAGTTAAGGAAACTGAGAGAGTAAGATTTGTTCAGGATCATACCTAATGTCAGCTGCTGTATCAACAGCTGAAGTCTCACAAATGACTTGCAATGTTCCTTCAGTATACCACACACTTCCCCTTTTAGAAGTTGCACGGTACGTATGTTAACGTATCATATTGCAAAGAGACCAAGATATATATTTTTAGATTTAAAAAAGGGGGGGCGGGGAGAGAAACTACTGCTAAGCTGCTAAGAAACAGTAACATCCTGTATCACAAGTCTAATACACCTGAAACTAATAATGATATACAAACATTAAATAGTCAAGTGATGAATCATTTTACCTTCTTAGTCTTTAAGAAGGGTCTTAGGGAGATAATTTGGGCAGTCTTAAGTCTTTCTGTAGACTAATCAAGATGGTACAGATGCCACCTTTATTCTTGATAAATTGCTCTGTCGTGAGAGGTACTCAAACATCATTTCACTGATCACTCTTTCCAAATAATAGCTATTTAATAGCTACTACAATGCCTTAAGATTTAGCAGTATCAATTAGGTTTTAAGTTTCCTCTCTCAACTCTCTCACAAAAATGACTTTTAGAATAAAGAAGAATCACTGAGGGGTTTACTCAGTGTTGTTGAGAGGAAGGGGAAAATTTTTACATTTTCATACTTACTTGCTTTAATAACGACAGAAGACACTGTATAGATACTAGTTTTGAGTATTTCCCAGCCTTCAATTTGATGATGGGAAACATTCTTCTATCCTTCCTAAGACTTCTCTGAATCACTAACCTCTAAGGATTCTTCAGCAAAAACCCCTATAGACTTGGCGAACGGGAACAACCAAGAATAAGCAAAAACAAAATGCTATTGTATAAACAGGTTCACTGAAGATGACTGGAAGTTACACACTTGCAAGTAACTGCTTTCCTTAAAAGATTCTTTACAGTATTTACAGTATTTTTTCATGAAAATACTACCATTAGTGATTTTTCAGTGAGTGGTAACTATATGAGTAAATGTATACTATCAATTCCAAATTTATATCCCCTTTATCCTAAAGCTATATAAAACACATAAAAAAAAAACAAAAACAGAAGCAAACATACCAGAAAGGTTCTGTAAAAGCTATAAATTAGTAATGTCAATTTCTAAGTCTTGACATAAACAGATGCTACTAAGCATAAAGTTTTTAGGCCTCTCCAGAATTGGTCATTACTACACAAAGTGTTAACAGACTTTTTTATTTTCTTTATTCCTTACTTATTATCAAGGAGGATAAACCTAATCAAAGTAAGTATTTAGATACTGTTAAATTCAGTAACATAGACTAATACACAGACAAATTCAGGGGAAAAGCGGGAGGCATTATATGGAAAAAATTTGAAGATTTTATAGAATAGTGTAAAGAGATTTTTAATCTTTAAAAGAATGACTAGAATTCACTTAGAGGAAAATGCACTCCAGGAAAATCACCACCAAAAAAAAGAAAAAGAAAAAGGCAGGAAAGAGTGAGGAACAATGAGTAGAAAAGGGCCTGCTAAGGTAGAATGAAGGACTAACACGGAGATGTGTGGCCCAAATAACCGAGGTATGATGAGCTATGAATCAAGCAGTTATTTAGCTGGGGAAATGAAAGTTTCTGTAAGAAGTTAACATTAAAATAAGGCTGGGATTTTTTCCAATGGTGATATATAAATTACAGGAGGGGCATACAGCTAGGACACTACATCTAGAGGCCTGGAAACTGAAGGTCGTGGAAGAAAGAGAAGTGGATGACAAACACAAGTGAATGACTGAACAACTTGGAAAATGGTGGTATAACTTCCAGAGGGTGGGTGAGGAGGAGAGGTTAATTTATGTGGGAAATTCTCATTTTTTAAGCACATTATGCCTGAAGTAATGCTGAGGTGCCCAAGATAAAAATCTGAAATACAGAATAAGATTTGGATTCAAATTTTTAGAATTGCCGTAGTTTAACACGGTAAATAAGAAAAAGAATATACAGAAGAACCAGTGGAGAGAGGTTAGCCATCTCATGGAATGCTCTATGTAACATATGGAGTCAACTTCCTACATAATCTTAATAATGGAAAGAGCCATGGATGTAAAATAGAGGAGATCCACATTCCAGTCCTGACTCAATATTTCCTAGTACATCCACTTGGGCCTTACCTTTTTAAAGTGAGGACAGAGAAATGAGAAAAATTATCTAATCCTGTTCTGTGATTCCATATACCCCAAATAAGACTAAAGACCAGAGCATTCACTCATACCTAAATAGACAAAAATAAATAACACATCTACACAGAACTGTAAGACAGGTCCATGAATGGTCTTCATCAGTATTTACCCCATCATTTAAAAAAAGAAATGACAAATGACAATTGTCAGGCTATGTACAATAGCTGTTAGTAATAAATAAAAAATTTACATTTACATCATCCTTTCCAATTAGAAAATACTTTTAAATGAATCATTTTATTTAATCCTCACAAAACCCTGTGAGCAACACAAATTTACAATCATCATTTCACCAATGAGGAAAAAGAATCAGATAGGTTAAGAGCACTGCCCAATATCATGCTGGTTAGTAAGTGAAGAGCCAGAACTCAAACTCCGGTAAAATTCCTAATTTGTGGCCTTTTCCATTAGGCTGCCAGAGTTTTCAAATTAAAATGCACAGTATCTCTAAAGAAAACATAGTAAATAAAAAGAGAAAATGAAAAGAAGGAAGCACATGGACATACAGTGAGAGGCAAATATTAAAATGCTGATGCAAAAAGTAAAAAAAGTATAGGCAAATATTTTTCTTTTTCAGCAAATGGAAAGCAAAAAGGTAGGAATAAGAGATACAGATACTATTAAGGAGCAAGAGTTTAGAACTATGAAAAAAATTAAAAAATTAAGATGCCACCTGAAAACATGTATGAAGCCAAGACAAACACATCATGCTATTATTCTTCTTACCTTTTCAGTTGCTGAAACAGATGGCTTTGATACAAAACCCAACCTGTCCTTCACAGATAACTTAGTTACATTCTAAAAAAATTAAAATGGACATATTCAGTGTTTCCCCAAACATACAGGTCTGTTGGGATTTTGAACATTCGGATTCTACTAACATATACTGACTCATTAAGTATACAGATGTTAATCACACAAACTTGGGCCTTTTTCAAAGACAGAGACAGAAAGAAAATGTGTGTGGAAAAACAAACCGTAGGCAGTATTACTCAATCATAAACAATTATGATGTAAAGTAAGGTTTGAACCAGGTATTTACTAAAGTCCCCTCCAGTGATACAGAATCATAAATTCTTAGAATCCTATGTTGACAAGTAGAAAGTGTGAACATTATAAATATCAGATTTGAGTAATTAAAATATGTGCCTGCTTCTTGAGCTTAAAAAATAAAAGCCATTCTTTCCTAAAGTATATTTTTATAGCCAAATACACTGTTTCTAGTGATGATTTGAGATAACAGGATGGGGAATTATTATTGTAATTGGGGTTTTTTTTAGTAACTAAGAATTTATCAATTTCCACTCTGCATGTTTTCACAGAATCTCATTATCTTACTCTTCAGGAATTATCTAGGAAGACTATTTTAATAAAACAGCATCCTAACTACATCCTAACACTACTTTAAACAGCAAATGCTGAAACATCTAGAGACAAAAGAAAGCTAAGTTTCAGAGACAGAGTGCAGAAACAAGAAACTGCCACTCAAATGTGGAAGGCAGTGGGAAGGGAATGACATGTGGAGAAGAGAATCTGAAAGTCAGGAATAAGTGATGCAAAGTTCTGAGAGCTGCATAAGTAACCTGAAACAGTATTATCAAGCATGCTAAAACCTGATGGCTTAAAAGCCTTCCCTTCCTAAAAGCTTTTGGTGCAGGGTACTGTTATCATTCTCTCTGGCACAGAAACCTAGTTAAGTAAAAGATGATGGGAAAAATAAGATTTAGTGTACTGAACTTCATTTATCAGGCAGTTTTGCTTGAAAATAACTCCTCCACAAAGTGAAAGGGAACTCAAGTATTAACTAGAGAGAGAATTTAAAATTCAAATACTATAGGAAAAGTAGAATGTGAAAATCTTATGCTAATGGCAAAAAGAAAATTTACAGGTGGAGTTCACAGACTATGATATTTCCGTATAAAATATATACAATTAACTATAATTCAAATCACAAGGGAAACTAATTTGCTGAGAACCTGTTATGGGACAGACACAAGGAGAAGACTTTTCATTTACCTGAGGAAGGTCTGAACTGGCACTCTGGGCTTCTGCTGGTTCAACAGTATTTGAAGGTACTGGACCCAACCGCTCTTTGACCGACTGCTTCACAACAGGTAAAATGGGCTGCTGGACTAAGGGCTGCATTACCTCAGAACAAGAAAAAATGTTAAACAAGAGGATTAGCTCATGAACACGTCAAGTAACCTCTGGTATCTGTTATTAAATTGCCCATGTAGACAGTTTTAAAAGCGCAGCTTATAATCAAAACCTGTCTTCCAAATTCCTTCATACACATATACAGATGTTTTTCTTTGCATAAATTAACTTATTTATAAAGTAAATAATGAACAGGAGAAAATTCAATTGAGAAACAAACTGCTATAAACCCTCCTACAAGCAACTAATCTAACATTACTTAGTGACTGGTTCAGTGACTGAAAAAGAGGAAGAGGAAGGAGGGAGGGAGAGAGGAAGGGAAGATTTTCCAAGATGAACACACAGTCTGAGTTTCTGGAATAGGTATAGCGACCACATACTACTGAGTATCTCCTATCTACCAGGGACTCTTCTATATGCTTTACATCTTAACATCCTACAACTGTCTAAACTAGGGAATTAACTTCACAATAAAGTGAGAGAACAGGTTAGGGACATTAAGTAAGTTCCCTCAGTCTTTACAGTTAATAGAGTTAGAGCCAGAATCTGAACTCAAGTCTACCTGACTGCAGGACTCCTGCTGCTCTTAAACACTATGCTGAGCTTTCTAAGAAAAGCAGTGAATTGCACACAAATCTCTCTCTTACCTTTGGAGAAGCAGTTTGTAATTGCTGGGTACTTCCTTCTCTGTGCCAATAAACCTTAATAAAGCGATTGTTTAGTACTGCTTCTGTACTTGAGATAGCTTTCTTTGCTTCTTCATATGTTGCAAACTGGATAAGAGCACCTTCAGGATCACCATTATAAGCAACCTAAGATTTAAAATAGTCAGAACAGTGAATTCCAAAAGAATCCACTGCTTCATCCAGTAAAATTCCTCAAGAGATGAAATTCTGGTCCCTCCAGGTAATATTCTATCTTTACCCTTTCTTATATCTAGATTATTTACCATCATTTACTTTTACTCCCAAAGATATGTTAACTAAGCACTGTACAAAATGCAACCTGAAACAACAGTGAAATACCATGTTTTGCTCCTCAGTTTTGGAAATTTTCCTAAATTAATTTTACCAGGGCAGTTAAATTATATGACGAAAAGAATATTCTGAAAACTTTTTTGTGTCTCCATCTAAATGTGGTAGATAAAACTGAATTGCTATAAAAAGATATTCAGAGATATTTAAGACTAGGTAACTATGGGGTAATATGTATACCACAGGCCCAAAATATATATATTTTGTGTGTGCTAACTGGTAAGTAGATAGACACAGAAATAAAAAAAATTACAATAATACATGATATATTTTTAACAATAATAGGATTATGAGGATTATGGGGATATATGGAAAGTAATGAGAAGGACACAAAGAGCTGAAGGGGAAACATTTCCTTTAAATTCTATACAAACTTCTATTGCCCCACACCAAAGAAGCATGCATTTTTTTCATGTTCTTTTTATATTATTTTTTAAGTGTCAAGAAAGCAAAATTTTCCAAATAATCGACTTCAGTTGTACTCTCTAAAACTTATTTTTATCAGGTTATGGGAAATAATTATTTTAGTTTAAAAGAACATCGTACAAACTGGAAAAAAAGCCCAACATTATTTCAACATTTAGACATACCATATATTTGTAAACTCAACACTAAATAACCTCACGAATTACATATACCAAGTCAAGGTCTAATGATAGGTGAAGTCATACACAAAATGTACTGATATTTAATCCTTAAGGCTGTTCAAAAGTGATAGAGGAAAAAGTTAAATATTTAAACTAATTAAGGATCACGTGGTGTTTGGGCCCCAAAAGTATCTGTTAAGTGCTTCCCACTATACAGGCAGCAAAAACAACCTGACAAGCATTCTGCTGTAATGCTTCAGAGAACCTAAGGAAATGAACACTATTAAACATTAGATTTTCCAGGGCACCTGGGTGGCTCAGTCAGTTAAGCGTCTGCCTTTGGCTCAGGTCATGGGATTGAGCCCACGACAGGCTCTCTGCTCAGCTGCAGCCTGCTTCTCCCTCTCCCTGCCACTCTCCCTATTTGTACTCTAATAAATAAATATTTAAAAAATAATAAATAAAAAAGATCAGATTTTCCTACTCTGATTAAAGTTTGCTATAATTTTATGATAACTTCTATTAGGCAGGAAGCATATAATAATCAAAACTGCCTTCTGAAAGCAAAAAACTCACTCAAAATCACATGTTTCAAAAATACAGTTTCATCTCATTCCAATTTTCCAAATTTAGAATGTCACCAAATTTTCCATCTTCCTTTATAAAAGTGTTTTTCTTACTACATTAAACTCCCTCCCTAAATAATTAAGCAAAGACAAGAGAATGACTTCATAGCTCTTACCTGTAAGTTAACCAAGGTTCCAAATCGACTAAAATGTTCATTAAGTTTGCTGATATTATTTAATTCTGGGGGAACTTTTCTAAGTTCAAGTTTGGTATTTTCATTTCCAAACTGAACCTTCTTCTGGAAGCCTGGGCTGTTTGTTCTATTAAAATTTGGCCTGTAACAAAAATCAAGTTGATTAATACATTTATCAATTTTCAAATAGATAAACCCCTATCAAGCACAAATTAATAAAGTTTTACAATTTAAGTTCAATTGTTTTTTTAAAACTGAAATTACTGGTTGATAAAGAAAATTTAAATTTTCTTCCAAAAACTGAAATTTCCAAATTAGTACTGTACATATCTTTCATAGAAGCTGAGAAGGGTTCTTCTATACCATTTATTATGTTCCACTTCAAATCCATGCCTACTTAAGCAGGAAAGGTCCAGTGCTCTTTTAGTAAATTTGCATATACAGTTTTTGTTGCACTTCTGCAAAAGCTAGCTTACTGAAATATATCCTATTCTAAAACACTGATTAAAAACAAGGTACAACCGTCTCAACCACTTTCCAACTTAAAAAAAAAAAAAATGTCAAAACTGTAAACCATACATCTGGCACTTGAAAAAAGGACAAAACTGTGGCCCAGAGAGGTTACACTGCTTGCCTTACATCACAGAATTACAGGCAGAGCCAGAACTGGATATTATCCATTATCAAATGATGTTAAAGCTCTGAAAGTGTGATCCAGGTCCTTCCCTCCTTTAACTTGCAAATTTATAAGAGAATCATCCCATGCATCCCAACATTCTTGTTCCTTCCCTCTTTCTCTGAAGCCCTTCCCTGACAACTTTAATGTCTATCCAGCCTCCCCTGCTCCCCAAGAGATCACTTTCCAGCTCTTAATAGGACTTGGCCACATGCTAAAGCCTCCTCCCAAACCTGACCCAACCCTAATAGTGGGCTCATGACTATCCTTTATATAGGTAGTTTTCAGTGACATCTCTGAGTTAAGCAGTGTTTTTTTCTGGAGGTGGGGAAAGGTAGAAAGAGGAAAAATTGTGTTCTTGACTACCACACCATTTCTATATGAAAATGCCTTCCAAGTACCAATTAACTTACAAATATTTAGAAATCAATGTACACTATAGTGTGAGACTGCTTACAGAAGAGAATTATATAAAGCTCATTTTGAAAGAGAATACTACACTGCCAAATAATATTCCAGTATCCTAAAAATCACTGTACAATAAAATTCCTCAATTTTCCCTGCCAGCTTACTTATCAAACCAGGTCTTCTTTGTAGGAGCTCCCGGCTCCCCGGAACCAATGGTTCTTTTCCTTGATTCTGAATCCACTACTATCCTCATACTGCTTTTATTAGGAGGCTTTTCTATTTGAAAAGAAAAGAGAGCACAGATTAATACTCTGTTTATCACAGCTACTTCCTTAAATACAGACTGAAAACAAAGTTCTGGCTTTTTGTCCAAATACACATTTTTAGAAGAAATAGAAATAAATGTAGATTCAAATATAATAATCTAAGGGATTTTAACTTACTCTGAATTCTTTTCATACCTAACTAAAGAAGACTCAGTAATTCTTACATGTCAAATTACAATATGACTTCTGCAGGCCATTTCTTTTTGAGGCGGGGTGTGTGTGTGTGTGTGTGTGTGTGTGTGTAAAATCCACATGACTGTTTCCATTTGCCATCACCCTCCCCATAAATAAATGTACAAATAAACCATCTTGAGGCTCTGAGTTCCTAGTTTTGAAATCAAATGCACAATCTAAATTTAACATTTATTCAAATTTAAATTTATTCAAAATTTAACATTAACCCAATGACCTTTAAGAATTTGTAACTTAAAAAAAAAAAGAATTGATAGAGTTGTGATTGAAGTAAGTTGCCTATTTAAATATCAATACAGTAACACAAAGTATACTTGATTTTTTTTTTTTTAAGATTTTATTTATTTCTTTGACAGAGAGAGACAGTGAGAGAGGGAACACAAGCAAGGGGAGAGGGAGAAGCAGGCTTCTGCTGAGCAGGGAGCCTGACACAGGGCTTGATTCCAGGACCCTGGGATCATGACCTGAGCCAAAGGCAGACGCTGAACGACTGAGCCACCCAGGTGCCCCAGCATATTTGATTTAAAAAGGTATTCAAGATTGAAACGCAGTACAAAAGATATATGTGTGTGTGTGTGTGTGTGTGTTACTTTCAACACTTTTCATTTACTTAGTTGGAATGTGACAAACATAGGTATATTTAACCTGTTATTCCTAAACAACACTAAAGCTTAAAACATGCAAACCTTAATCCACATAGAAAAATATAATTTTAAAATCCTTTTTAAAGATGGATAAATTGATTGCATATACCCCATTCTTAATATTTCTAAACATACAACTAACCAAAATAACTTAAAAGTGTTTCAGCACAACCTCTCTCATATGGCTACAACTCTGATCTCCATCAATCTCTCTACCGCACATGAACTCTAAGAGTCAGTCCTCAATTTCTAACTTGTCGGTTTTCTCTGGCCATCTAGTTCTGAAAATCCTACAGGTTTCTCAAAACTCAGAGTACATACAAAGTACAAATTATCTTCGTATCAAATGTACTTTTCAAATCTTTCTTAAGCATTTCTATTAATGAAACTACTATTTGATTTCTGAGTGCCATGGCCACATCCCTTCAATTCATCTTACAGATTTCCTCTCATTTCTGAGACAAGCTTGGTACAAACTTGCATTACTTTTCACCTAGTCTACTGTACTTTCTGGATTCTCCTTCCAGCAACTCGTCCTATATAAAGAACTAGTAAAATCAGTGCCCCTGAGCTCTGCTGCTTTCCTTCATCTTCAACCTCTTCCTCTAAACTGGCACTTCCCATCAACATTTAAGCAAGCTCAAATTACCCCGTTTTTAAATGAAACTTCATAAAACTACTTCCCCTCCAGCTACGGCCTTCCCCCTCTCCCCATCCTCACAGCTATTTCCTAAAGAGATGTTACACTTGCTAACTTGCTTCCCTACCACCCATTCACTAATCCTCCAAAAACTGGCAGCTGCTCTCATTACTGCACATAACGTGCTCATCCTAAATTTGCTGATGTCCTAAAACTTGTTGCTTAAGCTTATAAATACATCCCAGTCCTTTTCTTACTTGACCTCTTGATCATTAAATACTGTTGATCACCGTCCTCTCCTATCTTCTCTTATTTTTCAGGACTTCTCACTCCCTGCTTTTGTCTGTGCCTTTTTGACTTCATTTTCTCAGTGCTCTATGTAAGCTCCCTCTTCTCTGCCCACTGTTTCAAATACTGGCATTCTCCAAGCTACTTACTTGGACTTTCCAATCTCACTACGCAATCACCTTAAGACAGCTATTACCATGGCTTCATTCATCATTTTTAGTGATTCTCAAAGGGAAGGAGAGTATATCAGAAATACGAGAAGGGCTTTCAGAACCTGTGTCAGTCATGCTTGCAGATTTGGGTATGCCTCGTTCCATCTCCCTGTACCTCCCCCCAATTACTAATGGCACAGAAGAAAAGATTAAGAACCACTGTTCTACATGCTCATGATTAAAAATCTGTATGTTCTAAACCATCTGTCTCTTACAGACCTGATGTCCAGATCCTATCTCCGACTGGATATTTCTCTTCAAATGCCCCAGGACACAACAAATTAAACACTTCCAAAACTAAATTTATTTTCCTACCAAATCTGTTCTTCCTCTCAATGAATGATATTATCAGCTACCCAATTATCCCGAGCAAAAACCTGATGTCTTTAATTTCATCCTCTCCATTTCACCCATTCTAAGTCCCGCAATCCAGTAAGTCGTCAATTCTTTCTACTAAATTTAAATCTTTCATTTCCCACTGTTAGTACCCTACTCCAGCTACCATACTATCATCTCTTTTTCTAGAATTCTTCAAATGCCCTTAACTGGTCTCTTACCTCCCTCCATATATCTCACTCCCTCTGTTCCAGTCATAAAGTTTTCAGTTTCTCAAAAGTATTATGGAGTGTAAGTGCTTTATCTACCCCCTTTCTTTAGCTAACTCATCCTATGTTTCCACAGCAGATCAGGTAGAAACATCCAGTATCTAACACTGGTGATGTTCACAGTGTAAGTTGGCAGTTTCTTTGCCCAGTGGTATCTTCACAAGACCAGTTCTGCAACAGGATTTGTGGCCTTACTCCTGCATCCCAAGCCTGGTTCGCTGGCTTTCTTGAATTTTTGAGCTATCAAATATCCTTTTTTACTTTAATATGTTCTTTATTTGAAGGTTCACTAAGAAAAGCAGTGATATATTTTTCCCCCAGTCATTGTGATGTGTTTGTTCCAACTCATCTATATTCTCTCACTCAGATTCTCTTTCATTGTTATTTATTTAAGAAGTGTTAAAAACAGAAGTTCCTCTTGGTATACAATTAGTAAATGTTGTCTATTAGTTATATATACTGAGTTTACCCCGCAATATCCTTTTAATAAATTGCTTTTATGCTTAAAATTTTTTAGCACTGGTTTTGTTGACAGCAAATGGAAAACCACTTAGCCCTTATTCCTACCTATATCCAGTCAAGGAACATCTATCAAATTCTTTACCTCCTTAGAAATCTGGAAAGAACAATTCTGAGTCTCTCAGTCACTTGCATTAGTAATTCTAAGATATCAATGGGCCTAAATTTTTTCATATGTTTAATGATGATGATTCCCCATCAAGTTTAAGGTACGAAATGTAACAATATAATTATCACATTACAGTCTATGACAAATTTAAATTAAGGCCATCATCTACAGACTGTAAGAAATGTACACTAATTATATAATAAATAATATTAAAAGCTTTTAATTATGTATCTGTCACCATCCAGGACAATAAATTTCAAACCAAATAGGCAAAAGATGAAAACATTTTGGCAGGAGGAAGAATGAAAAAAGATGAGGAAACAGAAATATAGGTACTACTCAATTTAAATGGGGTGCTAAATCAGTTCTGTGGTACATAAAAACAATGTTATTAGTGGAAAATATATTCCTAAACCAATTCACAAAAAATACTATGTGATGTATATGAAGAACAGTACTAAAATAATCACTATATACAATGATTCTATAGGAAAAGGCATTCAGATTTCTAACCATACATACTAGACATTTTTCTCTCAATAGGGCCACTTCCTGTAACTTGTAACTACACACGTGTGGAGCTGAAATTGCCACAACTGCAACTTCTACATAGTAAGATTTATATGCAAGGAGTATGATCCCTCTTCCTTTTCTTAATCACCATCAAAAAAGTTTGCCTGGCATTGGAATGAGTCTAATAAATATTTATCTGCAGTAGCATATATTTTTGCCACACCTAAGCAGCAAAGTAAGAAAGAGATGACTTCATGTAGGAGGTTCCAGTAAAAGCAAAGAGTACGGGTATGATGAAAAGAAAGGGACTAAGTAGTGACTCAAAGAAGAAAGGGATTTTCTCCGAACTAGCCAGGAGAGACTTGGGAGATGAAGAGCCACAATCTTAAGTGGCTTATAATTTTCATTTATAAACAATCTTACATCCCTTATAAAAAACTCTTAAAAAATATTTTTCTTCTGTTGTTGTTAATGATAGCTATTAGGATTCCTCAGTGAGAATTTAAAAGATGTGAGGGAAAGGTGGCAGCCACATGAAACACTTCCCTGTATAATCAAAGATGATATAAATTAAATAGGATATAAATTATAATGTTCCCCACACCTCTATAAAAAAAAGTCCTCTGAACAATCAAGTTAACAGATGCAGAATTTGATAGTTTCGAAGAACAAATAAAAAAATGCAAAGTGTAATCAATCACAAGTTTACTAAACCACATTAGGTACCAGTATTTAACAAGCTGGACTTTTATTCATGATTGATGAGGCATGATTTTTTTTTTTCCACTAGGAAAAAAAGATAACAAGGCAAGACCACAAAGAAAATGGGATTTAAAAGTTAGCTGAAGTAGGGCGCCTGGGTGGCTCAGTTGGTTAAGCGACTGCCTTCTCAGGTCATGATCCTGGAGTCCCTGGATCGAGTCCCGCATTGGGCTCCCTGCTCCGCAGGGAGTCTGCTTCTCCCTCTGACCCTGCCCTCTCTCATGTGCGCTCTCTCATTCTCTCTCAAATAAATAAATAAAAAATCTTAAAAAAAATAAAATAAAAGTTAGCTGAAGTAGTTAGGGAAAAAAATATATTTTATTGGCCTACATATATTTTCCATTATGGATGACAACCCCTCACTTCCTGGTATTTGCAGCCAATGCTCCCTCTTTCAAATTAATGTGAGCTCTCTCCCTTCCTCTAAACCTTCATATCACATTGCACCTCCAGGAGAGCAGTTTTACTGCCCCAGCTGGTGACTTTTATCATCGAAACTCTTATCTTCTCTCATTTAGAAATTTTAGCAAAAGGTCTGTCTCCTCTGAGAAAATTTTAAAAGCGAATGAATCACTTCCTAAAACATAATTCCTTTTGATTAAAATATTATAAGCAAACCAATATCAAATTCTTACATGTAAAATACATATCAAGTATAAAAGTTTGTATAAATTTATTTCATTATCCAATCTACAAAAAACGATCTTCAGGAATTAAAGCATTACTCAATCTGAGGACCCCAAGATCACCACCCTAACCAAAGGCAGACACTTAACTGACTTGAGCCACCCAGGCACCCCTAAAGCATTACTTTCAAGAGTTTAGGGGCACCTGGGTGGCTCAGTCGTTAAGCGTTTGCCTTCGGCTCAGGTCATGATCACAAGGTCCTGGGATCGAGCCCCGCATCGGGCTCCCTGCTCAGGGAGAAGCCTGCTTCTCCCTCTCCCACTCCCCCTGCTTGTGTTCCCTCTCTCGCTGTGTCTCTCTCTGTCAAATAAATAAATTAAAAAAAAAAAAGTTTAAATGAACCAATTAAGACTGCAAATGACAGGGGCGCCTGAGTGGCAGTTAAGCATCTGACTTCATTTCTCTTGATTTAGGCTCAGGTCATGATCTCAGGGTCGTGGGATAAAGCCCCACGTCAGGCTCAGCGCTGGGCATGGAGCCTACTTAATATTTGCTCTCTCCCTCTCTGCCCCTCCCCTCTAACATAAATAAATAAATCTTTAAAAAAAAAAAAAAAAAGACTGCAAAAGATACAAAATACCCCCAAAAAAGCTACCTTAGAAAATATGTACTTTTGGGGCACCTGGGTGGCTCAGTCGGTTGACTATCTGCCTTCAGCTCAGGTTACCCCAGGGTCCTGGGATCGAGCTCCGAGTGGGGCTCCCGGCTCAGTGGGGAATCTGCTTCTCCCTCTCCCTCTGCCTTTCCCTCTGGCTTGTGCGCGCGTGCTCTCTCGCTCACTCACTCTCTCAAATAAATAAAGTCTTAAAAAAATAAAAGACTTATTCTCCTTTAAAAAAAAAAAAAAGAAAATATGTACTTTTGGGAAATTCCTTTCCCCTTGAGTGACAGAACCAAGTGTCACCAGTAACACAAATAGAGAACCACACATTACCTTTTCTTTTAAGAGAGACCAAAGGATTGGAGGAATAAACTTAATCACCATCCCTTACTCAACCCCAATAAATGTAGGACCATATTCTTTATAAATGTTTGCCACTCTTGATATGAAAATAAGAAGAAAAGATTAATGAATAGTACCTCTGGGTGGCAAATCCATATCCCCTGATGTTAGTCCTATCAAGTTAGGCCTTTGTGCATGTACTCTGTGTCTATACATAGGTCTGGAAGTGTTTGTTATGCTTGGGGCTTCAGGATTGTAGCCATCTGTGTCATATGTATCTGGTAATACAAAAACTGTAATTAAAAAACAATTATAAAACGCCACTTGGTAATTTTTTATATTGACAACAGAAAAAGTAAATTATGTAACATTGTTAATACAGAGCTAACACGCTATATATATAAAAAAGAAAATTTAGTTTTATAAAAATAAGTTAAATAAAAAATATAACTTAGTCTTTTAAAAATCCTGAGGACTTGCATTTAATATACATTCACCATTTCTACATTTTATTCTATATGATTTTTGTGAGAAAAATAAACCTAACAGAGCTAGTCACTCTAGACATTTTTAAATTCCTTATCTAAACTCTGCTCTAAAGCCTCACTACATTATGAATATAAAGAGGGGCAAAACTGCACCTGCAGTAAAAAGAGAGGGTGGAGCAGGTGGAGGCTGGTGATGAATGCCAGTTGTTACTACAGTAGGAACAGAACTGGTTGCAGAGTTTGGGGGAGCATCCATGCCAGATGGCTGCAAAGGAGGAAGTGGAGGTGGTGGTCCTGTCAAAACCAAAGAATAAGAAATATCATCTGAAAGCAAACAAATAAAATAAGTTATTGTATATCCAAACATGATATTCTCATTTATCAGCAAAATTATAATATCTACAAACTCAAGTTCTTACAACTATATTAGATTTTTAGGGTAAAATATCCTTTTACTGTATTCCAAAACAGGTTTGTCTTAAACTATAAAGAACTACTGAGAGCTGGGATTCATCAGGGATGTGCTAAGTCAGGGCCACTCCACACCACAGTAAACCATAGGTTTGGCAAAGCCTGCAAAGTGGGGATATATTCTAAATAAGAGAATCTTGCCCTTGGTTTCTAGCAGGCATCCTTAGGATTATTTTAGGTATTTTTAACAAAAGCAAGCATCAAACTATTAACTTTTAAAAAGGCTATGAATGGACAGATAATAGGTACTGGCAAACAAATAGATTTACTTACCTGTGACAGGTGGTAGGCTAGGTGGTAATGGGCCTGGTGGTGGCACTGGGGGTCTCAGATTCACAGGTGGAGGTGTAAGAATTGGCGGAGGTGGGGGAAGTCCAGGAGGAGGTGGTCCTTCAACAACTGGAGGCTGTGCTGGGAAAGGCAGCATGCCAGGAAGATTCACATCTTCTACAACTACAGGGTCACTTCCATGGTCAAAAGGGCACATGTCTCCTCTCATACAGAAACCCTTTTCTGTAAGGAAGAATAATTAGATACATGGAAAGTGTCAGATATATAAATTTTCTGTAAGTTAACAAAGGTAAGATATTTAAAAATAAGAATATTGGGGCGCCTGGGTGGCTCAGTCGTTAAGCGTCTGCTTTCGGCTCAGGTCATGATCCCAGGGTTCTGGGATTGAGCCCTGCATCGGGCTCCCTGCTCAGCGGGAAGCCTGCTCCTCCCTCTCCCACTCCCCCTGCTTGTGCTCCCTCTCTTTCTGTCTCTCTCTCTGTCAAATAAATAAATAAAATCTTTAAAAAAAAAAAAAAAAGAATATTTTTAATATTGGGCCAGTATAACTAACCATAACACAAGAGCTAATTTCCAGTAACATAAAATACTTACAAAGTAAATATAGCTAACATACACATTAAAAAAGTATATCCACAAATTAAAATGAGTATACCTAGCTAGCAAGAGGATATAAAACTTTTACGTATTTTCTGTCATTAGAAGCATTTCCCTTATTTATTTTTCATTTCCTTTATTTAAATCTCACTTAAAAGGGGCGCCTGGGTGGCTCAGTCGTTAAGCGTCTGCCTTCGGCTCAGGTCATGGTCTCAGGGTCCTGGGATCGAGCTCCCGCATCGGGCTCCCTGCTCAGCAGGAAGCCTGCTTCTCCCTCCCCCTCCCCCTGCTTGTGTTCCCTCTCTCGCTGTGTCTCTCTCTGTCAAATAAATAAATAAAACCTTTAAAAATAAATAAATAAATCTCACTTAAAACTTTGAGAATATTGCAACTATAACTTTAGTACAATTTATAAAACTTTTACAGTAAAACTTTGACAGTCTTCATCTATAAAATTCTTACAGGTGAATATTCACATTTCTAGGTTCTAATCACATGCCAATAACCACTGATTTCTAAAGAAGTGAGTTTTGTCACGAATGTTTCAGTAGCAGATTCCCAGATGAACAACTCAGTACATACTACTCCTGTTTGGTAAACTCCAAAAATATATTAAGACTTATGTGTAAATAAGCACTATCTTTAGATGGATATACAATAGTCAGTAGTGACTAATGAAGGTTTAAATAATACTGAGAAATTCAAGAAGTGCCTAAGACTGACTAACCACCATTAACTGGGCTTTCTATGAATAACTGTGCAACCTAAACTTGTGGAATTTAGTCAACTGGAAATACTAATTCAGTACTTCAGGAAACAGTAAAAGACTTACCATCATAGTCTCTACACCGTTTCTTTGGCATTGGTGGTCTTACATATGAGTTATGGTCCACTTGGTCTTCATGAAATTCAGACCAACTTTCAGTAGTGTTATTACCATGATGAGTAGGAGCAATTACTGTAATAGTGCTGCTCAAAGTAGGTACAGGGTAGTGACCAGATGAAATATTAGGTACCGAAGAGACTGGAGTATAATTGTTTTCTAGTGGATCTGTCCTATCCAGGTCGTATTTAGGTTTTACTAGATCCCTTTCTGCAACAAAATATAAATAACTTATAAAACAATACACTATAAAAAAAGTCCCAGATCTACAAAACAGTGGTATTTTTGCTAAACACAGAGAAAATGTTCAAACTGTACACAAGCCTCCTTTTCCTTTAATAACTACTAAATGAATACACAATGTTCCAAGATAAGCTATTTCTTTTCAATATGACCTGAACTATAAAAATCACACAAAATTTGCTGCACTTAATGAGATTTTTTTTTCTTGGAGTGCTGTTTACAGAAAAGAGATCTTTTATTTTCTTCAGTGCAATCTTAGTATGCATAACATCAGCCCACAAAACAAAATATACAATAAAAGTATGGTTATTTTTTCTCTGATGAACATTTAGTTGTAATCCACCCAAAGATCCTAGCATGGCTTTTTAAATAAATAGTATACACTATTAATAGTATTAAATAGTGAAAACTATTTATTGAAGACGGAAACGGATGAGCTAAGAGGAAAGAAAAAGAGTTCGTATTAATCATGAACAAAACCATTAACTGGGCTGTGTTTGGTCCCAAGGAGAGAGAAAAGGTATAAAGAAGATTACTTAAGTGAAGCAATGTGCAGAAGGCCTAGATCACAGAGAGAGAAAAATCTAAGAGTAAGAGAGAAGTATAAAACTTATACAAAACCCGTAAATATTATTTCCCTAAGACTAAGTGACTGTACAATAAAAGCTAAAACAGTAGCAAAAAATCTAATTTGAGTAAAGGTGTTTTACTTGAAGTATTTTAGTTGTTTTATTGCCTCCAGTATCTTCCTTGAAATAACACACATTGGAAGAAAAATTATACATGTTGGAAATGACATGCTCTTGCAAATATATTCATCTGAAATGAGAATTTTAACTGTTTTCCTAATTTTAAAATATAACTCTTATATAATAAACTGAACATATTTATACAATTTAATGAATTTTATCTATGTATATATGTGTGAAACCAATCATAACCAAAATAATATAGATACATATTCATCACTCCCAAAAATATCCTTGCACTCCTTGATAATTCTCTGCCCTTTATTCCATCCAGGGCAACCACTGATTTTTTTTTGTCACCAGAGATTAGTTTGCATTTTCTAAAATTTTATATACATGTATATTCTTTTTTATCTGGCTTCTTTCACTCGGCATTATTATTTTGAGATTCATCCTTTTGTGACATATATCAAAAGTTCCATCCTTTTCTTCCACTGTATGGATGCATCAGGTTATCCATTCGCATGACATTTGGGTTGTTTCTAGTTTTTGTCTATTTCAAAGGAAGGTACCATGATCATTTCCGTCCAGTTGTGTGGAAATACACTTTTGTTTCTCTTACATAAATACTTTGGAGTTGGGATGGCTGGGTCATTTGGTAGGTGTAGATTTAAATTTAAGATACTGTGAAAGTTTTTTCCAGAGAGTTCCAGTTTATCTCTATCCTTACCAATATTAGATAAAGTCAGTCTTTTTACTTTTAGTCATTGCAATGGGCATGCAGTGGTGACTGTGGTTTTAATTTACATGAAATAAAATTTTTAAAAGAAATTTTTAAAAAAGCATTCACTTCGACCACAAAATACATCAAAATAGAAAAAATGAAGACAACACTGACAAAAATTAAAAACCATTTTTAAAACCTTCAAATGCAGCGTATTCACAATAGAAGAATGCTAATCAGAACATACATATATATGGATTATTTACCCCGGCTTCGTGTTCTGCTTCTGCTTCTAGTCCTGCTTCTATCCCTATCCCGGTCACGAAGCCTCTCTTTACTCCAACTTCGACTCCGACTCCTGCTGTAACTTCGACTTCGGCCTCGTCTTCTATTGTACCGGTCTCTATATGAATCTCTTCGAGGAGGGTTTCGATCATAATCTCTTTTGCGAGAACGATCATCTTTTTTCCTCTCATCACGACTTCTAAAGAAATAAAATGATCACTTTCAGGAAAGTAAGTAGATACAGAAAATACTCATTAAATGCAAAAGTCACATTTTATTCCTGTAAACATGATTCTTTATTCCACAGCATATATAGGAAACTCAAATTGAAAACCTGAACATGATCTGCTCAAGAACTCTAAAACCCCTTTAAAGGAAAGTCTCAATCCCTAACCTTATACACAAAGACATCTATACATCTGGCATCGGTACATCACATCTCTTAGCACGTTGTCCTGTACACACCTAACCTCATACTTACAGGCATGTAGCGCATCTACTGCCTACACTAAATGCTTTTGAAGCCTTAGTGGGAAAAATAATTTATTCACACTAAAGGGAAACTCCATGCAAAAACAGTTCTCACTTCATGCAAGCACTATTCTTAATCTCAATTCCAGGACCTACAAATGTGACACAGATATTCTTGGTAAGAAAGGAACTGAGTTACACTTTCCTAGACCAAAAGAAGAGTAGACATTACTTGCCCCTAGGCGAGATAATCAAGTCTAAGCATTCATACAAAAGATATCCAATGTCTAAGCACTGAACATGGTTCAATCAATCACCTATTTTCTCTGTATCGGGAACTTGACTGGGGAGGACTATGATTTAGTCTTCTGGAAAACTTCTTCTCTCGCTCTTCCTCCTTTGTGATCTGATATACAAAGAAAAATTTGCATTAAGTTTAGCAAGTTATTCCTTGCCATGTTACTATTTGAATGATTTAACTGATATTAAAATACAGACGTGAAATTGTTCTCTTCTAAAAGCATTAAGAAAATTTCTCTTCTAAGTACAATCATTTAATTTAACCATAGAAGAAAGGTTTGCTGAAAGTTACAGTGAATGCTAAAGAAACTCAGAAATGTTTATCTTAGATAACAGTGGTGAGAAAACACTTAGGCAAATGTCCTCATTTTAACATTATTAGTAGAAAGTCAATTTTAGTTCTTCTTTCAAAAGTCCAACATACACTCATGTTTTGGTTTCACGGATTTGGCCAGGCACCACACACATTAGGAAATAGAGCAGAATGCATTAGAACTAACCAAGTCAGAAAAAGAGATGTAAGAGAAAATGATATGTAAGGTCAAACAGTTCTCCAGTTCTCAGCAGTATGGCAGCTATATATTCCTCTTCCCTACAAGGGGCCTCCATTCGTATTATATTAATAGAAAGCAGCCCTGGAAAATATTCCCTTGATCAGTGCGCTACTTTTCTGAGGCCAGAATTTTCCATGCTATACTCTCTAGAACACTGTTACATAGGACATTAATAGGTGTTACTAGAAAAAAAAGATTTAGAGGATAAACAAATACAGGAAATACTGAACATGTGGTTTCTGTAAATATGATAGGACTCAAGACTTCGCATTGTTAATAAGAACTCTAAGACAATCTGATGTAGGCAGTCTATAGGATAATAGAACAGTGTCCCAGTTTATGCCAGTTGTTCCAATACCCCTCTGGGTAAGAGCCTCTTACTGTCAGAAGTGTCCATTGTTGGGTGATAAATTAAATGGAAATCCTATTAATAGGCCAAACTCTAAGAAACACAGCTTAAAAGCCTTTTTTTAAGTCTTTTTTTTCTTATACTTTCATTCTCCTCTTCCCACCCATTTCGACCCTTCCCCACCCAAAAAAAAAAAACAGGGTACGGTACAATGCACCTTTTCCCTTCTACTTGCTTCAACACACACTCGTGAGTAATTTATGTTGACAGATCATCATATTCCACAGTACATGCTCAACTGGCAACTTTTACTATACCCACGGTATTTTAAATCCAGGTTGTCATCTGACATTTTGACAGTTCTGAAAGATCAGGGATAAATATCCTTCACAATTGGTCAAGAAAACTGTGGAGAAATATTATTATGTCAATAGACGTAAGACTAAGGTTTTGCCACTAATTCGTTTTGGGGGAAGACTTCTTACTGCTTCTCAAATCCAGAGACTACGAGACTACTTAAGATTTTCTAAGAATTAAAATATGATTTGCAATAGCAAAAATCTAGAACTAACCCATCAAACTTGCATCGGTGGGCAAAACTTAAATAAATTATTGTGCATCTCTACGTGGCGTAAGCAGTTGCCAGCACAATAGCAACTATCCCTTTCCTTATTAATAGAACCCCTACTGTAAGGTATGAAATATGCACAAAATTATTTCTGGCCTTCCCTTTCACTGAGAAGTGATAGGGGTGTTTTATGCGCACATTTGTGTAACTACATACATGTACATGTGTGTAAATGTGTTCAGATGCAGAATAAAAATATATTTGAGACTTACTATGTAATGTTACACATATGTTTATATCATTACATAATAAACAAATATTACTTACATAATCTGTAAAGAAAAAAAGAGTATGAGGGGAAAAAACCCAATCACATCTTCTACCACACAACGACCTCTCAACAGTAATAGGAACTGCCATTTACTGAGAACATACTATGTGCTACCCACTACGCCAAGTGCTCTACAGACAACATTTTATTATTCCTCACAACAACCCTATAGTGTTTCCATTTCACAGCTGAGTAAACTAAGGCTTGGCAAAGTAACGTTTTCAAGGTCATAAAGCACTGACTGATAAAGCCAAAATTTTAACCAAGATTTATTTGACCTAAAGCTAGGCCAACTGCAGAAATATAACAGCTTAACTGTCAATTAGTTTTGCTCGAATTACAATCTTTAAACATCAAATTAAGAAGATCTGAATTTTTATGATTATTAAGAATGGCAATCTTGTATAAAAGGTAAATTCTTCTAAAACTCTTAAAGGATGAAGTCATGCCCACTGCCCTGTGAAGGTCCTTTTACGAGACTACCTTAAAAACAGCCCCCTACAAAATTCAGGCAGGATAGAAGCAAATAGATCTAACGTCAATCTAATTATTTTCACAGAACACAGATAATGCGAGTCCACAGCTGTAAGATACTATACAGAAAAGAGTTAAAAAGTAAGCCTGAGACTGTCATCCTTAGAAAGGCCTGCTTATTATAAGGTAGGCCCTTGGCTGGTGTCTGTGAACTCTGATTTCTGGAGGGTTCCCATCATTCCCTGATAATAACAGCTCACTATATGCCTGAATTGTGTCAACGATACGGTTTTATGCTGAACACATGCTTTCCTCTGAGAGTTTGGAATTTTGGTACCTAGTAGACAGAAGGTGCATCTGTGACCAGCCCTCAATAAAAACCCTGGACACTGAGTCTCTAATGAGCTTCCCTAGTTCAAATGTGTAGAAAACTACTTGTTACGTGCATCCTTTGTGACTCTCCTAGGAGAAGCCTCTAGAAGCTTATGTCTGTTTTCCCCCAGACTTCGCAACACCTACTTTTTCCTTTTGTTGATTTTGCTGTAAAATCATAGCCATGAGTATGACTAAGTGTTAAGTTCTATGACTGCTCCTAGGGATGGTCCTGAGGATTCTTGACACAAACACAGAAAGTAAACCTCAGTTTAATTATTCCTTATATGTTTTTAAAGAACATCTAAAGTTTAACACAAATCCTTACCTCTTCTTTTTTTATATCTTTTTCTTGGTGCTGAAAAAATTCTACCTTTAAGCTTCCTGATGATGGCTGCTCTGGAGGAGGTAGATAACTCTTTGTATTCACAGCATCAAAAAGCTTTTCCACAAATATCTGCGTCTCTAACAACAACAACAAAAAAAACCCCACAGATTAAAGACATTTGCTAAGATATGATTTCTCCCCTTCTATACATCATAGTTCAATATGATGAAATATACAATGACTTTTATAACTCTAGAAATTAAACTAAGACCAATAGCTTCCCAACCAGTGTGTCATGACACAAATCCTATGGTAATACTAAATCCATTCAATTTCAGGGTAGTGGAACTAGGATGGCCAGAGCTTCTAGGCCAGTGGCTTCCAGCCATGACTAGTCTCCAGGTACCCTGCGCCCAGAGTGCCAAACATAAATATTATTATCTAGATGGTAGCAAAGTGAAAAAAGTTAGAAACACTATCTAGACAACATCCCCAGAAGCTTCTTAAGCAATACGATCTTTAAATAAACAAGCATTCATTTACTTAATCTTTTAAAGAGAAATATCGGCTTCCTTTAAGAAAGAGAATAAAGATACTAATGAAAAAGGTTTTCATTATAAATAAGCTATAATCAGTAATAATACTGTTTATTCAACTTTGTTATAATTAGAGTGTGTTCTCTTATGGAGTTCCTTTAATATTATGGAAAATCTTGCTTTAAAGCATTTATTAAAATAAACTACTATTTTTAAACCAAAGATTTTACCTTTTTGAAGAAATACATCCAGTTGATCAATACATAATGCCTTTAACTCTTTCTCACTTTTGTCTTTCTTTACCAAAGCGAGAACATATTTTGCTAGGGCTGATGGATCTGCATCACAACTGAAGAAAAAAAGCAATGTTGAAGGAAATTTAGCCATAAACAATTGCACATTCTAAAAATTTCAGTTACAAACAGACTTAGTTGGTATGATAGTTAAGTGAATTATTATATGTAAAAAGCACCTACCCCATGGAAGGCAATGAAGAAATATAAGTTCTCCCTTATAGTAATGTATTTTACACGATCTACATAGCCAATATTCTGTATCCTTCCACATTTGTACTAATGTATGTATTAAACTCGGTAGGCTTTATTATTATTAAAAAGAGAAGTTATAACAAAGTAAAAACAGTACCAGAGCATCAAAAACTATTAGCGTGGAACCAATAAAAATACAAAAAGTGCCCTCCCCTTTCCCCTACCCCAAGAACTAAATAGCTAGAAAACCCAGAGAGGGCACTAAAAGAAAACCTGAAAACATACTACAAGTTTAGAAACAGACCCAAATAAATAAATACATGAATTATGATTTTATAAAGGTGGCATCCAAGTCAATGTGCAAGAGATGAACTATACAATAAATGATACTGAGACAAGTGGCAGTTATTAAAAACTAAGTTGGTTCTATAACTGATTCCATACACCACAATAAATCTAAAACTGAAAAATATGAAACCACTAAAGTATTAGGAAAAAAAACAAGGAAGTTATTTTATAACTCTGGAGTAATGAAGACTTTCTGAATAATGACAGAAATCTGTATTACAAGAGTAATTTGATTATACAAAAAAAAGGCAAAAACTTTGGAATGAAGAGTCAAAAGACAAATAAAAAAAGCTCAAATAATTTAATCCATTCCAAAAAGTGAATTCTCCTAATATGTAGTTTCTATCAATCAGTAAGACCAAAATCGTAAGAGAAAGAAGATAAAGAATACAAATAGATACTAAACAGAAAAAGTTAGTATAAATATGAGTAAAAATACACCCTCATCCATAAAAGAAATTCACACTTAAGCTATACTGAAATATCATTTTTCAGCTATAAAGCTGGCAAAATCTAAAGATACGAATATATATTCTGCAGATAAGACTATGGGGATACACACAGTTTTTAAACACTGGCTGCTGTGAGGAGACTGGTAGCATACAATCACAAGTGCAAATGACCTAGCAATTCTATTTCTCTGAAGTTACTTTACAGACATACTTACATATTCAAAGTGACACATACACAGATCATTCACTGTCACACTGATTGCAAAATAAAAAATGTGCAAAATGTCCATTTACAGAGGACTGGAAAAAGAAATTATACTAATCTACACAAGCGAATGGAATACAGCAAAAAGACACAAAAAAGAATGAGGAAGTGTTCCTATCATAGAGAAATTTTCCTTATCAATTTGTTATGTTCAAAAAGGTAGAGTTTATAGCAGCAATGTCCACAATAGCCAAACTATGGAAAGAGCCTAGATGTCCATCAACAGATGAATGGATAAGGAAGATGTGGTATATATATGCAATGGAGTATTATTTGCATTTGCAACGACATGGATGGAACTAGAGGGTATTATGCTAAGCAAAATAAGTCAATCAGACAAAGACAAGTATCATATGATCTCACTGATAATGAAGAATTTGAAAAACAAGACAGAGGATCATAGGGGAAGGGAGGGAAAAATGAAACAAGACGAAACCAGAGAGGGAGATAAACCATAAGAGACTCTTAATCTCAGGAAACCAACTGAGGGTTGCTGGAGTGGTGGGGGTTGGGAGGGATGGGGTGGCTGGGTGATGGACACTGGGGAGGGTATGTGCTATGGTGAGCGCTGTGAATTGTGTAAGACTGATGAATCACAGACCTGTACCCCTGAAACAAATATTATGTTATTAAAAAAAAAAAAAAAAGGCAAGGTAGAGAAAACCGGCTATCATGTTACCATTTGTGTGGGGGAAAGAGAAGAAATTATGTATTTGGATTGGCTTATATTTGAATAATAAATATGTGGAAGTACAAACAAATAATTTTGGTTATTGATTTTTTTTTGGATGGGGGGGAGATAGTGGGGGCTAAGTGAAGGAGGAACAGAGTGAGCAAAGAAAGTTTTTGATGCCTGAGCCATGCCCAATCCTAACAAAAAGCCAGGTAATTGTTTTTCAACTAAGCTAAGATTGTTACCCATGTAATTAATGGTCATTTTACAATTTAGGCTAAATAAGAATAAAATAGTAGCAACAGCCAAGCACTAACATCTACCGAACACCTAGTTTGTGCCATGAACTGTACATACTGTATTTATTAGCTCTATTCTATAACAGTTCTACAAAAGTACAGCAGTAACCTACATCACTGAATCAAAAAGTACATCTTTAAAAGACAATGAAGAGGGCGCCTGGGTGGCTCAGTCGTTAAGTGTCTGCCTTCAGCTCAGGTCATGATCCGAGGGTCCTGGGATCGAGCCCTACATCAGGCTCCCTGCTCAGTGGGAGGCCTGCTTTCTCCCTCTCCCACTCCTCCTGCTTGTGTTCCCTCTCTCACTGTCTCTCTGTCAAATAAATAAATAAAATCTTAAAAAAAAGACAATGAAGAGCTTTGGTTGCACAGTAGAAAACACCTATAGAAAAACCTGACTGCAAGTGAATCAACAGGCGTAATTCAACCATTTGTGTTTTGCTTTGTTGCTTTATAAAGGCTACACAGATAAATCTAATACAGCGTCAGAACTGACAAATACTCTATTAAGGAACCAGTATAGCATTTATCATATGTTCTAAGACTTCCTAGTCTACATTACTGTGGTCATTAACTATGTCTTCCAATTCTTTACTCCTCCCTTTAGAAGGCAGAGCCTGATTCCCCACTCTTTGAGAGTAGGTTCAATTTAGGGACTTGCTTCTAAACAAACAGAAGAGCAGAAGTGATGGTGTCTACCTTCCAAGACTAGGACCTACAAAGTATTGTGGCATCATCCTTGCTCTCTCTCTGGAATCACTTCTAGAGAAAACAGCTGCTATGTTCCAAGGACACTCAAGCAGCCTTATGGAGAGCACCATGTGGCAGTGAAATGAGGGTTCCAGTCAACAGTCAGAGGACTGAGGTCTCTTGCCAATAGCCATATGTGAGTGAGCTTGGAAGCCGATTCTACAGTCACCGTAGAACCTTGAGAAGATTGCAGAACTGATCTACAGCGTAACTGCAATCTCATGATTCAGAGCCAGAAATACTCCACTAACCTGCTTCCAAATTCCTGACACAGGAATGGTAAATGTCATGAGGTGATAAATGTCTGCTGTGTTACTAAGTTAAGTTGCAGGGTAATTTGTCAGTAATCATACTTTTCTCATAGATCTATTTCCATTTATTTACAAAGATTTGAAATGGGCTATTGAACAAGAAACAAGAAAAAATTCCACTTTAATGGTACATGAAAGATTTTTTTAAAGAGTTTTTCTTTGAAATTTATTTCAATATACTTAAACTAACCTTTTAAAAAAATACAGACAAAATGATTTATGATTTTTTCATGTTTTATCATAATGAGCACAGAAATACTTACATCTGTGATGAAATAAGCCCAAAGAAATGGGACAAATATAACCTCATGATGATCTATAGATATACTTACACCCAGCAATTTGGTAATACTGCATGACAAATCATGAAAGAATGCCTATTCATGTTAGGTAATCTGAATAAGCACAGTCAACTAAACACTTAACTAGACATCAAGCTAAACATACTTCAGTTTACTGAAAAATCACTGTGAAACAGAATACTAGCACTGTGTTATACTGTTTTATTGCAATTGCTGTTAATAAACAAATCTAGAGGGGTGCCTGGGTGGCTCAGTCGTTAAGCGTTTGCCTTCAGCTCAGGTCATGATCCCAGAGTCCTGGGATCAAGCACCGCACCGGGCTCCCTGCGCCGCGGAGAGCCTGCTTCTCCCTCTCCTGCTCCCCCCTGCTTGTGTTCCTGTTCTCGCTGTCTCTCTCTCTGTCGAATAAATAAATAAAATCTTTTAAAATAAATAAATAAACAAATTTAGAGTCTCCACATTGAGTCCAAATCCTATAATTTAACTCAACATTGGTCTTATTGTGAATTTTCAACTTAATAACAGCCTTGCTAATGACTTAACTGTGACTTTACATTTCTCTTAACTAAACACCAAATCTATTCCACTGCCACTCCATTACTTTTCTAAATATGATACTTTAAGTCAATTAAAATTTTAGCGGTTAAAAATATAAGGGTGCCGGGTGGCTCAGTCGGTTAAGTGTCCACCTTCAGCTCAGGTCATGACCTCAGGGTCCTGGGATAGAGCCCCACGTTGGGCTCCCTGTTCAGCAGGGAGTCTGCTTCTCCCTCTCCCTCTTCCACTCCCCACTATTCGAGTTCTCTCTCTCTCTCAAATAAATAAAATCTTTATTAAAAAATGCAGAAAAAGGCCTTTGTGATTTCTGTAATTATTATGGTTTATAGACCACAGTTTTATAAAACAGCAAGACAGAATCATTCCCGAACAATCACTGCTCAACATCTTCTATAGGTAGCTATTGAACTGAATTAAAAAAACAATAAAATCACAACAACCACAGCAAATCAACTACCATACACAAAAATTCTAAATCCTTGACACAGTCTGAAAGGGCAAATTACTTTTTAAAATTTGTTAAACTGCAAATTATATAGTAGAAACAAGGTTTATAATTTCACATTTAATGGCAAAATGGGCGAATTTACATTTGAGAGGCAATTTTTCTTAAATCCTATAAAGTCATTTCATATTTAATATTTTTAAAAACAAAAAAAAGTACTTGTAAATTACAGCTAAGTAAAAGAATATCTGAACTACAGAAGTTTAATAATATGCCACATGTTATAAATCAAGGAGAAAGGGCAAAATATGTGTTCTCTTTTCTATGTTTTAATTAAAAGTGCCAATGCTACTTCATCTGAACACCCAGCAACAACCTGCTATGCAAAATTAATGCAGTAAAAATGTTTAAATTACCTAATCAAAAGAAAATTTTATTAAGATAGTAAGGGGTTATTT